AGAGTTACCTTCAAGGGTAGAGGTTAGGGGAAAGAGAAAGTGTTACATAAGGGCACAGAGGGAAGCATGATTCACTGGAGGCCATTACTATAACAATGTAACACACCACTGTTACACGTTAATTGTGGGAATGCTACAAACTAGATGCTGATGTGTGTGTGTGTGTGTGTGTGTGTGTGTGTGTGTGTGTGTCCCCGCCAAAAATCAGGTTACGGTGAATCCTAATGCCCAATATGATGGCATTTGGAGGTGGGGCCTTTGGATGTGATTACATTGTGAGGGTGGGGCCCTCATAAGTGTGATTAGTGTCCCTTATAAAAGAGATCCCTTGCCCCTTCTGCCATGAGAGGACACAGAGAAAAGACCCCCTCTTTGAATACACTGAATCTGCTGATGCTTTTGATCTCAGATCTAACCAGACTCCAGAACTGTGAGAAATAAATTCCTGTAGTTAATAAATCATCTAATCTTCTTGAGTCCCATGTTAAAAGCAGCATGAACAGAGTAAGGCAGGGAACTTTAAGTTCTTTTTCTAGACACACAAGCATATTCACATAGATGCATGTGGTCTAAGTGGATGGGATGACTGATTTATGCTTGCTTGCAAAAACAGGATGTCACTATATATTTGCAAAAAGTTCAACTGCAAATGAAGACCACTCATGAGCTACATAACAGACATACAAAACAATACAATTCCTTCAACAAAATTATACTGATTGATCACTTTTTCTAATAATATAACAGTTTAACTGTAGAAAAAATTAACCTGCAGGAAAATTTTATATAGATCTGGGAAAATTTAGCCTGAAAAGGAAAGTCTTCTCAGTTCAATAATTTCATGATTATACCTTTTACAATAAGAATAATCGACTATATTTTATTACTATTTTGTAGTTCATAAAATGTTGGCTTGTTAAGTTTGCAAAGTCTGCATTCACTATGACTCCCACTAATCTTTCCAGTCTCCTCAAGTTGAGAGAAGACAAGTACCTGCTTGCTGCATAGATTCCTTTCCATGACAACAAGGCAGAACAAAACATTTATTATAGTCAGGGGATACTAAATTGCTTATGGCCTTGCATTATTTCAAAAGCTGGAAAAGTAAACTACAACTCATTTTCTTGATAAGGCAGCAAAACGGCAATGGAAGTAACATCTAAGGTATAAACAGAGTTTGATTGATAAAGAGAACAGAGGTATCAATTACTGAAGGCGAGTCTTTCTTGTGAAATGAATTTGGTTAGATAAAACTACTCATAAAACCACACAGAAGAAAGAAGGCAGGTCCAGGCAAGAGTTCCTGTAGTAAAACCATTTATAAAATTGTCACATAAATCCCTTCTCTTGGTGAAAATTGACTAATGAAGAAAATATGCTAAAAAAAATGGTTGAGTTTTAGCAATTTTCTTGAAAATTATAGAAAGTGTCAGAACTAGTCGAAACCGGTTTGGCTCAGTGGATAGAGCTTCGGCCTGCAGACTGAAAGGTCCCACGTTCGATTCTGATCAAGGGCATGTACCTTGGTTGCGAGCACATCCCCAGTAGGGGGTGTGCAAGAGACAGCTGATCGATGTCTCTCTCTCATCGATGTTTCTAACTCTCTCTCTCTCGTCCTCTCTGTAAAAAAATCAATTAAAAAAAAAGTGACAGAACTAGAACTTGAGTTAAACTTCTTGATTCTGAGTTAGTTACAAACATACTATAGTGCATTATGATCTACACAATAGATAACTCATTTTAAGCTCAAAATTATTTTTAGTATGAGTAAGATAATAAATTTTAATCAAGAATTTGCATTTAGTCAGGACTATAATTGAAATCTAGGTTGCAATCTTAACTTCCTTAATTATCAGAAAATTATTTAGTCTCTCTGAACCTGTTTTCACTCTTAAAAATGAAAACATATCATTATAAAGAAAACAAACGAACAACAAAAATTTACCATTAGACCATATACCTTGAGTTGTTAGGAATATAAATATGAACAACAGGTGAGGGAAGTAATGATAGAAAAAAACAAAAACAAAACCAGACAAATAAAATTACTAAAATAATAAACAAGGCTCTGGCTCGTGTCTCAGTGGCTGAGTGTCGTTCCTTGCAGGTTTACTGAAAGGTTGCAGGTTTGATTGTTAGTCAGGGCATATACCCCGGTTTCAGGGTTGATCCCCAGTTAGGGGGTGCAAGAGACAGCCCAACTGATGTTTTGCTCTCACATTAATGTTTCTCCCTCTCCCTTTTGCTCTCACATTAATGTTTCTCCCTCTCCCTTCATCTAGCTTTAAAAATTAATATAAAAATAAATAGGAACTAATAGCTACAATGAGTAGAAAAACAAGAAAAATAAGGTGCTAATATGTGCTTAAGAAATATTACATTTCATATCTACCTTCCCCTGCTAAATTATGACTTAAAAACACTGAGAATATACAGTATTTAATTTGCCCTGGCCAAGTGGCCCAGTTGATTGGAGCATTGTCCTATAAACCAAAGGGTTGCTGGTTGGATTCAGGACTGAGGGTTCAATCTCCGATATAAGCACAGATAGGAGGCAACTGATGGATGTTTCACTCTTCTCTCTCCCTTCCTTTATAAAAGTCAATTAAAATAATATCCTCTGGTGAAGATAAAAAAAGGCTTATTATTGGGAAAAGAAAATTATTTAATTCACCTTCTTGAGTAAACAAAGTTATATAATTAGAATATGAAAAATTTACTATAAATTGCAAGATTGAAATACAAACACTTTATGAATATTGATTAATAGCATGCCTGAGGAGGCAGTATAACAGATTCAAGCAGGTCCTCTAGCCAGAAAGATTGTGTTCAATCACATAATTTAAGATTGAGCAGGATACTTAACCTCTTCAAGTATCAGTTTCTTAACTTAGTTGGAAAATAAGAACAATATAAGCACCCATTTCACTGGATTGCTATGAAGATTTAATGGCAAAGCTATAATACTCAGATCAGTATGGTATTGGTAAAAACACAAGCACATAGATCAATAAACAGAATAGAAAGCCCAGAAATAAAGAAATCAGGAGTATATGGTGTTGGGAAAACTGGAGAGCCACAGCAGGAAAAAAATGCAAGTGGACCTTACACTACTCACAAAAATAACCAAAATGAATTAAAGGTTTGAACATAAGTTCTGAAATAATAAAAATCCTAGAAGACAACAGGGAGTAACCTCTTGACATTGTTCTCTTGATAATGGTTTTTTGGATTTAAAACCAAAAGCAAAGGCAACCAAAGCCAAAATAAACAATGGGACTAGGTCAAACCTAAAAACTTCTGAACATCAACAAAATGAAAACAAAACCTACAAAATAGGAGAAAATATTTGCAAACATATATCTGATAAAATATATATCTGTAAAAAGAACTCATAACTCAACAGCAAAAAACAAACACTCACACACCCACGCCTCCCAAATATCAGATTAAAAATAGGCAGAGGAACTTTTTCCAAAGACACAAATGGCCAACAGGTAAATGAAAAGCTGCTCATTGCAAATCATCAGAAAAATGCAAATGAAAACCACAATGTGATATCACCCAACACCTGTTAGAATGGCTGTCATCAAAAAACAAGAGTTAAGTATTGTCAAGGATGAGAAGAAAAGAACCCTGTGCATTGGTGGAAATGTAAACTGGTGCAGCCACTGTGGAAAAAGTATGGAGGTTCCTCAAAAAAATTAAACATAAAACTACCATATTATCCCTAATTCTATCCTGGATATCAGAAGGAAACAAATATCTGCACCCCCGTATTTACTGCAGACTGTTCACAACAGCCAAGCCATGGAAACAAACTAAGTGTCCTTGGAGAGATGAATGTATACAAAAAATGTGGTGTATATACACAATGAAATATTAATCAGCCATAACAACGAAGGAAAGAAATCCTGACATTTGCATGAATGGACCTGGAGGGTATTAAGTGAAATAGGTCAGACACAGAGAGAAAAATATCGTACACTCCCTCTTACATGTTGAATTAAAAAAAAAAAAAAATGAGCACATAGAAAATTGACAAAAAGTTACAAATTTCCAGTTATAAGTTCTTCAGATATAATGTAAAACATAACTTTTAGGTGTTTTGTTTTGTTTTTAAATACTGAATAGTATTTGACATATTTTAGTAAAGGATTAGGAAAAAATGACAAATCTGATGTCTTTAAACAGCTCTCTCAAAAGTTATTTGCTTTTCTTTTTTACTAAGCTATTTCTACTAAGCTCTATAAACCAACCACGTGCTTTGTAAAGAAACCTTATTATTTATTTTGATAGAAAAATTTATTATCAGTTATAGTAAGGGAAAAAAGTGATTTAAAAAAAAAAAAAAGATAAAAACGAAAGACACTAGTCCAAACAGTTGAAAATGCCTTTGAGAGTTCAAATCTACAGCTTCTTGAGAAAGTATCCTACTGCAGAATGCCTGGGAGAAGAGGGAAGAGCAGAACGTGCACAAGTAAGAGTTGTAAACGCCGAAGGTGCTTTCTTAGAGGGGCAGCTGGTACCCAGGTCAATGCCAGAGGGCCGGGGGGCGCTGCGGCCCCTCTCCCTGCGCCCCCAGCAGCGGCCAGACCTGCTCCAGCCTCCCCTCCAGAGCTCCCCTCCCGCTGACTCCGGGCAGACGCCGGCGCCACAGGTGGGGCGGGCGGGCGGGCGGGCGGGCCCCCGGGGCGGGGTCCCGGTCACGGCTTCCCTCGCGCCCAAAGGAGGAGGCTCTCCGCCGCGCGCCCCTCGCTCCACTTCCAGAGGCAGATTCCGAACCCAAAAAAGGCTGAAACTTTCCTCCTCCCTGGTCTCCCTGCAGAGAGCACCTCCCAGGTCCATAGCTAGCGAGCGCCTGAGGAGAGGGCGGGGTCTCCCCAGCTCTTCAGACGCGGACCGGGCCCTTCCTCCCCAAAGGAAAGAGCTCCCCTAAAGCCGGGACAGCTCCCCTCCACTCCTCCCCGGCCGCCGCCCGCCCGGCCGCCCGCCCGTACCTGAGAGGGAACGGCTCAGGGAAACCTCGGGACAAGCGGGCCTGCGAGCAACGCCGCCAGAGGGACGGGCATGGTCTACCTCGTCCAGGTCAGTAGCGCAGACGCGCCCCGGCCGCCGCAGCAGCGCCTCCCGCCTCCTCCTCCTCCGGGTGGGTCCGCACCGCCCGGGTTCGCTCGCAGCCTCGCATTGCACGTCGGGAAAGGCCTGCCTCCACTATTCCGATACTTCAGTTCCCAGGATGCACCAGCCTTCAAGAAGAACTGCACCCTGGGATTTGCAGTCCTAACTCTACGCCTTCTCCGCATCCTTAAACGCGGAGTCCTAGGAACCCGCTGAGGAACCTAACCGTAAAGCATCACCCACGGTCGTGAAATGTAGGCTCCTTTCGCATCCGGGACCTTATGCCAGCCTATGGCTGGGTGGAGAATGGTGTCGCCTAGCAGCCGCCGCCGCTATTGCTTGCTGGGAACCAGTTGGCGGGATCCAGCGTCCGCCTGGAACCGCGCTGGGGAGCACAGTTGCGGGGCGCGGCTGGGTGGATGCGGTAGTAGATGAGAAATCTCCGCTGGCTGCCGGGCGTGCTGGGTGGATCCTGGTGAACGGGAGCAGCGAATCTCTTCCCATGCAGGTTCTTTAAGCCTCGGGGCCCGTGTGCAATAGCCCAGCTTCCCCGCTCCTTAGTCTTTGCTGCGAAATCCATCTGCCTTCTTGCTTCAGCCCTGTTTACTCCGACCCTGATGCACTCATTTCAGTCGTTTGTTTATGCACTACTCCCCAGCCCCCCTCAGTGCCTGCTCCTCCAAATCAGAGGTCAGCTTCAGCCTTCCAAGTACCCCCGCGCTTGGCACCATTAGATGTTCGCGCGCCTTGGTGGCAGAGAGCGTGGAGAAGGTTCCTCAAAATATTTGTTCTGACCTAAATTAGTTTTAGCAAGAGAGCTGTCTTAGTTTATTTAGCCGGTACAATAATGGATGGTCTGTTTTGCTCACATATTTGTTACACAATCAAGGAGCCATAGCATAGCTCTTGGCTAACACCAAAGTTATAATAACGTAACCTATAAAAATTGTAAATTACTGTAAAAAACAGTAATGCTGTTTACTTTGAAGATGCTAATATCCACCTGTTTCGTTTCAGAAGATAAAGCATCGCTAAAGAATTCAAGATGCCACCTAGTATCAACTGGAAAGAAATAATAAAAGTTGACCCAGATGACCTGCCTCGGCAAGAAAAATTGGCAGATAATTTATTGGTTTCTTTATCCAAGGTGCTTAATTGACAAACATATGTTTATATTTATATGTATAATACATAGATATAAACACATAACAATGCTGAATCTTAGTTGTCCGTGAAGTCATGAGACTGGAAGAATTTTTATATTTTGCTTAAGGGTTATAAAATAGCTGCTTTTCTGTTTACTTCTTAGGTGGAAGTAAATGAGCTAAAAAGTGAAAGTCAAGAAAACGTGATACACCTTTTCAGAATTACTCAGTCACTAATGAAGGTTTGTATGTAGTGGGTTTTAAAAACAGTTTTGACTATTAGAAAAATTTAATGATCTGTTCTTAAATAAGTTAATCTTTGTGAAAGTACTTTGTAATATCTAAATCACCACTAAAAAGTGAGATATCATCACATGTGACTGAGAATTTTAGTGTGTAAAACATTGCTAGTTTTTGCTAAAGTTCCTAAAAGAATATGTAGGGATTAACAGAATAGGTATGATTAAAAATAACATAGGGAGGTCCTCTGTTAGTTATATTAGCAAAATCTTGAGATAGAAATGAAAAATGCAGATGACTGCTATAGGGATTTGTTAGAAGGGGAAGAGAGTTAAGGTCAAAGACTGATGTTGTTTTAGGCAAGTGGAAGGCAGTGGGAAAATGTTGAGATTCTAGAGCTGGAGGCTACCATAAATAAAAACTGGGAATTGAAAATGTGTATATTTTTTACATATGAGGAGACAAGTGCAAAAAGTTTATAGCAGCTTACAGAGGAAACATATGGTGGGTATCTGTATAGTTTGACAGCCTTGCTATTTTATATTGTTAGCAGTGAGGACTCATTAAAGGATTTTGAGCCACAATTGATAGATACAAAAATATGCATTAGGAAGGCTAACGTGGATTTGCTTATAGGACAAATTGAAGGATATAACATAAGGAAGGAGATTAAACATTAAATTATGACTTTGGGGAGGGAAGGTATGTATGGGGGGCAATGTTAAAATATCTACACAGATAATAATTTAATTAAAAAATAAACATGAAATTATGGACTAGAATAATGACAGAATTAAAAAAAAATAAGAAAAGAGAAAAAAGATATTGGAAACTATTACAAAAGGAAACATTAATACTTGATATAAGATTTGAGAGAAAGAGGAAACAAAGATGTTTTAAACTGTTAAGAATCTATAGCCTTAAGAAGGAAATCATGTATTATTCATGTAACAAATATTTATTGAATATCTCTGTGTGACAGGCACTGCAGCCACTAAATTTTGGGAGAGCAAATAAAAGTCTCATTTTCAGTTCTTACATTCTCGTTTAAAGGCATACTAATGTTACCTTTTTTTTTTTTTTTAATATTTAGATGAAAGCTCAAGAAGCAGAGCTAGCTTTGGAAGAAATTGATAAAGCTGGAGAAGAACAAGCAAAAGTTGGTAAATACCTTGATAAAGGTTTATGATGTTAAAGAGATTAGCCAAAGAACATCTGTGCAAATTCCATGGACACAGGCAACAGTGTGGTGAAGACCAGAGGGAGGTGGGGTTGGCGCTGTGTGGAGGTGGGCAAAGGGAGGGAAATAGGAGACGTCTGTAATAGCGTCAACAATAATTTTTAGGAAGTTTGTGTTGTTAGATACTGGATTCCATTTATCACTGAGCAATAGAGAATTAGCTTTAGTATAGCCTATAAAATTTGTATATTCTATTTTGAAAGATCACTCCTGTCGAAACCGGGTTGGCTCAGTGAATAGAGTGTCAGCCTGCTGACTGAAGGGTCTCAGGTTCGATTCCAGTCAAGGGCATGTAACTTGGTTGCAGGCATATCTCCAGTTGGTGGTGTGCAGAAGGCAGCTGATCACTGTTTCTCTCTCATCGATGTTTCTAACTCTTTCTCTCTCCCTTCCTCTCTGTAAAAAAATCAATAAAATATATTAAAAAAAAGAAAGATCATTCCTACTTTATGGATCTGGTATAGAATAGTATTTTTCCTCTTACATAACAACCATATAAAAATCATAATGGAATTTTTACAATGATTTAATTTTATTGAAATTTATTTAAAAGCTTGATAAATCTGGCCAATTGGAACATTTCTCTCTCTTTTTTTTTTAACAGAAAATAAATTTCAAACTGAATTAATGAGATTGGAAAATGAACTGGAGGTAAGTCCTTTTGTATTTTCTAGGATATAATTGCCATTAATTTTATTGTTGGAATTATTATTTTAATATTTTTTTATTGTTTGGAAAAATCACAAGAATGTTATTATATTCATAATTATGTGTTCAATATTTATTTTACATACCTATTATGTACCTTCAATTCTATTAAGAATTGAGCATCTGATTGTGAACAAAATAAAAACATTCAATAATCCTGTAGAGCCTATAGTTTAGAGAGATATACAAAGGATTACTAATAATTGGTAGAGTAAGGCATGTGGAAATTTGAGGAATAGTGACAGAAGATATAATAGAAGAAGCATTTTTTGAGAAAGCCCAGCAAGAGTTAAAATAAGAAATTTATTGTTAAAGAGCTTTATATATTGAGATTCTTGAGAATGTGGGACAGAATTGGGTTATATTTTAAAAGGAGGAAGGGAGCATGAATGGGTGTATACAGAAGTCTTTAGTTAGTAGGTTTTGTGCCTGGAAATTGAACAAATGCAGAGAAGGTCATCCGCTGAAATTAAGAGTAGGAGATGTGTGGTCCAGTTTAAGGAAGATAAAGCATGAAATATAGTAGAGATTACTAGATCTGGAGTAAGACTATATGAGTTCAAATTCTGATTCTTTTATATGTTAACTCAGTGAATTTTGTTTTTATTTCCTATTGTATATTCTGCTTGTAGGATAATACCAACTACTCTCAATAAATACTAAGTAAATTATAAAGTCTGATCCATTCTGTGTTAGTGTTTGGCCCGAGAGTTGCTGTTAGAATAGAAGAATAGGGCTATTGGAGATTTTAGTAAGAAAGTGTTTGAATTGATGATTATGAAATCCTAGCTGAATAGACAAGTAAGTCAAGATTGGAGTGGTGTGAGAGGTTAGGGAGAAGAGGATTCAAGAGATTAAAGGGTCCTGTGAGGTCAAAAGCAGGTATACTGGAAATAAAGCAGAGAGTGTTCCTGCCTGGACAAGATCCTGGTGTGAGTGTAGGAGTGGGAGTTAATAATGAATTCTAGAAGCAAGAAAAAAGAAAAGAAAAAAGAAAAAAAGACCAGAATGAAAGTTAATCCTATATAATAAAAGCCCAGCAACCAAACTGCAGAATGATGGGTTGGTCAACCAGTTGCTATGATGCACACTGACCACCAGAGGGTAGATGCTCAGTGAAGGATGAGCAGTTCTCCCATAGCAGGCAGATCCCCGCATGCTACGCCTCCCATCAGTGCACAAATCCCATAGACTGAGCCTCTAGTATAGATATAGATATTGCTTAGAGAGGCTTTTGATGGAAGACTATGACCACATGCCAAAAATTCTCAATGAATTTTGCGAGCTGATAGTTTGCTTCTGTCATGAGTAAAAAGGTAGAGATCTGTAGCTGGGTATATTGAGGTTTTGCAGAATAGTGCAGGGATGATAGGCTGGAAGTTGCATAAGTAAATCATTACCTCTTGACCCTGAAATATGTTGATATAATTGAGCATTTTCCAATTGACAAGAGTTTCAAAGGAACTTAGTATTCTAAAAGAGCCAATTGCAACTAAGGCAAGGAGTTGGAAAGGACGTTCAGTAAAAACGATTGAGGATGTAAAATATTACCTTATCAGGAAGAGGATTTTCAATAGCACAATGGAAAATTTTTGAAGCAGGAAAAGAAGGAGAAAAATTTAGTTAAGGTATGGTAACAGAATCTGGTGAAGAGATGAACATGAGACAGATTAGATTTGTGGTTGGTAAACTGCGGCTCTCGAGCCACATGTGGCTCTTTGGCCCCTTGAGTGTGGCTCTTCCACAAAATACCACAGCCTGGGCGAGTCTATTTTGAAGAAGTGGCATTAGAAGAAGTTCAAGTTTAAAAAATTTGGCTCTCAAAAGAAATTACAATTATTGTACTGTTGATATTTGGCTCTGTTGACTAATGAGTTTGCTGACCACTGGATTAGATGACCAAAGGATTTGAAGTTTTGGATCATAACCCAAAATAACAGGAATGTGAAGTGAAATGGATTTAGTCTGATACAAAGATAATTGATTATATTTGATTAAAGATAATCAAAGTCTGGGCTGTCCAATACAGTAGCACTAATCACTTGTGGCTATTTACATTGAAATTCATTATAATTAAAATTAAGCATTCAGTTCTGTAGTTGTCTTAGCCACATTTCAAGTGCTCATTAGCTACATGTGGATAGTGACTCCTATGCTGGACAGTGCAGAGAACACTCTATTGTAGAAAGTCCTACTGGATAACACTGGTCTAAATAGTCTGGTATAAGAGTAAGGGCAGGTTCAGTCAGAAAAAGACAAGTATCACATTATCTCACTTACATGTGGAATCTGATGAACAAAATAAACTGACGAACAAAATAGATCCAGAGGCATTAAAGCATGAAACAAACTGACAAATTTCAGAGGGAAGGGGGTAGAAGGGTAGAAACAGATTAACCAAAGAATTTATATGCATATACGCATAACCCACGGACAGACAATAGTTTGGTGAAGGGCTGAGGAGGGGGCAGGAGCAGGGTGGAGGGGGCGGTCAATGGGCAAAAAAGGTGACATTTGTAATACTTTCAACAATAAAATTAAAAAAAGAGTAAGGGGAGGTTAACACCAGGGTTCAGTGACTGGGATGAAGGCGCTGGTGGTTTGTAGCCTGGTTTCAGAGCTCTGCTCTTCAGGGGAAACCTAGATCATCATGTTTTCTGTGCCTGGGCAGTTTAGTCTGGCTCAGAAGCTATAACAGAGCCTGAATAATTCACCGTCAGTTCTTCATAGGTCTGGTGGCTCAGGAAGAGCTTTAGAGGGTTGTCAACCTATGAACTAAATCTTAAATAAGCTAAATTAAAAAAAATATATATATATATATTGATTTTTTTTTTACAGAGAGTAAAGGAGAGATATAGAGAGTTAAAAATGTCGATGAGAGAGAAACATCGACTAGCTGCCGCTTGCACACCCCCTACCGGGGATGTACCCACAACCAATGTACATGCCCTTGACCGGAATCGAACCTGGGACCTTTCAGTCCGCAGACTGACACTCTACCACTGAGCCAAACCGGTTTTGGCATTAAATAAGCTAAATTTTTAAATATGTTTCTTAAGGTAATATGACTTTAAATATTATAATACACATTTAAAGTCAAGATAGTGGTTTGTTGTTGACTTATTTTAATCTCTAAATATGGGATTAATTTATACTTTTGGTTTATTTAAGATGGCACAACAGTCTACAGGTGGACGTGACACTCGGTTTTTACGAGATGAAATTCACCAACTTGAAAAGCAATTGGAACAAAAAGATAGAGAATTGGAGGACATGGAAAAGGAGTTGGAGAAAGAGAAGAAAGTTAATGAACAAGTAAGGCACATATTTTCAATGAATCTTAACTGTTTAAATTATCTAAAAAACACCTGTTTATGCTTTTTATAATTAATGATGATAATATCAGTTTTTATGGTTGTATTTTTATGTGCAAATTGATGTAAACTTACCTCTAAGGTTTTATATTATAACCAGAGGCCTGATGCATGAAAATTCATGCAGGAATAGGCCTTCCTTCCTCTGGCTGCTGGCACCTGCTTCCCTCTGGCACTAGTGACCCAGGCTTCCCCCTGGCCTGGCTTTGTCAGGAATGACATCTAGAATGATGTCTGGAAGATGTCAGTCTAATTAGCATTTTACACTTTTATTATTATAGATTTGTGTTGTCATCACATCTTCATAATGAGTCAGGTACTTCTAGTTAATATGACTTGGAGATTAATTCTTTACATTTGGAGGTACATATTTTTTCAGGACTACGATTGTTTATATAAAATTGATTATTTGGTCTGGAAAATAGGTATGAAGAAATGAATAGACATTTAAAAAATTGTTTTTATATCTGCCATAGTTTATTTTGGGAAAAAAAGTATTTTTTAATAATTCCTTTATATTAGTAATAGACTTAGAAATTAATCCTTTAGTTATGTTTTTATAATGATTAATCAGATTTCTGATTTTGATTTTGAGGTATACTTCACATTATATAATCTATAGGGGTTTAAAAAGTTGTGCTGATGCCAACTTTTTGTAAAATCAATGCATACTTTATTTATTTTTTCCAATGCATACTTTAAATCATGACATTTCATCTTTTGTATGAGCATAATTTCCTGTTATCTCTTACATTAGTTCTTATAAAATAATTCATGCTGTGTTCTAAATTTTGTTTGAGGAAAAACAGTTTTTTGTAGATAAGTTTGTATTTCCTGTCAGAAAATAACATGTTTTACTTTTGGCTCAGCTGTCAGTAAAATTAGTACAGAATTGGATGCCTACCTGTGGTAATTGTTCCATACCTGATGAAAAGAAGCTTTTCCTACCTTTGTGTCCTTCAGAAGGTCAATGTTGTATTACATCTTGATAATCTTCTTGCCTCCATTGGTTATATATTTTATTTTTATTTTTATTTATTTATTTTTAAAATAAATTTTTATTGTTCATATTATTACAAATGTTCCTTTCCCCCCCCCCCACCATTGCTCTCCTCCACCAGGTTCCCACCCCACCCTCTGCCCTTTCCCCACTCCCCATTGTCCTCATCCATAGGTGCACAGTTTATGTTCAGTCTCTTCCCACATCTCACTCTCCCCTTTTTCCCAAGAATCGTCAGTTCACTCCCCTTCCATACCTCTGATTCTATTATATTCAACAGTTAATATTGTTCATCAGATTTTTTTTAAATTTCCTTGTTTTTTAGATTCACTTGTTGATAGTTACGTATTTGTTGTTCATAATTTTTATCTTTATTTACTTTCTCTTCTGAAAGAAACCCCCTTCAGCAATTCATATAATTCTGGTTTGGCGGTGATGAACTCCTTTAGCTTTTTTTTATTAGTGAAGCTCTTTATCTGACCTTCGATTCTGAGTGATAGCTTTGTTGGATAGATTATCTTTGGCTGTAGGTTCTTACTATTCATCACCTTGAATATTTCTTGCCATTCCCATCTGGCCTGCATGGCTTCTGTTGAGAAATCAGCTGACAGTCTTATGGGTGCTCCTTTATAGGTAACTACCTGCTTTGCTCTTGCTGCTTTTAATATTCTCTCTTTGTCTTTTGCTCTTGGAATTTTAATTATGATTTGTCTTGGTATGGTCCTCTTTGGATTCCTTTTGTTTGGAGTTCTGTGCGCTTCCTGGACTTGTAAGTCTAATTCTTTCACCAGGTGGGGGAAGTTTTCTGTCACTATTTCATTCAGTATGTTTTTGATATCTTACTCTCTCTCATCTTCTGGGACCCCCATAATTCTGATGTTGGTTCCCTTGAAGTTGTCCCAGAGGTTTCTTATATTATCTTCAATTTTCTGGATTCTCTTGCCTTCTAGCTTCTGCAGAGGAGTGTCTTCTGGCTCTTTATGTTCCACCTCTTGACTTGATTCTTGCGATCTTCCATTCTGTTTTTAGGACTCTGTATAATATTTTTTATTTCAGTCAATGTATTCTTTATTTCTTGTTGATCCCTTATCATTTCTTGTTGATTCCTAATTAATTCTAGTTGATCCCTTTTCATATCCTCATAGGTCTTATCCATCTTTTCTGGGAAATTCTTGAAAAACCTTATAAGCGTAGATTTGAACTCTATATCCAGTCGCTTTTTGTCCTCCATTTCTTTCATTTGTGATCTATTTCGTCTCGGCATTTTCGCAGCTTTCCTGAGTTGGTAGCCTTAAAAGTCTCTGTGTTCTGCTTGGATGGGGCAGGGTTTCAGGGTGGAGCCTACAGCTTTGGCTTCCGTCAGCCCCGCCCTATGCAGCTCCAGAGTCTTAGGGTCCTTCAGTACTCGCTGCCAGCACCTCTGAGAGAAAGGTGCCCTCGATTTTCGCCTGCTGCCAAACAGTCTGTACTCTTCCCCCAATGAGCCCGGTATTGGGGTTCAGTTCAGTTGGTAGTGAGATTGGAGGTGGCTTTCAGAGCAGTCTGGAGCCCCTGTCTCCTTCCCGCCAGGGCAATTCCACAGCACAGCCAACCGTCCCTTCTCTGCGCGCAATGTGCTCGCCTCTGGGACCTCCTTTCGTCGCTTCCCTGGGGTTCTGCCTTACAGCCCGGCTCCCTATGGATGAGCCTGGGTCCCCGGGGTCTGGCCTAGAACTGGGGTTCAGAGCAGTTGGAACTGGGGCCAAGCACAGTCGGAGTGTTTATCTCCTTCCCGCTAGGGAACGCCAGCCAGGCACTCATCTGCCCTCCTCTCGGGCTACATCCTCTCCGCGCTCCGGGTGCCTCCGTACCTTAGGCTTTTACAGCTCCTCCGCACTTCCTTCTGGTTTTCTCCTTGCTTCTTGTTGTAGAATTTCCAGTCAGTCGACTTTCCCGTAGTTCTGGGTAATGTCCATTTTATATTTTAGTTGTATTTTATTGAAATTGTTGTGTGCGGCTGTGGCTAGGTGTTTACCTGTCAGCCATCTTGGAACGACTTCCATTGGTTATATATTTTAAGTAAACAGACTTTTTAGGTGATTTTCTATTTAAAGAGAATCCATCATAAAATTAATTTGTAAGAAAAAGCATCTCCATTTTTTATATATCTATTTTACTATATAATTTTGAAGAATCATGCAGGGTAAAAGGTATGGATTGATGCCATCTAAAGGTTAGAATTAAATGCTTAGATTATTATCTGTTTTGTTGACTCAGTAAAACATAACAGACCTGTGGATTTTTTAATAATGGTAAAGGATCCAACATTATAGTAATACAGTTGCTTAGGGGGATGTCTGTCTGTGTGGTTTTCTGTCTGGCCCATACATTAGTCAACTTCTTACTAATCATAACACACACCCTTAGCTAATCATAGCTACCTGTTCATTCAGTCCTTAAACTACTATCTTTTTGCATAGGCACACACACAGAAAACATGAATATATGGCCTATATACTTTGCAGCTGCTAGGTTCCTTAAGATGGAAAATGAATTGCTCTGACAACTTCTTTTTTGTTCATAACCAGTTATTCAATTTTACTGAGTATTTACAGCATGCCAGATAATATGCTTAGTACTAGGGATATAGTGGGCAACTAATTGTATTCTGTTTCTCCATGATATTAACTGTCAATAATAATTATAACATAGAGATAATGTAATACTTTGGTGATATATATGTATATAAGAATATTTGGGAATACTCTGGAGAGTAATACCTAAATCAGTCTTGATAAAAAAGTGATCTGTAAATTGAGACCTGAAGTAGGAGTGAGCCTGGTAGGGGGAATGGGATGTACGTAGTGGTTAAGAAAAGTGCATCTGGACCTCTAATATATATAATTACATATATATGTGATGTGTGTGTATGTGTATGAGTGTGTGTGTGTGTGTGTGTGTGTGTGTGTGTGTGTGTGTGTATACACACACTAAAGGCCCGGTGAACAAAATTCGTGCATTGGGGTGGATGTCCCTCAACCCAGCCTGCACCCTCTCCAATCTGGGACCCCTCGGGGGATGTCCAACTGCCGGTTTAAGCCCAATCCCTAAACTGGCAGTTGGACATCCCTCTCACAATCTGGGACTATTGGCTCCCAACTGCTCGCCTGCCTGCCTGCCTGCCTGATTGCCCCTAACTTCTTCTGCCCGCCAGCCTAATCACCCCCTAACCACTCCCCTGCCAGCCTGATTGATGCCTAACAGCTCCCCTGCCAGCCCAATTACCTCCAAGTCCTTCCCCTGCTCACCTGGTCGCCCCCAACTGCCCTCCCCTGCAGGCCTGGTCACCCCTAATTGTTCTCCCTTGCTGGCCTGGTTGCCCCTAACTGCCATCCCCTGCAGGTCTGGTCCCCTCCAACTGCCCTCCCTCCCCTGCAGGCCTGATCACCCCCAATTACCCTCCCCTGCCAGCCATCTTGTGGTGGCCTTCTTGTGACCACATTTGGGCAGCTATCTTGTAAGAGGTTGTAATTTTTGTATTACTTCTTTATTATATAGGAGATATATATATATATATATATATATATATATATATATATATATCCTATATAATAAAGAAGTAATACAAAAATTACAATATATATATATTGTATACAATTACAATATACAATATATATATATTGAGAGAGAGAGAGAGCGCGCCATTGATCCCTGGCAGGGGGTTGAATCTGCAACCTTATGGTGCACAGGATGACACTCAAACCAACTGAGTCACATTGCCAAGGGTCTGCCCTCCAGTTTTAATATTCGTGATCCTCTGGAGAGATAGGCAAAGGCCTATTCCTGAGAAATTTGGTCTTTTTTTAAAAAGATCCAATGAAGAATTTTGAACACAGGGATATCATGATCAATTCTATGCTTTTAAGTTTACTTTGTAAAGAATGGATTGATGGTGGTAAAGACTAATTAAGAGGCATTTCAGGTAAGTGTTGAAGTAATGACTGAGGAGGGTTAGGGACAGAAATACATTTGAATGTGGACATGATGAAGGATTGCTTGCTGGTGAGGAGGGAGGAATGGGGATTCCACCTAATTTTCTGGGTTGGACCACTGGATAGATGGAGTACACAGGAAACACTGGGTAGATGATAAGGATTTGTAGGTTATCAGTCTAGATATTGAAGCCTAGAAATTCTTGTTAGGCAGATCTCTGAGACATAGAAATGTCTAAAGAAGTAGGAGGAAATGCTTCAAGAAAGAAACAGCTCAAGGAAGGACAAATATCAAGAGTGTGATAAGTTTTATATAGCACATTGCATTTTATTATAAATTTTCTTTAAATTTAAAAAAAAAATATTTTATTGATTTTGTACAGAGAGGAAGGGAGAGAGATAGAGAGTTAGAAACATCGATGAGAGAGAGTCATCGATTGGCTGCCTCTTGCATACCCGTTACTGGGGATATGCCTGCAACCAAGGTATATGCCCTTGACCAGAATCGAACCCGGGACCCTTTAGTCCCCAAGCCGACACTCTATCCATTGAGCCAAACCAGTTTTGGGAATTTTCTTTAAATTTTAAAAACCTGCATATCATCATAATGATTGTAAGAAAAATAATACTCTTATACTACTATTCATTAGGTTTAGAAGTTAACATTGTGCCACATTCTGTGTGTCTTTATACACAGAAACTTTACTTCTCTCTTATTGATAATTGATTTCAGATCTTATGATATCTCCTATTAAATATTGAGATATCATGATTCTTTATACTTAAATATTCAGTATGTTTCACTTGAAAAGTGAAGTTTTTCTAACAAAATTGCTCGATTTATTAGCATAGTACGGAAATATCTTTTATTTATTGATTCAATAATGCCCATCATAACCTCCCTGCCCACTATCCAAGGTTCAATCAAGGATCACATATTATGATTTGTTATGTATTATAGACTTTTAAATGTGTTATAGTTGGCACACATTGTGATTCTGTCTTATTCTTGAGATAAGGAAGAAAAGCAGAAAAGTGAAAGGTCATAAGAGAGATAGGATTTGACCATAGGTGAAAAAAATCCATAATAATGATAATAATATGTGCCTGTTTAGAGAAAATAAAGAAAAGAGTCACGAATTAAATTGTTTATATGTGAAGAGAACAACACTTCAAAATTTTTTGATATTCCATGCATTGAATATTGTGCTAAGGATTTTATATGCATCATACTTAATTCTATGTCAACATATGAGATGAGAATACTGAATTTCAAAGATGTTTAATGACTTGTTTACACTTTATTAAAAATTGTTGAACAAGGTATATAAACCTAGGTCAGTCTGATTTCACATTTCTTCTTCTTGACCATTATGTTTTATTGCCTTATATTTATAAACAATTTAATGTTCACTGGGAGCAAAGATTATTCTAGCGCTGAAATATTACAACTGTGAAATGATAAAGAGCTTGGACAGAACACTACTCATTATTAGGATATATGGGCAGAGGAAGGTATAATGTTTTTTGCTTTCTGTATCCTTGGATAGAATTTTTTGCTTTTTTGTTTTTATAATCTTTGAACTCAATGTGTTTTATCCTTCCTAATTCTTAGTTTTTAAAAATTTTGTCTTATTATTTATGTCTTGGGTTGACATGTAGTTCTTAGTAATTAAATATTATTTTCTTTATTGGAGAGGATTTAAAATTTAAATGGATTAGATGAAAACGTGGCATATTAAATTAATGCTGAATTTTATTTATTCATTTGCTCTTTTAGCTGGCTCTTCGAAATGAGGAAGCTGAAAATGAAAACAGCAAATTAAGAAGAGAGGTTGGTAAAAAATAAAAATAAAAATTGGTATCTGTGGTATTTCAACAGATACTTTTTAAAAAAGTTTTCATAAATTTATGCTGTAACCAGGACTGGAATCCTCTAAGTAAGTGATGATTTTCACACTGGCTGATTTTATGACGTGACTTTGTGTCAGGGAAATAGAAAAATAATATAGAGGTGAGACGATTAAGTACTACATTCATCTCTCAGGCCTACGTGGATAAATCTTGCTTTCTGTTGTATAAACTATTCTTTGTTAGTTTCCTAACTGAATATATGACTGGATTTCTGTCTTATTTCTCTTACATTTAAAATTTTTGTTCATGAAATCCTGTCAGGTCTAATTATTATTTGGTTTTTCTGAGCCAAATAATGTTTGTACATTGCTTATCTTGATAAGAATTCTTATCTTTTTAACAGAATCAAGATGTTCTTTGTTTTTGTTGATAATTAGTATTCTTGCTTTCTTTGTTTATCCAAAATAATATCTCATCCTTTTACAATTTCTCTTTATTTTTTAAATTTCTGATTATTTTTAATTATATTGCCTTTCATTTCTAATTACTCTTTCCTGTCCTTTTCTGGAGAACAAACGTCTAAAGAAAAAGGTGAGGCTTTAGGGGTGGTGAAATCTTGGGATTTTTAAAGATATGTTTGGAGATCACTTTTTAGAGGATAAAAAATTTTTTTTGGATAGTTTCTTAATAGAATTTTGTATTTGGTCTACCTTCAGAATGAACAGCTTCGTCAAGATGTTATTGACTACCAGAAACAAATAGATTCACAAAAAGAAACACTGTTATCAAGAAGAGGAGAAGACAGTGACTATCGATCACAATTGTCTAAAAAAAACTATGAACTTGTTCAATATTTGGATGAAATTCAGGTAAAAATGATAAAAGTCTGTTCAAGGCAGTGCTTCTTATAAAACTTTAATTTCATTATAGTGTAAATATTAGCCCTATATTTAAATTCTTTAGTAAAAATCTGTACCAAATGTGTATTTGCCAAGATGAAATATATTGCATCTTTGAAGATGCAAATCTTGCAAATCATTCTTTTTATACTCTTATCTCGGCCATTGTTTAAGAAGAACTAAGATCCTTAGTTGTAAAGTGTTCTTGGTATTAATTTGATTTAATTGGTCAACAATAGTTGATATTAAAGATCTATAAAGAATTATCTTTTCTCCAACAGATACTTATGCCATTTAATTTTAATTTAGCTTAAATTTCACTTTCTTAAATTGTTTTTAATCAAAATATTTTTAACTTTCTTAGACTTTAACAGAAGCTAATGAGAAAATTGAAGTTCAGAATCAAGAAATGAGAAAAAATCTAGAAGAGTCTGTACAGGAAATGGAGAAGATGACTGATGAATATAATAGAATGAAAGCTATTGTGCATCAGACAGATAATATAATGGACCAATTAAAAAAAGAAAATGAACATTATCGTCTTCAAGTAAGAATTTTTGTTGGACTAACTTATTTTTGCAGACTTCTGTCTTATTTTATAATGTCTTGTTACTAATTATTTGAAACTAGACTGTACTTTAACATTCTAGGACATGAATTTTTGTTTTATGCTGCAGTATGTCATTTTATACTATAATATGTTGCCTTGCTGATTTATCTTCTATAAATATAAAAGGCTAATATGCAAAATGTCCACTTCGGAGACTGAGTGATCACTTGCTATGATGTGCACTGACCACCAGGGGTGGCACAAAATGAAGAGAGATCCTGGCCCGCAGCCAACAACTGGGGAAGGAAGGCCACGGCTGGCAGCTGGAAGGCCAGGCCTAGGAACCCTACCCATGCAGAATTTCATGCACCGAGCCTCTTGCCATGTAGGGTGTATAGGTGATACCTTAATGAATGTGTAGATCACATGTGTCAAACACAAGGCCCGCGGGCCAAATCCGTCCCGCCAGGCCTTGCAATGTGGCCCGCACCGCACTGTCATCACTGCACTCCGCTGTGTTTCCATCACAATGACAGTTTGACTGTTCAGTAAACCATTCAGCCCGCGATTTAGGCTGGATTTTAGATTTTGGCCCCTTCTCTGATTGAGTTCGACACCCCTAATGTAGATAATAGTCCTACAAAGCTACTAATTAATGGAATTTTCTACAAAGACTCTTAGGAGTCCTGTGAAACAAAGTTTAATTTTACACCATAAATGTACTATAAAAATCAAAGAAACAAATATATTGTTCATACATGGGTTTAAATTTTATTTAAGAAAATATAATAATACTTAAAAATATAATTTTCTAGTAATGGAAAATAATTATACAACTGTAAAGTTGCAGAAACCATTAAATGTCACCTTTAACTATATAACTGCTCCAATAATGAATATACATTAGTATTGTACATGTGTATATGTTTATGTAAATACATATTGTATGTGTGATATATTCCTAGGTATCCATGTATAATAAATGTGTTTATATCACACTAATTTGCAATAATTCTAGAAATGATTTTTGCCTTCTAGGTGCAGGAGCTTACAGATCTTCTAAAAGCAAAAAATGAAGAAGATGATCCAATCATGGTAGCTGTTAATGCAAAAGTAGAAGAATGGAAGGTGCCTTTTTCAATTGATATAATGGCTTTTTCATTTGCAGTTTTCATTTCAATTTTTATTCTTAGTTTTCTTTAAAGACCTTATGACAGTAAATGACATTTATTAGGCATTTTAAAAAGTGTATTATATATCTTAGCTAGAAAAACTCCTTTCTCCTGCAAAGTCTTCTAGCTTATTTGTTGTTGAATGAGCTCTTCCCCATTTAATGAGTTCAACTTGTAATTAAAATTTCTGATAGAAATCTAAGTCCAAAATATAATGTATTTGTCATCTAAAATAGACAATTCTAAATAGACTTAATTATTTTAATATAAATCATAGTTACCTTAAATATATTAGGTATGTAGTTCCAGGTTACATTTTAGTGTAGTCAATTTTTCTAATTCTCCTTCCATGTCAGAGTAATCAAGCTTTAGGCATTCAGTGGGAATGGGAGTGAAGAAAGGATCTTTCAGAATCATGTGTGATGTTACTTTTCAAAAATCTCTTCCTCTTTACTGCTCTCCAGCCACATCATATCCTCAGCCTTACCATATCAGAAGCAAGGATCCTAATAGTTGCATGTATTCAAAAGTCTGACATGATTCTGAATAAATTTATAAAAGCCTGAGTGACCCTTATGACTGGATGACCATAACGAATGACAGGAAAGACCAGTCAACTAGTCCCTGAGACCTGCACTGACCAACAGGGGGCAGATGTTCAATGCAGGAGCTGCACCCTGGTGGTCAGTGTGCTCCCATAGCCAACCTCCCATTGGTGACCCCCCTTCCCCTCAGCTCCCCCTAGCCAGCCAGTCTCCCACAGTCCCTCCCCCTGTCCAGCCAACCTCCTGGAGTCCCTTTCCTTGGCCAGTGTTCCCCCTCTCCCCCCAGCCCCCACTGCTAGACCTGAATTGACAGCGAGGCCGAGGGATACCACCTGTGCATGAATTCTTGCACCAGGCCTCTAGTCTATATATATAAAAGCCTAAACTACTCCATTCAACCAGTAGCTATGACACACACTGACCATCAGTTGGCTGACAATCGGTGTACAGGCGTGGAAACATGGAACAGACTGATGAATTTCAGAGGGTAGGAGGAAGGGGGAGGGTGGGAAGAGATTAACCAAAGATCTTATGTGCATACTAGAGTGGGCACCTGGTGCACAGATTCATGCACCAGTGGGGTCCCTCAGCCTGGCCTACAGGGATTGGGCCGAATCTATGCACAGGGCCTCCAACATGCCCCAAGGGGTCCCGGATTGCGAGATAGCACAGGCCAGCCGTAGGGACCCCACAGGTGCATGAATCTGTGCAGCAGGCCTCTAATTTTAATTATAAAAGCTATCACTTTTATAGTCAATGTTTCTAACAATGTTCACATAAATCTTACTGGTCATTTGGAATTGGTCATCACTTGGGAAGCTCATAATCTATATTTTAAACAAAGGCAATTAGAGGACAATAAACCTTCTGTAAAAGGCCAGCGAGTAAGTATTTTAGCCTTTTTTGTCTTTGGAATCATTATTCAACTCTGATATTACTAGTATAACATGAAAGTAAGTATAGACAATATATAAATGAATGAGCAAAGTACTAATACATCTTTACAAAAATACGGAGTAGGCCAAATTTGACTCATGAGGCATAATTAACCAATCCCTGGAAAGAAAAGTTGTTTTTACCATATTTAATTTTGGGAGGAGAGATGGTAGCATATGTATTCTTTTGTACTTTGTATTTGCTTAGCATCTTTTTTGTTGTTACTGTGCAGATGTTTCTCTTTTTTTTAAGCTTTATTGTTAAAAGTATTATATACATCTGCTTTTTCCCCATTGACTCAATCTAGCCCACCCTCTTAGTATCTGTCTTCTTGCTTAGTAATTTTTAAAAATTTTATAAATAGATTTTTTAAAAATGTGTTGTTGTTGTTGTTGTTGTTTTTTAATTGATTTCAAAAAGAGGAAGGGAAAGGGAGAGAGAAAGAAAAACATTAGCCGAAACCAGTTTGGCTCAGTGGTAGAGCGTCGGTCTGCGGACTGAAAGGTCCCAGGTTTGATTCCGGTCAAGGGCATGTACATTGGTTGCGGGCACATTCCCGGTAGGGGGTGTGCAAGAGGCAGCTGGTCGATGTTTCTCTCTCATCGACGTTTCTAGCTCTCTGTCCCTCTCTCCTCCTCTCTGTAAAAAAATCAATAAAATATATAAAAAAGAAAAAGAAAAAAAAAAGAAAAACATTAATTATGAGAGAGAATCATTGACTGGCTACACACCCCCAGCAGGGATCAAGCACACAATCCAGGCATGTGCCCTGACTGGGAATTGAACTGTTACCTCCTGGTTCATGGGTCCACACTCAACTACTGAGCAACACAGGCTAGTGAGCTTAGTATCTTTTAAGAAACATTATATCAGTGCATATTATATTGCATTGTTCTTTTTAATGGCTGTGTAATATTTCTTTGTGTAATATTTAGGAGGTTTCCAATTTTTGCTGTTGGAAACTATTTAATGAAATATCTTTGTATATTCATTATTTTGAGAATGTATATCGAATAAATTGATACAAGCATAATTGTGATACACATTGCAAATATATTCTTTCAGTTTGTCATTTGTGTTTTGGCTTATGGTATTTTTTTGCTTTGAAATATTTTTTATGTATTATAAGGGCATATATTTTGTGGCTTTTGGCCATTGTATTATAATTAGAAAGGATTCTAAATATAAAATTACTTCCTCATATTTTCTTCTAGTATTTCCTAGTTTCCTTTTTTTACAGTTAGATCTTTAAAGTATATGTAATTCATTTTGGTATAAAAATGAGATATGTATGCTCTAGAGCTAGTGTTGTCCAAACATCATTTATTGAATATTTTATAATTCTCCTACTAAAACGCTGTTCCATTTTTATTACAACAAACTCCTGTTGAATTTTAATTTATTTTAGTATTCTCTTTTTTATATCGATTGATCTATTTTTAATCATGTATACTTGTTTCCATTATTGTTATGTGTAAATATTTGCAAAAAGCTGTTCTAATTTTTCTGTTTTTAGACTCTTATAAATGTGTTTTTTAATACAGATTTTAGAAATATATATATATTTTGGTTATTCCCTCACCCAAGAATATTTTTCCATTGATTTTTAGAGAAAGTGGAAAGGAGGAGGAGAGACATAGAGAAACATTGTTGTGAGAGAGACACATTGATTGGTTGCTTCCTGCACACACCCCAAGGCCAGGGATCAAATTTGGACTCTTCAGTCTGCAGGCCAATGCTCTATTCACTGAGCCAAACTGGCTAGGCTAGAAATTGTTTTAAAAAATATTATTTTATTGTGTATATATTCAGTTTATAAATTAATTTATAGATTGCTGTTGATATTTGTTCCTACTAGTAAAGAACACAAGATTCCTTTCTTTCTTTTTTTAATTGAGGTGTAATTGACATAACATTATTTCAAGTGCACAGTGTAATGATTTCATATCTTATCTAATAAAGAGGGAATATACCGTATTTTTCGGACCATAAGACGCACTTTTTCCCCCCCAGAAGTGGGGGGGAAAAGTCCCTGCGTCTTATGGTCCAAATATAGCCTACACATATACTTTAAAAAAAAAGTTTTTTTACTTGCCCGGCTCTGTGTGGTCTCTGTGTGCTTGCCTAGCTCTAAAATGGTTCTAAATGCTGCTGTTTACTTTACAGGGTTGATTACATGTGTTTATGACTGTGATGTTGGGTTTTAATGCACATAAAATATTTTAGGACACCATTTGTTTCAGAATCTTTTTTTCTTCATTTCCCTTCTCTAAAAACTGGTGCGTCTTATGGTCCGGAGCGTCTTATGGTCTGAAAAATACGGTACTAATTGACCCTCACACCATTACAAAAATGGTGGTGCCCACAGCCAATAAGGAGGAATTATATTAACTGACTTCCCTGCCCTCAAAGATGGTGGTGCCCACTGCCAATTAAAAAGGGAATATGCTAAATTACTACCACGCCCTCAAAGATAGCAGTAACCCATAGCCAGTAAGGAGGGAATATGCTAATTGACTTCCAACTCCTTAAAGATGGCAGCGCTCACAGCCAATAAAGAGGGTATATGCTAATTGACTGTCACACCCTCAAATATGGCAGTGCCCACGGCCACAAGATGGTGGTGCCCAGTCCCCTCAGGCCTGCCAGGGTGGTAGGCACATGGCAAGGCAAGGCTAGGCTGCTCCGTGCTCTTGCCCCTGGAGTCCCTCTACCCCCCAGTTGCCCAAGGCCTGCCTGAGGCACAGGCAAGCCTCAGATGGCAGCGTTACAAGGGCTGGCCATGGCTTGCGTTGCTGGCAATGGCAGCAGCAGAGGTGTGATGGGGCATCACCTTCCCCTGATTGCTGGGTCGCCTCCAAGACTGTGAGAGGGATCAGGCCCGGCTGAGGAACCCCCCTCCAGTGCATGAAAATTCATGCACATGGCTTCTAGTTTATATATATATATAGGAAAATGATCATCATTGCAATAAGTTCAGTTAACATCCATCACTATACATAGTTACAATTTTTTTGTGTGTGATGAAAACTTTCAAGATCCATTCCCCTAGCTATTTTCATTTATGCAATACAGTATTAAAAAACAAAGATTAGCTTCTGTGAAGTAGGTGGCAATGCCTTAACCCTGTACATGTTATCATGCCCGAGTATCTTTTCCATCCCTGTCAAGGGGAGGGCTAACCTCTCCTTTCATACAGCACTATAAGATACTTTTAATTCATTCAAGATATTTATGCTTCTCAGTGGCACTTTAAGGTTTTCTTCATAAATATAAGTTATACTGCCTGGCTGGTATGGCTCAGTGGTTGAGTGTCAACCTATGAACCAGGAGATCACAATCAATTCCCGGACAGGGACCATGCCCAGGTTGCAGGCTAAATCCCCCCAGTGTGGGGCATGCAGGAGGTAGTCAATTAGTGATTCTCTCTCATTAATGCTTCTATCTCTCTCTCCCTCTCCCTTCTTCTCTGAAATCAACAAATTTTTATTTTTTTTAAAAAGATTAGTTGTACAAAACTTTTTGTAATACATGCAAGTACTACTGTAACTGCTTGCTTTAGGAATGGGTTTTTGAAAGCTTGAGGTTGTTTAGAGAATCAATTCCTAGAGTAGCAAAAATCACAGTATATATTTTTGAATCATTTCATATTTGAAATTCAAGTTGTACACACAGAAGGAACAATGATTACTCAATAGTTGTTCATACTCTTTCACTTCAAAGAATTTTATTTCCTGTATTGTTTTTAAATCTCCCAATAGTATAAGAGTTTATATCATAATTGAGGAATGGTTTATTCATCTTTCCCTTATGTAACTGATCCTATTTCATTTATTTCCAGTTAATTTTGTCTTCTAAAGATGATGAAATTATTGAATATCAGCAAATGTTACATAACCTGAGGGAGAAACTGAAAAATGTCCAGCTTGATGCTGATAAAAGTAGCATTATGGCTTTGCAACAGGTAAAACCGTCTTAAAATTTGGTTTAACATCCAGTTTTATTAAAGTTGGCAATGAAACCTTGTACTGTCCTATTATATCATCAGTGCCTAATACAGTGGCTGGCACTATTGGCTATATAATAAAGTCTTTTGAAGTTTCTTATACCATTCAGTCCCACAAAAAAATTAGAAGTAAGTTTTAAGTTGGGAACATAATTTGTGTATTTTTCTGCATCGATGTAGATAATATATTCATTGTTTTGATTTCAGAATTATTTAATATGAAACTATTAAAAAGCTTTTAGAAGTTTAAAACATCTTAATACTCTGTGATTAAAGTTTATTATATTCTATTTTAGTGCTGAAATATCCTATACAATGTGAAATAGGCTAAAAGTGTGGTTAGGAGACTGTACTACATAAGGATTTCAGTTTTAGTACAAATACATAGAGAAAGAAGTTACACTTCCATTTTCAGTGCTCTATAATCATAATTCAAAAGAGAAGGAAATTTTGGAAGTATTTGGTGAATAACAATTTCAAGGGACAATGATTTTGAGTACTGCAGAGTTAGAAGCTAAGTTTAAGTGAGGATGCACAGAGCTAAACATAAACATACAAAATTGGTAAAAAAGATGGAATTGGGTGGATGATGGGAAAAAGTAACATAAAAGGAGTGCTAAGAAGCTACAAATATTAGAGTTCTAGAATTCCTATTTACTGGAATGTTAGCCATTAAATCATCTTTATGTATTAGAATGACAGCATTGTATTTAATGTTGTATAGTGCAATTGAGATATATAAGATAGCAAAAGGCATATATTAACACAAAAAATATATATTCTAGTCTTATTAAAAAATACAATATCTACCTTTAAAAAAATAATTTCTATTTAAAAATGTTTTATTGACTTTTAGAGAGAGAGGAAGGGAGAGGGAGAGAAATAAAAACATGGATAAGCTGCCTATTGCACACATGCCCCTACTGGGGATTGAACCCTCAACCCAGGCATGTGTCTTGATGGGGAATCAATCTGGTGACTTTTTGGTTCATGGGTCAACACTCAACCACTGGCTGTGCAAGACCTACTTTTTTTTCTTACTTTAAGAATGTATGTTAATATTGATGAAAAGATAATATGTAATATTCAAAAATACTTTATAGGGTATACAAGAACGAGACAGTCATATTAAGATGCTCACTGAGCAATTAGAACAATATACAAAAGAAATGGAAAGAAATACATTTATTATTGAAGATTTGAAAAATGAGCTCCAAAGAAACAAAGGTAATTTAATATTATATAAATATATAATTATTGTATATACCGTCACATTTTAAAATATTTTTTTAAAATAAAAGCATGTCATGTCAATAGATATATTATTGCTTTATATTTTCAAAAAATTGTATGGGATATTAACTACTTTTATATATCTTACTAGTGTTTAAATTTATAAATTATGCAGATATTTTCTATACTTTTTCTCTGATGAAAATCACATTAATCTTTATTACTAGGTTGGCTGAATGAAAGAAATGAAAATGGTGATATAAATGATTTTCTTTATTTAAACCCCTTTTAATAATTAATATAGAATAGAAGACAATAAAGTTTTGATCAATGTAGCAGCATTACATATAGTTTTCAGCTGTAATTTGACTTACTTGTCAACATTTGAATTAACCTTACCTAACTTAATGTCTTATCATATTCTTCCTATCCTGGGTCATATACTACCTTGTTTAACACATGAAATACTCTGAACAAAAGCCCTTAAAACACATGTGTCAAACACAAGGCCCGCGGGCCAAATCCGTCCCGCCAGGCCTTGCAATGTGGCCCGCACCACGCTGTCATCACTGCACTCCGCTGCGTTTCCATCACAATGCCAGTTTATGACTGTTCAGTAAACCATTCGGCCCGCGATTTAGGCTGGATTTTAGATTTTGGCCCCTTCTCTGATTGAGTTTGACACCCCTACCTTAAAACATCAGTGGTCTTATACTTTCACAGTACTGCATACTATAGAAAATGTTCCCTAAACAGTGAGAGTAAGTGCAAACTCACTGAAGCAAGAGTGTACCATGTACGTTTGAGGAACAACTAGCTGGAGCAGAGTGAGTAAGTGGGCAGTAGTTGGTGAAGAGATGAGAAATGTAGCCAGGAGTCCTTTCATATAGAGCCTTAAAGTTCATTGTAAAGACTTTGACTTTTACTTTAAGTGAGAAGGGACACCAAAGAAAGTTTCTGAAGACAGAGGTGATATAATTTGATTTAGACTGTGTCTGCCATAGAATATAGGAGGGGTAAGGACAGAAGCAGGGAGACTTATTATAAAACTATTGCAATAATCTTGTATAATAAAAGCTAATATGCAAATTGTCCTCTCAACCGGGAGTTCTACCAGGGAGCGGGGCCAGCCAGCCAATTGCCCACAGCTCCTCCCCTGGTCGGCCCCACTCCCAATTGCCCTCCCCCCCAATCCCAATTGTGGGCGGGGCCAGCCAGCCAACCACCCATAGCCCCTCCATCCGGCCTGCCCGATCAGTCTTGATTGGGGTGGGATCTGGGGCCTCTATTATATATATATATATAAAAGCCTAAGCTACCGTTACCACCAGTCTACCGAATGACCAGTTGACCAGTCACTGTGACGTGCACTGACCACCATGGGACAGATGCTCAATGCAGGAGCTGCCCTCTGGTGGTCAGTGCGCTCCCATAGCCAACTTCCCATGGCTGGCCCACCTCCTGCAGTCCCTTACCCCGCCCTGACTCCCTGATGGGGACTGGCCAGCCATCCTGTTACTATCCCTCCCCCCCCAGCAGGACGCCCCAATTGAGACTGGGTGAGACGGCCCTGATTGGCCCCAATCGCCAACCAGGCTGAGGGATTCCCACCCATGCACGAATTTGCACTGACCACTGGGAGGCAGTCAACTTGGACAGACAAAAAGAGAAACAGGCCATTGAGTTTATGAAAAATTGCAAGCATGTGGGGCTGAGCTGCAGTTTGCATTGGGAAGCTGGGCCATCGGCCCAAATTCTGCCACTCCCCAGGCACCGCTGCAGAGGCGCAGTGCCCCTGACCCCTGTCAACCCTTCCAGATACATCCTCCCCAGGCAGCCAGGATCAAGGGATAGAGGGAGAGAAAAAAGAGACCTCGAACTCTGTCCCCTCGGGCACTCACCCCACTTCTCTGAGCCTCAGTCTGCACTTCTAGCGACGCCGACGCCGTGGGAGCTCTGCCCTAGGGGCCCACTTCTCCATAGCTGGGTGTGGAAGACCAGGAGATGCGAGGGACAGCGGTGGAAGACTGGGGCAGACGCTCAGCTTACTGGGATGAGTGGGGCTGGAATGAGTGGGAGTGGCTCTTCACCAGCTGCTTGCCACATAGTACACTTCTACATCCTTTGGGGGATGTTGGATGTCGGTTTCAGCTTGATTCTCGCAGGCCACATGTGCACCGGGCCTCTAGTATTATCTATAATAATCTATAATAATAAAAGCATAATATACTAAGTACACTGGATATACTTCCAGGTGACATTCCAGACAAAGTCAGGGGCTGTGAGGGAAGCCCAGGTCTCAGGTGCCAGAGGGAAGCTGGTGCCAGTAGTGGGGAAAGGAAGGCCTACTCTTCGCATGAATGTCATGCATTGGGCCTCTAGTCAATAATAATAACCTTTGGAGAGGTGATAGTAGCTTAGAGCAGTGGAGTTATTATATCCAGTCAGTTCTGGATGTATTTTAAAGGTGATAGAAGTAAAATTTGCCATCAAATCAGGTGTAAGAGGAAGAGTTATCAGGATTTTTAGTTTGAACACTGGGGAGGGCTGTGAAAGGGCCAGGTTGGTAATGACCAGGTACTTTGTTAAACAAGGCATATCAGATTTAATGTGCTTATTAGACATTTGAGTTAAAGTATTAAATAGGTCCTTGTATAAAGAAGTCTGAAGTTCAGGAGAACAATCTTGGTTAAAGATATAAATTTGGGAACCATGTACATAGAAATGTTCCTTCAAATTGTGAGGCTCATTGATCTCAAGAGAGAAAATATTGGTTAAGAGGAAAAATGTAAAGACTGAGCCCTGGAATGCTTTTACTTTAGGGGCTTGGTAAATGAAAAGGAATGGCCAATAAGATGGGAGGAGAACCAGAGCATGTTGAGTTCTGCAAGCCACATGAATAGTGTCAGCAAGGAGGAGGATAAACAACTGTATTCAGGGTTGTATTCATTATTGCTGATGAGTCAACCACTGAAAATTGACCATTAACAGTGGTCATTTTTGGTTCAAGAGAAAATGATTCAACATGAACCAGAGAGAACAGAGATAGACTCTTGTGGAGTGTTTCTATGAAGAAAATGAGAAAAATAGAGTGGTTGCTTGAGGGGAAAAAAGAGTGATGAAAATGTTTTTCTCTGTAAAATGGAAGACATAATCTTGCTTTTAGGTTAATAGGAGAGATCCGTAAAGAAGAAACAATGAATTAATGAAGCAGGGGAGGGAGAGAAGAACCTTCGGGAGCAATGTCCTTGAGAAGGCAAAGGGATGGTAATGTGCTCCAGCAGAGTAGTTGGCCTTAGGAGCACAGAGATTTCATTTCCAGTAATAGCGTGGAAGGTGGAATGTATGGATTCAGATGCTGGTGGCTGGGTGGATGTCCTGGTAGTGATGAAAAGGGTTAACTAACTAGCTTAAGACAGGAAGGGAGGCAAAGTCCAAGAAGGATGGAGGCATTTCTGGCCTGAACAACTAAAACAGCCCTGACCTAAGGGGTAATGTAACATCTCCAGCTAGGACAACTAAAAGGAAACCATAGGGTGGTCTAAAATAACTTCAACCTGGACAAATAAAATAACCAAAAAAACTGACAACATGAAAATGGAGATTGTGAAAACTTATTGCAAGACTAAGGTCCCATGGTGGAAGAGACACAGTAAGGAAAAGTATGGTCTCCAGAATATAAAATACCTCATACAGTAAACTGCAGTCTATATAAACCCAGAGACAAAAAGACTCAACAAATTACAGATTCAATTTTTGGATTTTTTTCCCATGAAAGAGGGGAAAAAACAGACCTTTCCCATTTTGAGTTTGCATCTGCTTCCAATAAACTTCAACATTTTTTACTTAAAGAAGGCTTTTTGCGAATTTATTCAAACTCCATAGGGCAAAAACCCACAGAAGAAGTCTGCACCCCGATCCCCCTGTTAGTGTGATAACCATACAAAATCAGATATCAGATACTCTATATACTCTGCCTATCTTGTCATCTGGTTCCCATCTCATGTCCTAAGAAGACCGTAGAGTTTCAGTCTCAGAGTATATATTCTAGCTTCCAGGAGGGAGGAAAGAGAAAAGAAAGATTCACTTCTTTCCTTTAAAAGCATTTCTTGACCAGTATCCAGGAACAGAATGAATGGAGATCAGAATGGATGTTTATGACAAAAAAAATCAATTTCATCCAGCACTTATCCCAGATTGTCAGGGTGTTAACTGAGGGTGACATGGGGCACACAGATGCTAGAGATGCTATTGCCTGGCTCAAGGAGGTCCTGGAGTACCATGCTATTGCAGTATGGATATGTACCAGCAGGATATGTCGGTACTCATAACACTCCAGGGCCGGTGGAACCTGGAAAGCAGGATGGATGCTGATAGTCTCCAGTAGGCATAATTGTGGGCTGGTGTGTAAAACTGCCTAGGCTTTCTTTCTGGTGTCAACATTATGGATTCATCCCTCACCTGACAAGGGCTAGGTCTGCTGGTATCTGAAGCCAGGCATAGGTTTGGATGTCATCCATGATGCTGTGCTTATGGGAGCATGTATCTACCAACTGCTGAAGCTCTACTGTTGGGAGCAGTCTGTTACCTGAACCTGAGCAAGCTCTTTCTGCAGAGTTCCTATCAGGCTGAGATTGGACAGAGCCTGGACTTCATCACAGCCCTGCAGGGCATTGTGAGCAGATTCACTGAAAAGAGGTACAAATCTGTTGTTAAAGTATAAGTTGGCTTTCTACTCTGCCTTCTTGCAGTGGCTGCCATATAAAGTAGTATATGGTGGGCATTGAGAAGAGAAGGAACATGCCAATGCCAAGAAGTTCCTGCTGGAGATGGGAGAGCTCTTTCAGATTAAGGATGACTATCTTGACCTGTTTGTGGACTCTAGTGTGACACGCAAGATTGGCGTTGACATCTAGGACAACAAATGCAGCTGGCTGGTGGTTCAGTGTCTGCAGCGGGCCTCTTTGGAACAGGCCCAGATCCTGCAGCGGAATTATGGGCAGAAAGAGACTGAGAAGGTGGCCCCGATGAAGGCACTCTATGAGGAGCTGCAATTTGCAGGCTCTGTTCATGCAGTTACAGCCACTTTGTGTGTCTCATTGAGCAGTGCTCTTCAACCCTGACCCCAGCCATCTTCCTTAGGCTAAGATTCATAAGAGGATTTATAAGAGGAAAGAGTGACCTAGAGACTGCAAAGCTGGGGAGGGGAGGCTCTGGATTTAGGACAGTGAATCCTAAAAATAAAACACACCAACATTTCTTAAAATGTGCACATGGCTTTTCTATGTGTTCCGCATTAGTCACATGACTGCACGAAGCTGCTGGAATGTAAGTAGAAATTTGGTGTTTATTTCAAGTGATCATATGTCCAGCTAAAATTCCATAGTTTATTACAGTGGACAAAAGAGGTTAAATATTAGAGAAATGTTAGCAGTCTTTGCATAGTGATCATTCTTTGTAAAGCAGTGTTTTGCAATCTTTTATAATCCATACCCCTTCAGCTGAAATGTTATTGCACTTTACTTTTTTTAGTTTTATTAATACAACCAAATTAGACCTTTATTTTATAACTAAAATATTGTGATATTAAAAGGGCTTTTTTTTTTAGTGATATATCACTTTTTCTGCACCCATATTGGAATCAGTGATTTAAAGGAATGAGTAATCTATTCAACTCATTTATGATTTTCACTTTTATCTTGTAGGTGCTTCAACACTTTCTCAACAGACTCATTATATGAAAATACAATCTAAGGTTCAAATTTTAGAAGAGAAGACTAAAGAGGCTGAGAGAACAGCTGAACTGGCTGAAGCTGATGCTAAGGAAAAGGATAAAGAACTAGTTGAGACTCTGAAGCGATTAAAAGATTATGAATCTGTATGTATTCTTATCTTGTCAGTCAAGGAGTTTAGAGGGTTTTTTTTTTTATACAGTTAGATGCCATTTTTATACTGTTCTATGCCATTTACTGCATACCATTTAAAAGCATTCCAGAAATATCTTATGATAAAGATTATCCTAATCAATTTATATTAAACTATTCAAACTTTTATGTAGCATTTAGTTTTTGACAGGAGAATTGTTTTCAAACCATTTGTCAGATAATTGGCTTTGGTGAAGCAGCAGGATTAGGTTCTTTGGAATCTCTGTCAGTTTGCCACCATGTAGATTTGACACCTGGTTAGTTTGATAAAAGTTATGCCAGGGACTGTTTTATTGCCTGACTTCGTACTTTTAAAAGAATATATTTTAAAATCTGATTACCACTAAGTCAGGTAAGAAATGATTTACATATTGACCCATACTATTTATTTTCTATATTTTGTGAAGCCTACATGTAATATTTTGAGTCACTTTGCTGTTAGGGTGCTGAATCGGTAAGTTTTAACTCTGCCATTTTCTGTCATCATTATTGGGCTTTTTTTTTTTTAAAGCACAATAAAAAACAGTTTAGTGATGCAGGCCTTAGGTATATGTGCACCTTCCCACAAACTTAATAAGAAAATAAATTAATAAATTCGTGCATTTAGTAATTTATCCCAAATATATTATGTTACATTTAAATTAGATTGGGTATTTTTTTTAGGGAGTATATGGTTTAGAAGATGCTGTTATTGAAATAAAGAACTGTAAAAACCAAATTAAAATTAGAGATCGAGAGATTGAAGGATTGACAAAGGAAATCAATAAATTGGAGATGAAGATCAATGATTTCCTCGACGAAAATGAGGCACTTAGAGAGCGTTTGGGTGAGTCATCTTTTAAGATATGTCTTACTCAATCCTAATTGTCGAGTCATTTTCAGTTTTTCTTTTTGATTGTTTATTATTTTTAAATAGTTGACTGTATTTTTTGAAATACACTCTTTTATAAAAATGTTTAAAACACATAAAAGTGGAGCTACTCTGACATGGGATTGGGGATTTGGCTGGGATGGCAGTGGGCAGGAGTGGAGCACTGCTCTGTGCAGGCCAGATCTCCTCAGTAATAACTGCTGGTCTAAAAATGAACATCTGTAAATTAATTCCACATATTAGAAGTTAACCCTTTAATTTTTTCAATCAAAATAATGTCTATGTGACCCATGTCAGTTTGTAAAATGCCTTTGTTTCATAAGAATTCTTAAGGACATTTAGAAACTAGAGGCCTGGTGCACAAAATTTGTGCACGGGGTGGGAGGGGTGTGTCTCTCAGCCCAGCCTGCACCCTCTCACAATCCAGGACTGCTGGCTCCCAAATGCTCACCTGCCTGCCAGCCTGATCACCCCCTAACCACTGCCCTGCCAGCCTGATTGATGTCTAACTGCTCCCCTTCCAGCTTGTTTGCCCCCAACTTCCCTCCTCTGCTGGCCTGGTCACCTCTAATTGCCCTCCCCTACAGGGTTGATCGCTCCCAACTACTCTCCCATGCAGGTCTGGTCCCTCTCAACTGCCTTCCCTTGCAGGCCTGGTCCCTCTCATCTGCCTTCTCCTGCTGGCCATCTTGTGTCCACATGGGGGCAGGATCTTTTACCACATGGGGGCAGCCAGCTTGTGCATTGGAGTGATGGTCAATTTGCATATCACTCTTTTATTAGATAGGATAGAGGCCTGGTGCATTGGTGGGGGCCAACTGGTTTGCCCTGAAGGGTGTCCTGGATCAGAGTGGGAGTTCCCATGGGGTGTGGGAATGGCCTGGGCGAGGGGCCTGTGGTGGTTTGCAGGCCAGCCATGCCCCCCTGGTGACCCAAGTGGAGGCCATGGTATCTGGAATTTATTTACCTTCTACAATTAAACTTTGTAGCCTGGATCAGAGCCAAGTCTATTGCTTGTTCTGTGGCCAACAGCCATTTCTGTTTGGTTTTATGTATCTTCTGTAATTTAAACTTTGTAGCTTGGAGTGGAGGCCTGGGCCAGCCAGGGTGTGCAGGAAGCTTTGCTTCCTCCATTGCCAGAGGCAACCCTATCCTGCTCTCTCCAGCTCCGTGGCTGCTACCATTTTTCGTGGGATTTATCTTTATAATTGAAATTTTGTATCCTTGAGTGAAGACCTAGTTTGGCCAGGGTCTGTGGAAAGCTTGGCTTCTGTTGCTGGGGAAACCCAAGCCCCTAAACTGCTCTCTGTGGCCACAGCCATCTTGGTTTGGGGTTAATTTGCATACTTGCTCTGATTGGCTGGTAGGTGTGGTTTGAACAGAGTGATGGTTAATTTGCATATTACTCTTTTATTAGGTAGGATGATTACTATACTGTATAAGCCTTTTTAAAACTTTTAAGTACTTTTATATTTTAGACTGCTTAAGTTTTTCTTTGGTTGAGTATTTTAAGGTTACTATTGATTCTAAGAAGTAATAAATATAGCTTGAGAAGTTATATATTGATTTCAGTAAATACCTTATTAGTGAATATTAATGTTTTGCCATTCTAATCTAAATTGCTACTTTAAAATGAAAATAAAGATATAAATAATGATTTTATTTTACTTGGTAAATACCCATTAATGCTTTCTTAGAATTAACATGATCATCTGTAAAAACTGTTATCTATAGAAATGAAGAATAAGTATTTTATATATATGATTTTTCTGTAAAAAATGTGTCTAACTAGGACCCAGAATCATGCTAGGACCTCAAGTCACACTTCTTTCTGATAGATGGCTTATCACATGATAGCCAACTTCGACCTGAAGTTCCTAAAGTTGACTGAGCCATCCAGATAGTAGTCAAAAACAGCAGATTTTCTATACTGTAAAGGCTGCAAAGCTTGGTTATAAATATTTATATCTGGTTTTCAGAACATAGCTGCTCAAGTAATAGAAAGTTATGATACATGCATTCTAGAAGCACCAGACTAGTCATGATAATATTCTTTCTTTTTTTTTTTTTTTTTTTTTTAGAGTTTAAAATGCAAAAGAGTTTATTAGTGAAGCACTGAGACAGAGTGGGTACTCCACAGGCAGAGTAGCCAATATTCTTGATATTGATATTAAATAATGACTACTCTATGCCAGGCACTGCACTATTTGGGTTGATTTTAATATAGTATCCCTCACAAGCCAAAATGTATATAATTATACAGTTTTAGCCTAAGACTTAATTATGTTCTTAGTTACTACATAGTACCTTTGTGACAGGCAACCACGGAGAAGATAGATCCTAAATACTTTTTTGTCAGGATTTTCATTAATAATTGTGACAAAATTTAAACTCGGGGTTACAGTTCAAACATCAGGAAAGTTATTGCGCAAAATATACCCTATTCTTAATAAATTATAACCAGTTGCTTGATGATAACTAGCTGCTATATGAACTTTTTGTAGTTCATTTGAATGTCGATAAGGTTTTAATAACATTACTTTCTATTTTAGGCCTTGAACCGAAGACACTGATTGACTTAACTGAATTTAGAAATAGCAAAAGTTTAAAACAGCATCAGTACAGAGCCGAAAACCAGATTCTTTTGAAAGAGGCAAGTGCAGTAGTCAATTGGTTATTTTTCTGGTTGAACTAAAGAAAAATACTAATCATTTTTACTTTATAGATTGAAAGTTTAGAGGAAGAACGACTTGACCTGAAAAAAAAAATCCGCCAAATGGCTCAAGAAAAAGGAAAAAGAACCGCAAATTCAGGTATACTCAGTTATTCCAAACCTTTAAAAGAATCATTGGGAAATGAATTGTTTGAATCTGAAATTTTCTGTATGTTAGAAATGACATCTCTATATTACTGTGGTTCTGCTACAAGTTTAGTAAATGAAAATAATGGCCTGATGAAGGTTATATAAATGAATGTCTCTTGGTTCAGTCCTGAATCTGGAACTGGTAAACAAATAAACAAAACAAAAACCAATAAAACAAGTGAATAAAAAACTCTCAGCATCATGAACTTTGATAAATTTACAGTAAAATCTATATTAATTTATAGATAATACCAGTAAGTTGTGATTAGTAATGATAAAACTTAGTAATTTTTATGTTATATATGTTACCGATAATATTTTATCTTTTCTTAAGAGAGTTATGTGTTGAAAACTTCTTTTAGACATTATTTATTGTATAATGTTTTGCTGAATAAAAATTAGTAATTTTTGTTTGTTTATCTTACATGATATAAAGAGAACAATTGGTTAAGTGTCTTATAGCTGTTGAAGACCATAGAAAAGAAATTTGTTTTTAACTAAGTTCATAAATACCTTTGAGTAATATATTTTTTTTTTGTTTTGTAATTTTTTTTTTTAGCATTTTCATTCCTATAGTACATCAAAAAAGTTCTAGAAGGGTAAAAATTCATAATTTATTAGTATATTAACCAGTTTTCTCATTATTCAAGATTTTTGTCTACTTTCTTTATATGTGTCTTTTAACTATAAATAGAATGAATAGGAATGATAGAGAGGATACAGTATATATTAGTTTCTCACACTAATATCTTGTTAAAAGTGAGTTAAATGAGAAGGTTGTATAGGCTACATTTTTTTCATGGATTTTAGAAGTAATTATTCTATCATTTTTGAGTTAAAACTTGATTCTGGTTTTAAAGAATTAAAGTATTAAAATAATAGGAGAGTTATTTTTATGTCTAATTTGTTATTTTTTATATATAGGGTTAACAGTTGAGGACCTGAACCTAACAGCAAACTTTTCTCAAGAAAATAGAATGGGAGAAAGACAATTTGATTTCATGAGCCTTGAAAATATGAATGCAGCACATTCAAAGGTAAACAGTATTTGCTATGACAGAGAAAATAAAGAAAATGTTCAGTTCTTCCATTTCTGCCCTATTATCTCACTTTAGACATTGCTATTTTTTATAATTGTTAAATTAAAAAATGTTTTATTTAAATAATCTATTGATTCAAAGGTTGATTAATGAGAATTATTTATTCTGAATACAGATTAGGAGTTCAGATAAAGTAGAGCTGCTGCATAGGAGAGCATCAATCAGTATTTCAGAATCTTACCAGAAAGAGTCAGAAGAAACCATGACTGTAGGATCATTACCAAGAATGTTATCTGAAGTTCATCAAAGTGTAGCAAGTGAAGTGGATCCTTTTGTTTCTTTAACTAGACATTCTTCATCTACACAAGTAAATGATAATACACCTCCAGAAACTGTTACAATAAGGGAGATTTTTAAAGCACCATGTCTACAATCGTTAGGAAATCTACAATCTTTAGTCAGTGCCTTTAGTAGCGAGAGTCATGAAGAAATAAACAACTTCCTATATTCTTCTTCTGAGGACTCTCTGAAGAAAGTGTCAGAAAAAGATCAAGCACCTGAGAAGACAAGTTTCACACAAGAAAGCAATTTGTCTTTACAAGCCTTATCAACAGCTTCAGACTTAACGTGGAAGTTATCATTTAGGCAAAAATCCGCAATATTTTGTCAACAAATTCATGATAATAAAGCTGACATGAATAAATCACAAGTAGCAGCTCCAGAAGATGAGCGGGTGCATGCCCATATAAAAAGTGCTGATAGTTTGAAAGAAGATATAAGAAAAAGTGAAGTACCCTTACAGGCAGAGATTTTGAAAAGTAAACTTGAAGTTAATCTTCCAGATCCTGTGCCTGCTAATGCACAGTCAGAATTGTCTCAGGTAGATCCAATTGAAAATATTACAGAACAGCTATGGAGAGAACTAGTATTTCTTAGATCTCAGGTGAGCTTTCCTCCAAATTGCATCCTGGGATTGCTTTTTTATTAACTCTTTTTTTTTTTTTTTAATTTATTTTCTAACAAAGTTCCATAAGTAATTACAATAAGATTTTTTAATGTTTGAACATTAGCATTAATTTATGCACATTCTATTTTTTTATCTAAAAATGCACTACATTTGATATAAACTCATTAACTTGCCTAATTTATTAAATATTTCTTTAGAATGAAGTCATAGCACAGGATTTATTGATCAAGGAAGCACAGAGTAGAAATGCAGAACTAGAGCTTGAACGTCATAGAAGCCAGGCAGAACAGGTAGTGTGAATATTAAAACAGATGATGGTGGTACTAAAGACAGAAGCCTTCTTTGTATCTGTTTGCTTTTTGCCATCAGTATAGGGGTCAGGGGAGGGAGAAGATGGGAAGAGGATCACTATCTGCTTTATCATTTAGATTTTATTTTTCTGACTGCTATTATGTCTCTATAACTTATATTTGGTGTGTTACATCTCAATCAAACTTTGTTAAAAGTTCAGAACTAAACTATTGTGATATTTTGTTAAAAAAAATAATTTCACTTATGTTTTGTTCAGAATGAATTTCTTTCAAGAGAACTAATTGAAAAAGAAAGAGATTTAGAAAGAAGTAAAACAATAATAGCCAAATTTCAGAGTAAATGTAAGTTACTATTATCTCTTAATTTTTCTTTACTTATTTATCTTATGCTGAAAATCATGGATCTGAAAGGACTTTAATATACTCTGTTTTCTAATCTCTTTTAACCTTAATTACTTCTATAAGGTATAGATGTTAGTTTCTCTCTTTCATCCATTTGGTTTGTTCTGATATATCCATAGTTGAAGAATGTTCTTAGTCTGAATATTTTTGTGATTATAAATAAGTCTAATTTTTCTGTATTATTCTCTAATGAAAGTAAACAAATTTTTAAAAAATTTAATGAAGTGAAGGCAAAATATACTTATGATTTATTTCTTTGAACTATAAGATATGTATATGCATATAGTTTCAATAAGTATATCATTCAGCTCAACTATTCACACATTGGATTTATAGTTGAACTTTTTTTGCATATTTATTTGCATTTTACAAATGAGTTATTTTTACTATATGTGAATTATTTGTCATCGGTATAGAATAGTGCAAATGGTGTAAAGTTTATTCATTCAGTGCGAAACATATATCATTATAGTAAAAGAATTGGTTGAAGAAAATAAACATCTTGAAGGAGGTATGAAAGAAATATTGCAAGCTATTAAGGAAATGCAGAAAGGACCTGAAGTTAATGGAGGAGAAACATCTCTAATAATTCCTAGTCTTGAAAGACTAGTTAATGTAAGTTATGTTTTTATATTAATGGGTTCATTTTGTTGTTTCATCAACTTTAATGATATTGTTCACTGTCTTACTAGTCTATACAGTTTCTGATAAGACATTTGCTGTCAGTTGAGTCATTCTTCCCTGTATGTAATGTGTATTTTTTTTCTCAGGCTGCTTTCAAAACCTTCTCTTTATATTTGTTTTTTACCAGTTTGACTATAATGTGCCTAAGTGTGTGTGCACACACATTTGTATATATGTATATGTATCTTGTTTTGCGTTTGCTGAACTTCTTGAATCTATTTACTTACGTTACTCACCACAATTAGGAAATTTTCTACCGGTGATTTCTTTAGTTACTTCTTTCTGTTCCATTCTCTTTGGAATTCCAGTGAAACATTTTATATTTTTTATAAGAGAGGGTGTGTTCTTTAATTTTAAAAAATTATTTTAGAGAGGAAGGGAGAAAGAAACAGAGAAATATCGATTGGCTACCTCCTGAATGTGCCTGGACCAGGGGTCAAACCCTCACTTCCGCCTGAGTTTGTGCCCTGACTGGAAATAGAACCCGTCACTTTTGGGTTTTTGGGACGACATTCCCACCAACTAAGTCACCCCGGCCAGAGCCTCAGTGAAACATTTTAGACCTTTTGGGGTCCAGAGGTCCCTGAAGCTGGTTCATTTTTTTCCCTAATTTGTTCTTTTTTCTTCTCCCAGTTGTATAATTGCTATTGCTTTTTCTTATGTTCACTGATACTTTCTTCTGTCATCACCATTCTTCTGCTTCATTGGTCAGCTTTAGACCTTGCATAGTTTTTACACAGAAATTGAAAAATCCCTTTTGCTAGCTTTTTTTTTCTTTCTGGGATTCCCCTTTCCCTTTTGTGTGGCTTTGGCTGGCTCTGACCTCTGGTTTTGTAGGCCAACAAGTTGACAGGTCACTGCAACTGCAGGCTGCCCTCAGAGGAAAGCTTTAAAAATGGCAAATCACTCCTGGCTGTTCCCCTTTTTAAAGTAACAAGTTCTCTTCAAAATCTGTTTGCTTTTGTTTATTTTCTAGAATCTTTAAGTAATCATTTTTGTATTGTTAAATGTGGTAGGGTAGGTCTGTGAGAATCTTTTTTTTTTTAATGTGTTTTATTGATTTTTTTACAGAGAGGAAGAGAGAGGGATAGAGAGTTAGAAACATCGATGAGAGAGAAACATCGATCAGCTGCCTCTTGCACACCCCCTATTGAAGATGTTCCCGCAACCAACATACATGCCCTTGACCGGAATCGAGCCTGGGACCCTTCAGTCCGCAGGCCGACGCTCTATCCACTGAGCCAAACTGGTTTAGATCTGTGAGAATCTTATACAACAAAACTAAAAGTGTAATAGAATGTAGTAAGAATATTTTAAATATATAAAGAATTAAGCATTGCTAAAGGAAATATTTTAGCCATCAAATAATATCCTACTTATATTTACCATATAAGGACTTAAAAAATTTCACAGTATTAATGATATTAGATATATTTTAGTAAACTATGCATTTTATATTTAGATTTTTAATATGTTATTTATGTAATCTGACCACATTTATATTGTTTCCTAAATTTGTGGTTGATTTAAATATAAAAACATCTTATTATTCTTTGAAATTTTTTTAATGATGACCAGTCAATAGTTGAATGCTTTTTGTTAATGACACTATATTATTAGGAGAGATAGATGATAAAAACTACCTGAGGCAGGAAAATCATTTGCCATAATTTAGGAGAACAGTTTGATTTCTTCTGTTATTCATTCTGACTTTTCTTTTGCCTCTACTATTTTAAATGTCTAAAATGATTCTATCTTTTATCTATTATGCTGCCCACTGCTAATATTATATCCCAGATTAAATTTTATTCTCCAAGGGAAACTGTTTAGTAAGTGAATAGAATAGGAAATTTTACCTCTATTTCAATTCATAGTTCCTGGCCTTCCTACAGCCACTGCTTCCCTAGGTCTTTATCTGTATTTATTCTGGGCTGTCATTTTTTTTTTTCCTTCTGAAATATATCCCTGTCTAAAACTCACAAATAACTTAATAATACCTCCTGTAAGAAATCTTCAGAATCTTGAGATCAGATAATTCTGGTTTATGCACTTCACTTCACTTTCTATTGTTATAATTTGTTTTTTCAGTTCCCTGAGTCACTATCTAATTTCGTATTATTTTACCAAAAAAACCTATAGATGGCATGGTGCTATTTCTTAGCAGCAGAACTAACTCGACTACTTTGTTGTCTGTCAGAAATCCCCTCCTACCTATTTCTATCTTCCTGGTATCCCTTTGAATTAGTATATCTTGTTACTTTACATGTCCTGCTCTGAGCTCTTAGGGTAAAGGCTTCCTTTTATGAATCTGCTGCCCAGAGTTCAACACCAGTTCACCTTCCTGAGTATGAGATTACATTTGGTTTTATTCATCCTACCACTTTGTCTTCAACCTTTACTTCTGAAGCTTTATTTTTTGACATATTATTTTTGCTTATCTAGCACTTTTGGGTAATACTATATTATCACACTTTGCCTGTGTTACCATGTGTGCTTCAACTGTGGAGATAAAGCAATGGAAAATTCACTTAATTGGATGTAGTAACTTTCATTTCTTTGCTCATGCTTTAAATTTAGGTGCTCCATAGTTTCAAAGTATTTTCATGTATATCTCATTTTGACTTCAAAATTGTGCAGTTGACAGAGCTAATATTTTTTACTCTTCTTTAGAGATAAGGAAACTAAAGTATAAAGAATTTGAGTCACTTGCCAAGCTAGCAAAAGATTGGTTAAGATATGAACCCTTTGTCATTATGTTCCTATTCAGTTGGTTTACTAGTCTGCCAATCTACTAAGGTTAGCTAGATGTTTGCTAATTTTCATAATAAAGTAGTTACTAAACTTGGTAATACTGTTTTAAGTTAAAATAGTTTTATAAATTTAAATTCATTAATAAGAAATAGATTTGACTTGTTATTATACATGGCAATGGGAATAGTAAAATGCTTAAATCTAAATTTTATTTAAAAGTAGATTTTTAAACTATGGTTTTAATGTTTTCTTCATATTTTTTAAATATAACCTAAATCTATTAGGCAATGGAATCAAAAAATGCAGAAGGAATCTTTGATGCCAATCTCCATTTGAAAACCCAAGTTGACCAATTTACTGGGAGGAATGAAGAATTAAGACAGGAGCTCAGGGAAGCTCGGAAGGAGGCTATAAATTATTCTCAGCAGTTGGCAAAAGCAAATTTAAAGGTGAGAATTTTATCAAATAAAAAATAATGTTAAGCACTATGTTATGAAATTTTTTTTTTTAAATGACTACTTTATTAGAAAATGCCCCTTGAATTAATTTTTCATCACTAAGAAAACACCTGTTTGGATTTTTATTATAAAATTATGTGAAAAAATAAGTGTCTTATAATGTAACAAAATACAAAAATTCTAAGTATACTAGTATACAAAGGCATTTCTAAGTGGAAATTAAATTATGGTTTAATTCCTGGCAGGGCATTTATATGTCTACTTTAAAAAAATATTCAGTTGTTGCTTTTAAATTTGTCTTCCTTTGGGTATAGAGATGTGATTCTCATTCCTGAACTCTTTATTTCCAGATTGATCATCTTGAAAAAGAAACCAGTCTTTTACGGAAATCAGAAGGATCAAATGTTGTTTTTAAAGGGGTAGACTTGCCTGATGGAATAGCACCATCTAGTGCCAATATTATTAATTCTCTGAATGAATATTTAATACATATTTTACAGGTACTAAAATTTTTATATATAAAGAACAATTGATAGTATGTTGTTCAATTTAGTCTTCACATATTTTTTGAGTTCTTAACATATTAACAGAGGTGTATTTTAATGGATTTTGATGTTAGATGGAATGTAATAGATAAAATTAATTCCATTTATCTGCACGAGAAGCATACTGATACACCTTGTTCACTGGATATCATTCATATGAAATATATGATTGACAGTTGGAATAATATACAGCTGTTCTAAACTGTAATGTATAAATGAAATGAGCACTTTTATTTATGTATTTATTTTATTATTATGTTTTATCCTCACCTAAGGATATGTTTTTTAAAAGAGAGGAAGGAAGAGAGAGAAAAAAGGAGAGTCACACACACAGACACCTAGAGAGACATCGATTGGTTGCCTCTCATATGCACCCCAACCTGGGATCAAACATTCAACATAGGTAGTGCTCTGACTGAAAAAGGAACCCACAACCTTTTAATGAATGGGACAATACTCCAACCAAATGAGCCATCAGACCAGGGCTAACATGGGCACTTTTGTGTTTTGCTTGTTAGAAAAGCAATTGAAGTGAATTAAGTCTTTTTAGTATGATGGTTAAAATTATTTCTTTTTTTAACTGCAAGAAGAAGAAAACTAAATTCTCTTTTATTTCTTTTCTTTTTTTTTTTAATTTACTCTGTACAGTGTTATTAATCAGCAAATTAGATTGTGGACTGCTTGCCCTCTCTCAGTTTGCCGTCTATATCATGGTTATTATGAATGGCCTCACAAAGGATGCTTTTCATTATTTCATTTGAAGTGTGACTACCCATAACATTACATATATTACAGTATAATTACAAAAATGAGTTAAAATAATATTTTATATTATAAGCACTTCTGTTTCCCTTTCCTAGATAATCCATTTCTGAATATACTTGAGTTAAGATTTTCAAATTCTTATTTTTATATTTGGAAATTATATTAATGAATCTTTTTCTGGATATTGGAATTTATATGCTATCTTTAGTTAAGCAGCAGCAACCTTAATTACTTAGAACATCACTTTATAATTAGCATTATACATTACTTTTAATGTAGGCCCCAGCCGGCAGCTGGGGAAGGAAGGCCCCGATCAGCCGTGATTGCCGGCCAGGCCTAGTGACCCTACCTGTGCATGAATTTCATGCACCGGGCTTCTAGTCTTTATAAAAAACATGAGAAGCACTATGGTAGCATAGAGAGAGAGCACTGATTGGGAATCTAAAAATTTTTTCAAAGTGATAAAACAGGTAATTGGACTTCAATCCTAAGACAGCATAGAGTGAGGGAAGTAGCAAGGCCTTTGGAGTCAGACAGGCCTGACCTATAGTGATGCATATATTTAAGGTACCTGGCACCAAGCTCAGCATTAATACTTAGGAAATGGTTGCTAAAGGTACTGCTAATGGGTTTTATTGTTGAATAAGTTACTTAATCTTCTAAGTCTCAATTTAATCTTTGAAAAAAATTAATTATGATAGAATAATCCAAGTGGATACACACACACACACACACACACACACACACACACACACACACACTAGAGGCCCAGTGCATGAAATTCATGCACGGGTAGGGACCCTCGGCCTGGCTGGCAATCAGGGCTGATTGGGGCTCTGGCTGTTGTCCAGGGCCTTCCTTCATTCTGCGCCAACCCCTGGTGGTCAGCTCATGTCATAGCAAGCAGTCAAACTCCCAAGGGGACAATTTGCAAAATAGCCTTTTATTATGTAGGATATTCATGAAAGGGTATGTGAGACTAAGTGACTAAAGGTAAGGATACAACTACTGTATTTGATAATTTATGTGGTTACTGTAACTATCATATATAATAAAATTAATTTTACCTGTTTTATAGTACTTATCTTTTACATATATTGCCTCATTCCATATGCCTTAAACGAAAATATTCAAAATAATCATAGGAATGATCTGTGCTACTTATGGTGACTGTTCTTGTTTCTATAGTTTTCTATACTCTTGCCAGAATATAAATTTCTACCTTCAGGTTTAAAATGTATTCTGATGTTTTTTTACATTCTTATTTCTAAATCCACTTTTAGGAACTGGAATATAAAGAAAATAAGTTAAAAGATTTAGAAGATTCTCTTGAAGAGTATAACAGAAAATTTGCAGTAATTCGTCATCAACAGAGCTTATTATATAAAGAATATCTGAGGTATAACTGTTGACAACATTTTATAAATATAATTGCAGCATATTCATGTTAATAATGAACAGAACATCAGAAATTTACATATTTTGTTTACTCTTCTCTCTTGCCTCTTCCACTCTATCTGTGTCATTTTAGTATTTAAAATATTCTGTTATAGTAATACCTTTTTCATGGAGGTGTTCTGAAACAAGTGAGTTATATGCAAATGGTCAGATATGAGAATCTTATAAATGTCATGGCACATATGAACATCATCAGGGATATTGGCCTGTACTTCTTTTTCTTTGTAGTGTCTTTATCTAGTTTTGGAATTAGGATAATGCTTGCCTCATGGAAAGTGCTTGAAAGTATTCCTTCCACTCGGATTTTTGGACTAGTTTAAGGGGGGTAGGTATTAGTTCTTTGATTTAATTATTTGGTAAAACTTTCCTGTGAAGCTATCTGTTTTTTATTTTTATTTTTATTATTGCTTCAATTTCATAGTTTGTTTATCGCTCTATTCAAGCTTTCTGATACTTGATAAAACATTGGAAGATTATAGTTTTTGATTTTGTCCAGGTTTCCAGCTTGTTGGCATACAGATGTTTAGTATTTTCTTACAATCCTTTGTAATTCTGTGGTGTCAGTTGTTATATCACCTCTTTCATTTCTGATTCTATTTATTTGGGTCCTCTCTCATTGTTGGTTGATAATTCTGGCTAAAGGTTCATCAATCTTATTTATTTTTCCACCTCTTGGTTTCATTGATTTTTTGTATTTTTTTTTTTTTTTTTAGTCTTTGTCATTTATTTCCCTTCTGATCTTTATTATATTCTTCCTTCTACTTACTCTGGGCTTTTCTTGTTGTTCTCTTATTAATTCTTTAAATTGTGGGGTTAGATTGTTTATTAAAATTTTTTCTTGTTTCTTGAAATAGGCCTGTAGTGCTATGAACTTTGCGCTCTGTACTGCTTTTGTTGTATCCCATAGATTTTGGGTTGTTGGGTGTTCATTTTCATTTATTTCCAGGAAGTTATTTATTTCTTCTTTGATCTCATTGGTAACCCATTCATTCTTTAATAGCAAACCATTTAACCTCCATGTGTTTGACCGTTTTGGATGTTTTTATTGCAGGTGATTTCTAGTGTACATCATAGTGATCTAAGAAGATGCTTGATATGATTCAATCTTCTTGAACTTCTAGACACTTAGTATAGTCCTAACATGTGGTCTATCTTTGAGAATGCCCCATGTGCACTTGAGAAGAATGTATGTTCTCTAACTTTGGGGTGAAATATTCAGTAAATGACAATTGAATCCATTTAATCTAATGTGTTGTTTAGTGTTGATGTTTCCTTCTTGATTTTTTTGTCTAGAAGATTTGTTCAGTGATGTTAGTGTTTGTTAAAGTCTCTTACTATGATTGTATTCCTGTTGATCTCTCACCTAAAATCCTCCAGAAACATTGTTATATATTTGGTTGCTCCTGTATTGGGTGTATATATGTTTAATAGGATTATATCCTCTTTTTTGGATAAATCCCTTTAGTATTATGAAGTAGCCTTAATTGTCTTTACAATGGTATCTTTTGAAGTCTATTTTCTCAGATCTGTGTGCTGTTACCCCAGCTTTCTCTTTCATTTCAATTTGCATGGACAATTTTTTTCTATCTCTTCACTTTCATCAAAAGACTTTGTGAGTCTTTTGTTCTGAAGTTTGTCTCTTATAGACAGCATATAAATGGATCTTGTTTTCTTATCCATTCAGCTACCTTATATATTTTTAAATATATTTTTATTGATTTTAGAGAGGAAGGGAGAGGGAGAGAGAGATAGAAACATCAATATTGCCAGAGAATCATTGTTCAGCTGCCTTCTGAACGCCCCCTACTGGGATTGAGCCCACAGCCTGGATATGTGCCCTTAACTGGAATTGAACCAGGAAGCCTTCCATCTGCAGGCTGTCACTATCCACTGAGTCAAACCGGCTAGGGCTACTCTATATCTTTTGATTGAAGCATAAGGTTATATTTAAGGTTATTATTGATAGGTACCTATTTGTTGCCATTTTTATTCTTTATGCCTGTGATACATCTTTTTTTTATTTAAAGTTTTACATATGTCTCTTTTCCCCGATTGACCACCCCCAACCCCCATTCCCACCCTTGAGGGCAAGCCCCAACTGCCCCAGTGTCTGTGCCCATTGGTTATGCTAATATGCATGCATATATTTTTTTTGGTTGATCTCTATTCCTTCCCCCTCCCCCCCCCTCCATCCTCTCCCACCATTTGTCTCTGGGTCTATTTTTGTTCATCAGTTTATGTTATCATTATATCTCACATATGAATGAGATCATGTGATATTTATCTTTCTTCAACTGGCTTATTTCGTTTAGCATAATATTCTCCAGTTCCAGCCATGCTGATGCAAATGGTAAAAGTCCTTCTTTTTTATAGCAGCGTAGTATTCCATTGTGTAGATGTAGCTCAGTTTTTTAATCCACTCATCTGTTGATGGGTACTTAGGCTGTTTCTAAATCTTAACTATTGTAAATTATGCTGCTATTAACATAGAAGTGCATATATCCTTTCTGATCGGTGTTTCTGGTTTCTTGGGATATAGTCCTAGAAGTGAGATTACTAAATCAAATGGGAGTTCCATTTTTAACTTTTTGAGGAAACTCTATAATGTCTTCTTTTATGTCCAATGATTTCTAATTTTATTTGTATTCTAAATATTTTGCAAGTAGTTAACACTCAAGTTTAAGAGTAGGGTAAGAATATTGATATTTGATTTCCAGAATTAGTTTGAGGGATTGTCTATTTTCCTAATGATTTTCTATTTTTGATAAAATCTTCATAAGATTCAACAGCCATTGTTATATTGGTACAATTGTAGGGTGGTGGTTCATGGTATAATGAAAATGATTGATAAAATATTTTTTTACCTTGCATTTATTACGTAAAAATGTCACTTTCAGGCTAAATCTTTTTTGAAGAGAATTTTGATATTCTTATGTTATTAGGTACTGAGTAGCTACAGTACTCTTTAAGAATATGTTTTAATTGATTTCAGAGAGGAAGGGAGAGAGAAATAGAAACATTAATTATGCGAGTGAATTATTGATTGGATGCCTCCTGCATACCCCCAACTGGGGATCGAGCCTGTAACCCAGGCATGTGCCCTGATGGAATAAAACTGTGACCTGGTTTATAGGTTGACAATCAACCACTGAGACGACAGTGACTCTGGTTTTATGAGACTTTTTCTCTTCCTGTGGTAAATATTTTATTATGTTTAGCATATTGTCATGTTTGTTTTTATTTTTTTAGTGAAAAGGAGAAATGGAAAACAGAATCTGAAGCAATGAAAGAAGAAAAGAAAAAACTTGATAGTCAAATTCAACAAGATGCTATAAAAGTAAAAGAATATAATGTAAGTAAAACACTTTTGAAGTCAATATATGATATTGTAGCCCGGCTTGAGTTGCTCAGTGGTTGAGCATCTCCCATGAACCCTAAGGTCACAGTTCAATTCCACATCTGTGCACATACGGGTTTGATTCTCTGTAGGTGGCATCCAGAAGGTAGCAGATCAATGATTCTCTCTCATGAGGGAATATAGGTATATGATATTGTATAAACTAAGATAGCTAAAATTAACAAGTTCTATCTTTGTGCAGAACTTGCTCAATACTCTTCAGATGGATTCGGATGAAATGAAAAGTACACTTTCAGATTATAGTAGAAAAATCACCGTCTTGCAAGTCAACGAAAAGTCACTCATAAGGCAATATACTACTTTAATAGAAATGGAGCACCAACTTAGAAAAGAAAATGAGAAACAGAAGAATGAATTGATATCAATGGAAACTGAAGTTGGTGAAAAAATTGGACGTTTACAACGATTTAAGGTAAATCTGAATATTTATCTTTGAAAATTTTCAAACATGAAGAAGAAAGGATAATATAATGAACACCTAATATCTGGATTAATAATTAACAGTTATTACCACTGTGCCATAATTGCTTCTTCTGTCTTTGTAGGAATATTTAAATTGCAGACATTTCTCTTCTAAGTATTTTAGTGTGCATCTCTAAAATCAAAACTTTTTTTGACATAACCACAATAACTTTATTATACCTAGTAAAATTGATAAGAATTCCTTTTACTATCTAATGTCCAGACAATATTCATATTTCCTTAGTTGTCCTACGATTCAGTTGAGGACCTTTCTTTTTTTGTTAAATGTTACTTATCTTTTTAATATAGAATCCAATAGTTTTTTCTCTCTGAAAAATGTTGACTTATATGATGATAATTATATTCTTTTTTGCATAATTTTACTTGTTTCTCTAATCATTGCATTTGCTAAAGTTACCCTGGAAGCCTAGGTTATATGCAGGTTAAATATTTTTGACAAAAATACTTCATAAGTAATGTTTTTTTGCTTTATATTTAAGTGATATTTTATATTGCATCATTTCAAGAGTATCTGATAGTCCCATGTTTCATGATAATTTCTATTATTAAATGATTTTAGTTAACTGTTTGGGAAAATTTTGGTACCATCCAAATAATCAATTTTTTGTCATTTTTCCTGATAGCTTTAGCACCCACTGATATTTGTTGTTTCCTATTTCACTTATTTCATTAAAAGTTGCAAAAATTATCATTTTCTAGTTACATTATGCTCTCTAGATTTGTTAGCAGAGCGGTTTCCCTAATTAGCTCAGGCTATTTTGTTATCTTAAAGGATAGTTCCTACCAGAAAGGAAAGATAATATAAAATCTTCATATGTTTCTTTTAAGGATCACTTTTCAGAAAACTGAGCTGTACTCCACTCCCACTTTGTCTTATCTAAGGGTCCTAGCAAACTCACACACTTTTTATTTATTTATTTATTTATTTATTTATTTATTTATTTATTTATTTTTTCACACACTTTTTAAATATTCAATATGCTTTAATAGTTGGAGTCATTGTTTTTTTTGTGTGTGTGATTGTTTTTATTTTGTTTGTTTGTTTGTTTCTCAACTTTGGCCAATGGGAGTCCTTTAGAGCTGTCTCTTGTGAACTTTTGACAAGAATCAATTAGTCTTTGAACCAAGCTTCAAAGTTTGGTTAGTTTTCTGGCACAATAAGATGCCCAGTATTTACCTTGTATACTTTTTATCCAGCTTTGGAATAAGCCATTTCTCTAAATAGCCCTGGTTTTTTTAATAGGGAAGGAATTTAGATACCCAAAAATTGGTCACTAAGTGTCATTGATGCCTGAGTGTTATTGGTACTAGTTCCTTTCAGTGGACACATTAGGAAAATATGTATATGTTTAAACCAGGAGTTCGTAATGTTATTGCTAATTCAAATTTAACATTATAGGATAAGTCGTATGAAGTTTTAATAACCTTTGATTTTATACTCATGTTTCTGTTTTCTTATATGGAAATCTCTATTAAAAAACATTAAATCTAATATTAAAATAATTACTTGTTTTATCCTATAATATTCATACATTAATTAAAAGTAATAAATGTGCATTAGTATGAATAGTGACAACAACAATGCTACTAGATGAAGTTTAAAATTTCATTACAGTTTTTATTTTCTTTAGACTATCTCTAACTTAGGGGTAACATATTTGACACTAACTTTAAATTCTTCCCTTTGTATGGTTATCCAGACATTTAATATATATTGAAGCTCATTTGTTTTTAATTTCAGGGATTACTTTTTTTTTAATTTGAGTATAGAAGTATTTGCATATTCAAAAATTCAGTCAGAGAAATCTTCTGACCCTTTCTGTACCTTTCACCTCCTATAGGTAACTGATTATCCTTCTAATGTTTCACCTTGCACATGTTAACGAAGACTTAAAATGTTACATGCTATATGTGCTCCTCTGCACCTTATTTTAAATATGATCTTACTATGTAGCTTTTAAAAAATAAATATTTTTATTGACTTCAGAGAGGAAGAGAGAGGGAGAAAGAGATAGAAACATCAATGATGGGAGAGAATCATTGATTGGCTGCCTCCTGCATGTTCCCATTGGAGATCACGCCCACAACTTGGGCATGTGCCTTAACTGAAATCGAACCTGGGACCCTTCAGTCCACAGGCCCACACTCTATCCACTGAGCCAGATAAGCTAGGACAATGTAGCTTATTTTAAGCATGTTGACATGTCTAAATTTACATAGCATCATATAAACAGAAGAATTTAAAGTGAAAATGAAAATGAACTTGACTTCCTTATCATACCCTTTTAAATATACTAATGGGTGAAATTATTATGCTAAGAACCCTGTTTTCATTATATTCTTAAAGCTGAATGATGATGCAACAAAAAAACTTGTTGAAAAATAAAAGCTATTTTTACTTGGGCATATAATAAGAAAATGTTAACACTTAAGTATTCTTGTTTTTATTTTTGCATTATATTTTATAGAATATACTTTCCTTGGAGTATTACAAATATAGCTGGTGTTTGAAATAGAAGGGAAAAAAGAACTACAATCTTCTTCCTCTTCAACCTGGATTTTTTTTCTTTTAAAAAAATATATATTTTATTGATTTTTTACAGAGAGGAAGGGAGAGGGATAGAGAGTTAGAAATATCAATGAGAGAGAAACATTGATCAGCTGCACACTCCCCATTGGAGATGTGCCCACAACTAAGGTACATGGCCTTGATCAGAATTGAACCTGGGACCTTTCGGTATGGAGACTGATGCTCTATCCACCAAGCCAAACCGGTTAGGGCTGGATTTTATTTTATTTTATTTTTTATAATAAGTAGAAAAACAAAATAAAAAAATTGGGGGGGAGGTGATTTTAAGAGGGGTCTGAAGCATAACGTCCTTCACCCTCCACAAAGAAAAAGTAAAACCAAACCTTAGGGGTATTGTAGAATAGTGTGTACTTTTACATGGAGAAAAAAGTCGTCAAAATGAGATCTGAAGCACCATTACAAATATTTGTTTTCCTTACTACTCGACTTCAGAATGAATTATAACTATAAATTCTTTATCTTTTTCACTACATAAAATTCGTTGTTCTTTGCCTTCTTTATCAGATTACTTTGAAGAGAACTGAAAGTTTAGATTTTTTTTGTGTGTGTGCGTTAATATAGTGTATTTGAATTGTGACTTTTTATAGCTATTTAGTGAATGAGTAGAACATGAGTCAAGTAACTTAAAAATTTTGACATTATTATGGATAGATATGATAAAAAAAAAACTTTTTTCTCCTAAAATAATGTTTCTGTGAACAAAAAAAAACTATTTTATTGCACAGTTAGTCTTTGTAACTATAATAACCAGAAATAGCTAAGCTGTAAAGGTTACTTGTGGCAATGCTAATTTTGCCATCCAGTTGTCAAAAGGGAAGTTATTTTATTAATTTTATGAAATTTAGAAAAGCTAATGATAGTCTAAATTATGTATTTTCCTGCTACTTCTTTTATTTTACTCAAATTAACTGAATTTTATTTTAAGACTTATAAAAGGATTCATTTTATTATGATTAAAAATTCCAAATAAGGTGATTTGTTATATGAAACAGAAAATTTATTATTATTGCAATATTTTTCTTATATGAGAAATCTATTTTTATTTTTACTGTTTTGAGAAATCTTATTTTTAAAATTATTCTCAAAACTTCTTTTGTTTTTGGTTATATTATCTTATCTTTCTCAAAAGTGGCTAGTGCCTCACCAGAAAAAAACAGTACAGTATTTTAACTGATTGTACCCTTATTTACATAGGAGATGGCCATTTTCAAAATTGCTGCTCTCCAAAAAGTTATGGATAATAGTGTTTCTCTGTCTGAACTAGAATTGGCCAATAAACAATACAATGAACTGACTGCTAAGTACAGGGACATCTTGCAAAAAGATAATTTGCTTGTTCAAAGAACAAATAACTTGGAACACCTACAGGTAAGTTTGTGTGATCTGAAAACCCTGTGATATCAGCCATTTTTCTTTGGTCATATGTATCTGTAAGTGCAAAATGCCTTCTGGGCAGTTTGACCCAGGTCATCCTCTGTAGTCAACTTGAATGATTTTGCTGAATCAAACCTCTTTCCATCAGGAAATTAAGAAAGAAAAAGGAATATGGAACAGTTGGAATATTATAATCAAAAGAAGCATCATTAAATACCCATCCCTTTTCCTTACTTTTGTTGCCAGAACAAATTATTCTCTCATGGCTTTTCTGTTCCTTGTGGTTGTAGCTTATAGTAGGTAAGATATTAATGGCTCTTCCCCAGCCATGGATGAGCTCGGCAAATTCCCATTCTTTTTTATTATTAAATTATTATCTGTGTACATATTTTAACATTGCCCCCCCCTCCCATACATACCTTCCCTCCCAGAATTTTGTGTCCATTGGTTGTACTTATATGCATGTATACAAGTCCTTCGGTTGATCTCTTATCTCCCCCAGATCTCCCTACTCTCCCCGCTGTAATTTTACAGTCTGCTTGTTGCTTTACTGTCTTTATATCTGACTTTTGGTTTGTCAGTTTATAATGTTCTTTAATATCCATAAATGAGTGAGGCCATGTGGTATTTCTCTTTCCTTGACTGGCTTATTTCACTCAGCATGATGTTCTCTAGTTCTATCTAGGTTGCTGCAAATGATGAGAATTCCTTCTTTTTTATGGCAGCATAGTATTCCATTGTGTAGATGTACCATAGTTTTTGGATCCAATCATCTGCTGACGGGCACCTAGGCTGTTTCCAGATCCTAGCTATTGTAGCTTGTGCTGCTATGAACATAGGGGTGCATATATCCTTTCTGATTGGTGTTTCTAGTTTCTTGGGATATATTCCTAGGAGTGGGATTGCTGGGTCAAATGGGAGTTCCATTTTCAGTTTTTTGAGGAAACTCCACACTGTTCTCCACAGTGGTTGCACCAGTCTGCATTCCCACCTGCAGTGCACGAGGGTTCCTTTTTCTCCACAACCTTGCCAACACTTGTCATTTGTTGATTTGTTGATGTTGGCCATTCTGACAAGCCATTCCTTCTTACTGGTAGTTACAGAAGAGCAGGATGAAGTAGGTAGCATAAGTTTAAATATGATAGTGAATATGGCCCAGAGCCTTTGTGTGGCGACTTAACTCTTCTAGCTACTTAACTTCCCCATACCTTTATGGTAAGCAAATTAAGCTTCTGATTTGCTCATCCTTATCAGAAACTAGAGGCATGGTGCCAAATTATCTGCTCAGTTAAAGGCAAATACCTTAGAGCTCTTCTCTAGTTACTGTTTTTGCTATCATTTTTATTTCCCAAATGTAATTAATTCATGTATGTCCTCTTTTTCTCCTTCTTTACTGCTATTAACCTAGTCCCGTGGTCGGCAAACTGCGGCTGATGAGCCACATGCAGCTCTTTGGACCCTTGAGTGTGGCTTTTCCACAAAATACCATGGCCTGGGAGAGTCTATTTTGAAGAAGTGGCATTAGAAGTTTAAGTTTAAAAAATTTGGCTCTCAAAAGAAATTTCAATCCTTGTACTGTTGATATTTGACTCTGTTGACTAAATAGTTTGCTGACCACTGTTCTAGTCTAAGCCAGCATCATTACTCATCTGGACTTTATAGTATCTTCCTGACTAATTTCTGATTTTTCTGTTCACCCTTCTGTTCTCTACATTTCATCCTCGAATTGTTTAAAACTTCTTCCTTAACATCTTTAAATGATTCCCTTTTATTTAGTAAGTTAAATTTCAGTTTGTCATCTTGACATACCAGGCCCTGTTATCTTTTTGTTGTTCTTTTTTGTTGTTTTCTTTTGGTTGTTTTAAAGTATGGTTTTATTGGTTTTAGAGAGAGAGGAAGGGATAGGGATAGAGAGATAGAAACTTCGGTGACAGAGAAACGTAAGCCATCTGCCTCCTTATTCCCCCTATTGGGGATTGTGCCCGCATGTTCCCTAACCAGGAATCAATCCAGTGACTGGTTCATGGATTAATGCTCAACCACTGAGCAACACAGGCTAGGCTTTTTTTTTTTTTTTTTTAATTTTTCTCTTTATTTTTTGTGTGTGGGTATATTCCCTTGTTATTTTTCCAACTTTATCTTATTCCGCTCTCCCCTCTTATTTTTTCTCAATATGCTCAAGTCCTCTAGCACTTCAACATCTTTCTTTCCTGCTTTAGAGCACCTGGGTTCACCAGTATATCATTTCATTCCATGGCTGGTTTCTTGTTAAGACTGGAAATGTCTTCAGTTTCAACTTATAAACCACCTCTTCAGTGGTTAATACCTTCCTTAACCACTCTGTCTAGATATTCCTCCTTTTATTATCTCCTGGGCCCATATTCTGTTTGTTTCTAGATCTTGACATTTTAAATGATTTTTTTTTGTTAGTTTGCTTACCTGTTTACTGTCTGCTGTCTTACACATCCTTCCCAATTCCTGCCATACATACATACCTACAGACACCAAAGGTCAGGCCTTTGAAGGCCAAAATGTGTTTTGTTTTTCATTACCATTAACATATAGCACGCTAGGGATGCTCAGTAACTATTTGTGTGAATGAGGAAAGAAAGCTCCAGTGTGTGATCGTTTTTGAAGCTGTGAGTATTCTAGCTTAATCGAAGGAACATGGCAGCCTCTAGGGGATACGTATTTGATATACAGGATTTTGGTGGTTAAAAATAATGTTTTATATTATACTAGAGGCCTGGCACACAAAATTTCGTGCAACGAAAGGGGGTCCCTTAGCCACCCTGCACCCTCTCACAGTCCAGGACCTCTCACTCCTTATCGCCCTGCAGCTGAGGCACAGCTGCTGTGCTCACCAGCTGTGAGCCCAGCTTCTGGCTGAGGGGCGCACCCCCTGTGATCTTTCCAACTTTATCTTATTCCTGCATTGAGCATCTGCCCCCTGGTGGTCAGTGCACATCATAGCAACCAGTCATTCTGTTATTTGGGTCTATTTGCATATTAGGGTTTTATTATATAGGCTATGTATAGACCTAATGTGTGAAAACTTCTAATTAAAAAAAAAAAAAAAGACTAACTAGATTGTAAGTTTTGGGGGTATTATATAAAGTTCAGACAATGTCATTCTTATGGTAGTAGTCTGAATTATAATGTATTTTCTCAATGATGTTTCTGTTTTATTCAGTGTGAAAATGCATCTCTAAAAGAGCAAATAGAATCTATAAATAAAGAACTAGAGATTACTAAGGAAAAACTTCACACTATTGAACAAGCCTGGGAAAAAGAAACTAAATTAGGTAGGTGCTGTGACTCTAATAATATAAAATGGTTTAAGATCTAATAGAGAATATTTTGCACCTAAACTTTCTTTTCTCTACCACATAGAAAGGAAGCATTTTGATAAAAGTGAATTCTCTACATTACAGTTTAATTTGGCAGGCAGTTGAATAATATCTTGGACTAAACTCTACCAAAATTTAGTTTTTAGTTATAAAATTAGATTTGTTCAAATTAAAATTATATGTTAAAAAACAACATTTGCTGTTTTGAACCACTTATCAGTAAATACTGGTGATAATTTTGAAATATCTGTATTTTAATGGCAATAATATGAGGCCTTTCACTATGTATAAAATTTTACTAAGAATAGATCATTTGATATTTTTAAGATAAAAGTTTTTATATAGCATCAAAAAATTAAATTTATATTTTCCATAGTTACACTACTATATTATAATTTTTATAGCCTTCTGTACACTTAAATATTGCACATTAAATTATAGTAAACCTATGCTCTATTTATTTAGTAAATGTCAAACTATTGCTATGTTTTATTCACTATACTTATAAATATAAATGTTTATGTAGTACCTTTCTATGTTCAAGTGATTACATCACTAGCTTTTTCTCATTTCTGTTATTGCTTGTAGTGCTAGAGTGGACATCTTCATGTATATCTAGCCAATATTATTGTCTCAGAGGGTATTAAAATATTTGTTGCTCCTGCTAGGGCTTTCCATATTAGTTTTTCAATAGGTTACCTTAGTTTATAGCATTTAAATAATTTTATGTTGTAGCTTTATGAATTATAATTTTCACACACATTTGCTGCTTTGGTTAAGATGTCATGTTTCTGTTTTCTAGACCTCAGAGCTCTAAGCTGTTCATAGTTTCTGTTACTAAGTATTAGCGGAGCCGTGTTATTGTATTAGTGACTGAGATCTGTAGCTTACAGAGACCTAACAATGGGAAGTCTAAAATAAGCTACTTTTAGAAATGTAATTTTTAGTTCATTAAGAGTTTTGAAGTGAGTTGATTTCCATGTAGCTTCTACATGACAGAAGATACCATTTAAGATATGAACAAGTGGCCGAAACCGGTTTGGTCAGTGGTAGAGCGTCGGCCTGTGGACTGAAAGGTCCCGCGTTCGATTCCGGTCAAGGTCATGTACATTGGTTGTGGGCACATCCCCGGTGTTGGGGTGTGCAAGAGGCAGCTGGTCGATGTTTCTCTCTCATTGACGTTTCTAGCTCTCTATCTCTCTCCCTTCCTCTCTGTAAAAAATCAATAAAATATATTTAAAAAAATATGAAAAAGTGTATTACATACAATATTAGTAAGTTTCCTGTTTATTTTACCCAATTTCTTTTTTGTAAGGTCTGAATATCTTTAGAAATTTCTTAATTTTCAAAATCCTCCATTTCTTCCATACATGGCTTTAAGTCATGGAAGTTTTAAAAACTTTTCTTAATTTCTGTTGTTATATCTTTGTTTAAAAGCATCACTTTTTTAGGATTTATTATCCAGGAGTTTGTTGATGTTGGGTTGTTGTGGACTACCCCTTCTCTCTAAGAAAACTCCACACACATGAATGTACACATGGCTAATCTGCAGCCCCTGTGACCTGCCTCTCTTCATTATCATAGTTTAGCACAGAAATGAATGGAGAAAGGGTTTTATGTTCTTTGTATACTTATATTTAGAGCATTTTTTTTTCTTTCATTCATAGTGTTGAGGTTGCCTGGACTGATTTACTAACACTTTTAGCACCTCCAGTCAACTATTACTGTTAGTTACTTGATCACTGCTTACAGTAGCTATTCTAAATTCATATGTTTAAAGATACATACAGAATAAAATGAAGTACATCTTAAAACTGAGGCAGATACCAAAACTGTTTCTTTTTTGTTTTAAATATATACATCTTTGAGCAAATTCATTTCTAAAACTCAAGCTTATTATTAGTGTTATGAATCACTGCTTAGTTCCTTAAAATAATTGATTTTGCTGAATATATGATTAATTGATTCTCCAAAAAAATAAAACACTGTACCAAATGTGTGTGTGTGTTTTTCCCCCTGGAAAATGTGCATTATGCAAATCAAAAGTATTAGTTTTCTTCTTTTCAAAAAACAACTAAGTAACTAATGGTAATCCTTTGTGATGCTTTCTCATGGTAAATTTTTTTAAAATTTTGTTCTCATTGATTTAACCACAGATTTTTATGTCCAAAGAAAAGCCATGTCATACATATATTACATAATATTAGATATACATATATGCATCTATGTTTCTGTATTTATGAGATTAATAACCAATACAGTAATTTAAAATATTTGATATTAGATGTTTACAAAGGCCAAGTAATACTCATATTTAAAGAAAATATTTAATGAGATCCCTAATCATATGGCTTTGTATTTTACTTTCAGTTTGACTCCATGAGACTTTAAAATAAAGTCACTGCATTTATATTCACAAAATAGTGTTGTTTTATTGAATTGTTTCTTATACAGTTTTTCTCCTTTTAGTTAACAAAATACATGTATTTTTCCTTTTATTGATTCTCTGCCTGTGACACCATCTACAGTATACCTTTTATATTTCAATAATTCCATGAGGAATTTTTTCTTTTATTAATCCTCACTTGAGAATATTTTTCTATTGATATTTAGAGAAAGTATGAGGGAGGGATAGAGACAAAGAGAGAAACATTAATGGCAGAGACACATTGATTAGTTGTCTCCGACAAGCATCCCAACCAGGACCAAGGTTTGAACCTGCAACCAATGTATGTGTCCTTGATTGGAATCGAACCCGGGACCTTTCAGTCTTCAGTTGAAACACTCTCTATCCATTGAGCCAAACCGGATAGGGCAAGGAATAATTTTTGTTATCATTTGAATGATGAAGAACATTAATGCCAGAGAGATTAAATGGGATAGGCAATAAGTAGATAGGAAATAACAGAGCTATGACTGGAATCTGGATCTGTCATAATTTAAAAGCCTCATGTGTTAGCCCTTGAACATAATGTCTAAAATATCTAGAATATAATTTTGATAAGAACAGCATAAGATTAACTTAAATATTATTCTATACAGGAAATGAGTCTAACATGGATAAGACAAAGAAATCAATAACTAACAGTGAGATTGCTTCTATTTCAAAAAAAATCACTATGCTAGAGATGAAGGAATTAAATGAAAGGCAGCGGGCTGAACATTCTCAGAAAATGTATGAACACATAAAGACTTCATTAAAACAAATGGAAGAACGTAATTTTGAATTGGAAACCAAATTTGCTGAGGTTTGATATTATCATTTTTATCATGTAATTGGAAAATAAGGAATTAATCATGGTAGACATTGTATTATATAAGAGGTTTGTTTGTATCTCTGAAGTAGCATATTCATATAGTGCTTATATTTTATGTAATGGATAAAAATGAAAGTTGTTTTTAAATGTTTATAAAGAAAGCAAATATTTTTATGAATGAGTTTTTATTTCTCTCTAGCATTATGGGATTAGATTTAATGTGCAAAAAAGTTTATTTGCTTAATAATGGAATGCCCTTCCAATACTACCCATTCATTTAACAAATATTTATTGAGTGCCTATTTCATTCCAGACACTGTGTAGGGGCTGGAGTTTTAGCAGGAAACAAAGTACTGCAAACAGTAACCATGCTCTCAAGGACTTGATATTCTAACTAGAGGCCTGATGCACGAACATTCCTGTAAGAATGGGCCTTCCTTCACCTGGCTGCTGGCACCACATTGGCTCCAGCTAGAGCCTCTTTTTGGCTCCAGCCCGCAGCCACCTTTCCGCCTTCCCACACGGCCCAGAGGTTTGGAGTGGCTGGGGCAGTACAGAACGCACCCTGCCACTCTGCACCTGCGTATGCAAATTAACCCGCCATCTTTGTTGGGTTAATCTGCATACTCCCATTTGGCTGGTGGGCGTCACGAAGGTATGGTCAATTTGCATCTTACTCTTTTTTTTATTAGTGTAGATAGGAGGTTTTAGATTTTTTTTTGACATGTTCAGAATAATTAAAGTGGATAGCAATAAATACAGTTCATAAAAATTCAACAATTTATGATGAAGTAGCATTCATGTAACATTTGTTTTACCTTGAGAATTAGTATAATTTTTAAAGCATGGTGTTGTTTATTTTACTATCACTAAAATACATATTAAGACTTTAAACTCAATGAGATTTACTTATAGGTTATATAATTGAAGTAAAATATGATGAGTGTACTGCATTCCTAACAAATTAAGAATATCAGAAATTCTGATATCGTTGGATTTACTGTCTAACATAAATGACTTTGGGTGGGTTGGTGCATAATCAGAGTTTGCATACTTTGTTTCTGACTCTTTCCCTTTTTACCCTTTTCAATCTATTCTTAATACCTCACACTCAATTCAGTATCTGGTAATGCAAAGTAAAGAGGACTGAAGTATGCTAAAGCTAAATAAAAAAGGAAAATCTTTTTGGGGGGTTGTAGGTGCACGATGGAGGGAGTTAATAGGGAAAAGGGGGCATCTGTAATACTTTTAACAATAAAGATAAATTTTAAAAATAACAATAAAGGGAAAATCTCTTCAAAATCTGATTTATTTGAATATTTTTTGTTATTTTTTTCTTAGCTTACCAAAATCAATTTGGAAGCACAGAAGGTGGAACAGATGTTAAGAGACGAATTAGCTGGTAGTGTGAGCAAGACAGTAAGTGATGCTGATAGACAACGGATTCTAGAATTGGAGAAGAATGAAATGGAACTAAAAGTGGAAGTGTCAAAGTGAGTGCAAGTAAACTTTCTGGTCATTTGGTTAGATGTGTCTATTCTAATTTGTCTTTAAGAAACCTAATTAAAGTGGTACATGGGTAATATTCTTAGCGGCAATAAATACTGATTTTCTTTTAAGAATATGGTTAAATAATATTAAGTAGTTCTTTTGCATATTAAATATTTTGGGGAAGAACCATTAATTTATTTAAACTTAAGTTTTTTCACTTTATTAAGGAAGAAATAGTGCATCTTTTATCTGTTTAGGTTACTGTAAAAATATAATGAAACATTTCAGATTTTGATTCAATTTTGGTTATCTTCCATGTATACTGTACTAGGTATTAAGCAGGTGTTAACTCATACAATTATACTTACTAACATGAAGTAACATTGTTATTTTCATTTTAAGTGTGGAAACAGTTTGTTTGCTTGGAACACAAAATATATGTAAGGTGTAAATACTATGTGCCAGGTAGATGCTATGTAGTCACTCTCTTTTATAATCATGCTTTACTTCAGTGACAAAGTATGAGGATCCCAGTTGAGGTGGTGAACACACAATACAACATACAGATGATGTCTTAAATAATTGTACACCTGAAGCCTATATAATTTTGTTAACCAGTGTCATCCCAATAAATTAAATAAAAAATACAAACAAACAAACAAACAAATAAATAGAAAAGTGTGAGGATTCCTGAGTTGATCTGTCAAGTACAAATAATTAGTGAAAAAGGTTTTATAACCTTTCATAGTTATAGCAATTTTTTGGAGCTTTGATATCCTTTTGGGAATATCAGTCATTTCTAACCATTTTCACTGTGAAGAATACTTCTTTTTAATTCTTTCATCTCATGCACATTACCTTTTGAAATAAACTTATGTTATTCATTTTAATGATTATATTTTAATTCATTATTATATTTTAATTAATAAAAACTTATAGAACTGTCATTGAGAACTTCTAATCAATATGAGGAAACCTAAGTTACCTATCACACAGAACTAAAATTATTTCAATCTACAGTAAAATGCATTTTACTTTACTTGTGTAGTCTTCTCCTAGTAGTCATATAAGAAATCTAATAAATTACCATAAAGCCCCTCCTTTTTATTGGCCACATACATTTGGAAAATGCTATCTATGTATAGTTTCAGAGAACTTTCATTTTAAAACTGCTCAGAACATTTAATACGATACTGTGTATTATGACTTTTCAAGGGAAGGAGGGAGGGGTGTTGAAAATGAAGTTTTTCCATGAAACACATGTTAACCTCTCTGGGCATTATGTTTCATGAAACAACTTAAGAAATTTTGCTTTAGCATTTCATACAAAGAAGAGATGATGGAATCTAATGGCTTTTCCAAGGCTCTAAAAATTTGAAATCCTGGTATTTATTCCCTTAGAAAATGTACCTAATTGTTTCTGAAATATTACTTCCTAGACTGAGAGAGATTTCTGACATTGCCAAAAGGCAAGTTGAAATTTTGAATGTACAACAACAGTCCAGGGAAAAGGAAGTAGAGTCCATCAGAACGCAACTGTTAGACTATCAGGTATGTACAGTGTTGGCTTTTCTATTGTATATAGATTTTTTTCTTTTTTCTAAATTCACATTAGATATTGGGATGATTTTATAGTTTTAATTAAAGAATATATCAAATAGAGGCTCATATTCTCGTTAGTTATAATCTGATTAGTTTGCAACTTAATGCAAAAAACCATAATACAGAAAAGCATTTAAATGCCTATAAATGCATTGTGCTGACTGCTGATCAGAGTTAAGTCAGTTGAGGAGACATAGTAAGCCTTTTATAACAATATTTTCTCTTGTAGCTTTCTGTAACTTTTCATATATTCTCACATTATGTTTTTTTAAGAATTAATAAAAATTGCCCTAGCTGGCTTGGCTCAGTGGATAGAGCATCAGCCTGGTGACTGAAGGGTCCCAGGTTCAATTCCAGCCAAGGGCATATACATGGGTTGCTGGCTCAATCCCCAGTAGGGGCGTGTATGAGGCAGCCAATCAATGATTCTCTCTCATCATTGATGTTTCTATCTCTCTCTCCTTTTCCCTTCCTCTCTGAAATCAATAAAGAAATATATTTTAAAATATTAATAAAAAATAAAAAGAAATGTTTGAGGATCCCTGAGTTGATCTATCAAGTATAAATAATTAGTGAATAACATTGTATACATCAGTATTATAGTTTACATATAGAAGTTAAAAGAAAAACACAACACCATAATATTCCAACTGTTACTTAGCCAGTTGCCACATTTGGATTTTACACCTATTTGATTCTGTTTTTTGCTGATTTTGCTTTTTAATTTTTTGGTAATTTGTATTAAAGCAAGGTTAGATTTTTATAGGATCTCATGTAGCACACTTTTAAATGTTTAGTAAATTATGATATTAAATCCATGATAATTTCATAGGAAAAACTTGAAACTTGGTACAAATATATGTATTTTTATATTAGGCACAATCGGACGAAAAGGCACTAATTGCCAAGTTGCACCAACACCTTGTCTCTCTTCAAATTAGTGAGGTCACTGCTCTTGGTAAGTTGGAGTCTGTCACATCGAAACTGCAGAAGACGGAGGCCTATAATTTGCGCTTAGAACAGAAACTGGATGAGAAAGAGCAGGCTCTCTATTATGCCCGTTTGGAGGGGAGAAACAGAGCCAAACATCTGCGCCAGACAATTCAGTCTCTGCGACGCCAGTTCAGTGGAGCTTTGCCCCTGGCACAGCAGGAGAAGTTCTCTAAGACAATGATTCAGTTACAAAATGACAAACTGAAGATAATGCAAGAAATGAAAAATTCTCTGCAAGAACACAGAAATTTGGAGAACAGAACAATGGAGATGGAATTAAAGTTAAAGGGGCTGGAAGAGTTAGTAAGCACTTTAAAGGATGCTCGGGGAGCCCAAAAGGTAAAACAGTGATTTTAACCTCAGTGTTTCCAGAAGAGTTACACAATTTTAAGTTATTCATATATACCTTTTTGAGAAACACAACATATATTTTAACTTATTAATTTAGAAATTAGGGGTTTTGCCTACTTGAATTTCTATTTGTAAAAATTAAATGAGATTCTTCTAAGCAATAGTTTTAGTAGAAGTACTTAGGTTTTAAAATAATAAGGGCTTTTTAATACTCTTGAGAAGTTTATATATATTAATAAAATACTAATTATAATTTTTAAACATTATAGTGCTTATCAATTGAATTCTACTCTTTGTAATCATTATTTGTTTAAAATTTACAAGTATTAGACCTGCATGTATTTTTGATATAATTTTTGTTTTACCTTTATTTGAAGAATTTAAATGAAACATAATTATCTTGCAACTAAACTTTATTCTCTAGGCTAGAAATATAGGGTGGATCAAAAAATGTATACATATACTTTGAGTCATTATAAATACATTGTTTATTAAAGTACATTTCATTTTCAAAATAAAGTGTATATACATTTTGGGGGGACACCAAAATAATTTTATATTTTATTTTATTATAGGATCTATTAGTTTGAATTAAAATCATTAGGATGTGGAGAAATATTTATTTATATAGCATTGACATTGTATTATAATTTATAAATCTTTAGGTAATCAGTTGGCATATGAAAATAGAAGAACTCCGTCTTCAAGAGCTAAAATTAAATCGAGAATTAGTCAAGGATAAAGAAGAAATAAAATATTTGAATAATATAATTTCTGAATATGAGCATACAATCAGCAGTCTGGAGGAAGAAATTGTACAGCAGAATAAGGTTTCATTTTATATTTATTTTGATGTTTTCTTGCTAAGATTTTCTTTAAAAAAATTTTTTTTATTGATTTCAGAGAGGAAGATAGAGATAGAAACATCAATGATGAGCGAGAATTGGCTGCCTCCAACAACTCTGGGCATGTGCCCTGACCAGTAATCAAACCATGGCCTCCTAATTTATAGGTTGATGCTCAACCACTTAGCTGGGCTCTTGGTAAGATTTTAAACATAACATTGTAGAAGTGACTGCTTCACTCTGCTACTTGAATATAGTTTTCATTATTATGGCATAAAATATTCTAATTTCTGTTTTCTAAACCATTATACAAATGCATATTTATTTATGTTGAAACTAGAGGCCCAGTGCACGAATTCATGCAGAAGGTAGGGGGTCTGGCTGGCCCAGTCCCAATCGGGGCAGATCGGGGCCAGACCTGTAGGGAGGAGGAGATGGCGGGGGTTGGCTGGCCAGCCCACCCAGATAGGGGCCTGATCAGGGCTGGGCTGGCTGGTGGAAGGAGCTAAGGATGGTTGGCTAGCGGACCCCAACCCCGATTATGGTGAGGGACCAATTGGGGGTCAGCGCCTGCAAGAGGGGCCATGGGTGGTTGGCCAGTTGGCTCCTGACCCTGATTGGAGGGGGTTGATCGGGGGTTTGGCCAGGTAGGGGGAGGGCTGCATGAAGTTGGCCGGCCAGCCCCGCCCCCAAATGGGGTGGTGAGGGCCCATCTGTGGCAGCAATCAGGGGCAAGGCCTGCTGGGGGAGAGGGGCTTCGGGCCAATCAGGGTGGGGTAGGCCGATCGGGGGTGGGGCCAGTTGATAAGGGTAGGAGAGACCAATCAAGGATGGGGCCGGCTGGGGTGAGGGGCTGCGGGACTTGGCTTTGTTTACTGTTATGCTTGCATTGCTTAGAATAGTGATTGTCATATAGTATGTCATTAAATATATTTTGGATAGATAGGAGGATAGATGGATGAATAGATGAATGCATTGATGAATTAAAATCCTGACTCCATATCTGCCTATCTCTTTGATGGCAAAGTATTTTACTTCTCTTGAGTTTGCTTCCTTTCCCCATAAAATTATAGTAGTGACCTAAAAGGTTTGTTGTTGGAATTAAATAAGAAAATGTAGCCGAAACCGGTTTAGCTAAGTGGTAGAGCATCGGTCTGCAGACTGAAAGGTCCCAGGTTCGATTCCGGTCAAGGGCATGTACCTGGGTTGCAGGCACATCCCCAGTGGGGGGTGTGCAAGAGGCAGCTGGTCGATGTTTCTCTCTCATCGACGTTTCTAGCTCTCTATCTCTCTCCCTTCCTCCTCTCTGTAAAAATATCAATAAAATATATATATTTTTAAAATGTATGTAAAAATTCCTGTTGTTTGCTTGGTGAGTGTTTCTATGTATGTCTGATGCAAAATATCTTTTTTCAGTTTCATGAAGAAAGAGAAATGGCCTGGGATCAAAGAGAAGTTGAGCTGGAACGTCAACTAGACATTTTTGACCGTCAGCAAAATGAAATACTACATGCAGCACAAAAGGTCTGAGTGATTAATTCTATTTGCTACTCTGTTCAAATATAAGTGGGCTTTAACTTATATTTAAAGCTACTCTGTTTGCTTATGTTCAAATATAAGTGGGCTTTAACCATGTTTGATCATATAGTTGTAAAAATTAATGTTTCTTTCAATGCTACAACTGTTTTATTTTAATGCTATTTTTAATAGTTTGAAGATGTGACAGGATCAATGCCAGACCCAAGCTTGCCTCTTCCAAATCAACTTGAGATTGCTCTAAGAAAAATTAAGGAAAATGTTCGAGTAATTCTAGAAACACGGGCAACTTGTAAATCACTAGAGGAGGTAATTAGAAAAATTTGCATTTTGATTAGTATATTGGATATATAGAATTTTTTACATGTGTAATTTATTTTAATGAGGATGATGTTTAGAATGATGAATCTGTTGCTAGTTCCACCCTCCTTTTCTACTCTCCCTTCATGCTTCTAATAGGCAATAAAGAAAAACAGATATGGCTAATTAGAATTAATTATTCATTTAATTAACTTGTTACTTTTGGGCACACTAATCAGTTGTATTGAAACAAAAAGAACGTTTCATTGTAGTTTTATGAGCAATATATCACCTTCTTTTGTATGATCAAGTATTGTGTTCAGCCTCGTTTATTTGAAGTGTATGTTGTATACTCTGAATCAGTTTCAGTTAATTCCTTTTGTGGGTAGTTAAAGGGATTGAAGGAGAGCTAGAAATTACTTCTTTAATCTAGGCCTACAACTTGATTAAGAGGATCAAATATCTTCTTTATTAAATTATATGGAAAGTAATATAAACTGAATATGATTTTCATCTTAGTTTACATCTAAATATATTAATTGTAAACACATTTAAAAATAATTTTGCTATTAAAATTGCATATTTTCAGTCAATTGAGGAAACTTAGATTTTCTTCAGTGATTATAAGATCTATCATTTTATGTGAATTTTCATTGAGTTACTTCATTTAAGATATCTGCCTTAATCCAATTGAATAGGCAACACTTTCTTTTCTACTTTGTTTTCATAAACCACAGATTTTATTATAGTGACTTATTGACTTGAGCCAGTAAAGTTCCAATTTTTATACCCAGCTAATTTATGAGTTATTCTTGTAGTACTCTGAGAGTCAATGGGCTGAAGTAAAAGGAGCAATTTATTACAGTTTTTTCCTAAATTTAGCACCACCATACAATTCTAGTTCTAAAACTATAACATCTAAATAAACTACCTTAAATTTCATTTTCATAATAATTGTTTCTTAACTCATGCAATCGTCTTACAACTAAAATGTGCATACAGATAACTTAGCTGTCACATAAAAATATCAGTTTAACATTATTAATATCTTTTGACTATTTTAAGTATGTTGTGAAAAATAAAGGGAAACTCCTCTCTGAACTTGCAACTAATTTAAAATTCAGATGAAACATTTTAAAATAAAAAATATGCTTTAATAATATGATTTGATCATTGCAGAAGCTAAAAGAAAAAGACTCTGCTTTACGGTTAGCAGAGCAAAATATTTTGTCAAGAGACAAAGTAATCAACGAACTCAGGCTTCATTTACCTGCCACCGTAGAACGAGAAAAGCTTATAGCTGAACTAGGCAGAAAAGAGATAGAGCCACAGTCCTATCACACATTGAAAATTGCTCAGCAGACTATTGCAAACATGCAAGCAAGGCTGAATCAGAAGGAAGACATGTTAAAGAAATATCAGCGTCTTCTGGAAAAAGCCAGAGAGGTAATTTATTTATTTATTTATTTGTTTGTTTATTTATTTAATATCTATCATCTATCTACCTAATGCAAATATTATTCTTCCCTGAAGTGGTAGTGCATTTCTTGCCTTTCAAATTACTCTATTTTGGAATTATCACTTTCATGTGATTAGATTACAGATTTGTTAGAAAAATGGCAGTTTATATATGTGAATCTTTCCCATATGGATTGACTAAGTCAGGAATAGCTATCATGGAGAAACCATGATATTGAAAAATACCAGTTGAATTTATAGGTGAGGAAGTTAGAAATCTGTCTCATTAGTAGTAATAAGTGAAATCAGATTTGCTAGAACTTTGGTGGTGGTGGACAGAAAAAAATCTCCATTTAAAAACTTAAAATTTTTTTCTAAAAACAAGTTAAAAGATATTGGGTACATACTATTCTAATATTAAGATTAAATTATGATCTAAGGCCGGACTTGTCAACTTGGTTTGCCAGTGAAAATGCATACTGGTGTAAATATATGCATGCAGCTATTGTTCCTTCTCTATCTCAGGAGTTTTGGAAGATTAAAGATAACAAATATTTAAGATTCTAATGTGAATGTATTTAAATCAGAATTTAAGTAATATATTTGGTTTTCTGTAAAACAGGAGCAAAGAGAAATTGTTAAGAAACATGAAGAAGACCTTCATATTCTTCATCATAAATTAGAAATACAGGCTGATAGTTCACTCAATAAATTCAAACAAACAGCTTGGGTAAGAATCTAAGAACTTACTCTTTACAGATTTTTGAGATCATATACTTGAAAATTTTGCTCTCTTTTTTGCGGGGGGTGAAGGGAATAGAAGCCACCCTATTTTTTTTTTTTCCAGAATAATCTTCTAAGAACATAGCTCTGATCATTCTTCTCCCTAAATTGATGCTTATAAAATCTTGTTTAAATTCTGTAGCCATATGCTTAAAGTCTTCCATGATCTGACCTCGGTCGTTTTTTGTGTTTTTTTTCAAATTTTGCTCATAACTGATTTTCATGTTCTGAATTCAGCTTATACTTGGAGCTGATCTTTGTCAACTTGGTATGAAATGACCTTTCATCTCCTAATATGCACACCTTATCATCCGTGAGCCTTAACTCATTAATTCAATCCACATTTCTTGATACTTCACTACATGTAGGGACTTTACTAGATACCGAGAACACAAAGAACCTGATCTCTATTAAATATTTTCTTTAAGCTTTCATTGCCTATTAAATTTTAGCTTATATATTATTTTTTTATTATTTGAGGAATACATTAAAATTATGGAATAAACATTGCATTGAGTTATACATGTTTATAGCTAATTTATTCACAATTCCTAGGATTTACTAAAACAGTCTCCTACTCCAGTTCCTACCAACAAGCATTTTATTCGTCTGGCTGAGATGGAACAGACAGTAGCAGAACAAGATGACTCTCTCGCTTCACTTCTGGTAAAACTAAAAAAAGTATCTCAAGAATTAGAGAGACAAAAAGAAATCACTGAATTAAAAATCAAAGATTTTGAAAATATCAAATTACGGTAAGCCTTAGAAATGTATTAACACAATAGGCGAATAGTAATAATGATATAATGAGGATAAACCTGTTTTCTAGCTGCACTGTTCTGAAAGCTTTATGTATATTATCTATCTTGTTTTATCTTCAGGACATTATAAAATAGGTCATATTCTCCCCATTCTTCACATAGGAAAATAGGCCACAGCTACATGACTGGTAGCAAGTGGGAAAGTCAAAATTTGAATCTATTTAGTCTACTGTAGTTTCAAGCACCAACCCAGAATCTTGTCTAGAATCTTGTTTTTAACCTCTATGCTTCCATTTCATCATCCGTAATATGGAAATGACAATAATTAACCTGGTTCCTTCAGGATGATTATATGAAGGCCACATGCTCTTGTATAAGAAAGTAATTTCAAAATTGTAAAGTAACAAATAGATATAAAACTTTGTTTATAAGCCTATAACAGTTCCTGGCACACAATAGAGTTTCTGTAAATATTTTTTGTATGAAAAATTAACTTTTTTATTATTATTATAGTGACAGTAGTGGGTTCACAGCATTCATTCTCTGCATTAGAGATTTTAAACATTGCTCAATTTATCAGAATATAGACTTTTAAACCTAAAATATGTTTATAGTTATGTATTTTATAATCATTGTAGAACTAACTCTCTGCACCTTGGTTTCTTATCTGAATAAATGAGAAAGCTGAACAACTTATAATTGCATTCCAGCTCTGAAATTCTTATTAGAACCTTTTTGACTCACTTATTCCAAGATGCATCTGAAAAAATAAACATTAATTTTGCTTTAGTAAGAAGCTACCACTTTAAAGAAATTATTCTCTAAAAGAGAATTAGCAATAGCATATGGTGTCTTTCAAATCAAATTTCCCCATTCTATTAAATTTTATAACTGAGATGTTATTTTGATAAAGTAAGTTTCTTGTCATGTTTTAGATTTTATATAGTTCCTTCTGCTTTTCAACCTAATCCCTGGGTACAGAAAATAATCATCTTTTGAAATTACCTTATATATATAATTTCTTTTGCAAATTGAAATACTTGAGTAGTTTTTTTAGTCATATCATTTTAGTCTAAAATTATACTTTTATCCTCTGTGTGCAAATTGGTACTATTGACAGAGAACATTCAAATCTATAGAAAAATTTTATAAGAATTTATTAGAGTTGAATTTGAACCAAAAAGAGTTATACCTGGAAGCAAGATCTCAACAGACAGAACAATGCCTCCCAGGACAGTTTACAGTTACTTTTTTGCATTTGGAATTAAGGAAAGAACAGCAAGGAAGATTCCGTGAAGGTGGGAGAAAGCAAGGCAGGGATTATGGGATAATTAATGACATTATGTGCTCTCTTCAGGGGTCTAAAAAAGGCATTTCAAAGTTGTGTTAACCTAGATGTACAAAAACAATGGGCAGAGCTCACTTAGAGCAAAGATAAACCTTTCACTAAAGAAGTTAAAGTCAGGAATGACTACTTACCGTGACCTGTTCAGTTGGGAATTTATAATCAGATCATCCTGAGGTTATTTTTCATTAGATATATTATAGTATCCCTTTTTTTGTCCACAGTATGCATATTTTACTCTCTTAGAAATATATAGAAAATTATAGATTCTTGTGTTTTCTTAAGTAAAATCTTATAGTTTCACAATTTGATGATTTAAGTGACAAGTTTTTCAGCTGAAAGCAATAAGTCTCAGAGTGTTTAACACTTGTTCATAATTTAATACAATCTTCTCTTTGGTCAAAGTTTAATTATTTGTATCTCCATATTGCTGACATTATTAATGCAGTGTCTAAATGCAAAGTAAACTGGATGTAATTTAGTATGACTTACTAAAGATGAATGAACAATCGGATTAGTCACATTAACTAAGTCTGCTGATAGTATCTATTTCCATATCTATGCATGCAGGTATTATAGATGTAATAATAGTGACTTTAGAACCATAAACAATAACATGTAATTTCTGTGAACGTGTACATTTTGTCTTTGCAACATGACAATATAGGGCAGTGGTTCTCAACTGAGGTAATTATTGCTGTCCTCTTTCCCTCGGGGACATTTGGTAATATCTAGAGACATTTTCCATTGTCACAATAGGAGGTTTTATTAGCATCTAATGTGTAGAAGCAAAGAATGCTATTAAACATCTGCATTGCCGTCAATGCAGAGAACAGTTCACAAAGAATTCTTCAGCCAGACAGTCAGTAGTGCTGTGATTGAGAAACCCTGATAAGAGGAAAGTTACATCCTGCCCAGCACATGGTGTTTAAAGTGCTGTTTGTTCATTTTCTGAATTATTTACCTAAATCCACAAAATTGCTTGTTGCAGTCATTACCAAAAATAGACAGAAATTAGAAAGAAAAAGTATGTTAAGTTTAAGAGTGGTCAAGTGGAATAAAGAATTGTGTTCATTTGGCCCCAGCCAGTGTGGTTCAGTAGTTGAGTGCCAATCAGTAGATCACAGTTCAATTTTTGGTCAGAACACATGCCCAGGTTGTAGGCTCCATCTCCTGATCTTCAGGGAGGGTCCTACAGGAGGTAGCCAATCAATTATTCTCTCTTATCATTGATGTTTCTCTCTTTCTCTCTCTTCCTCAGTAAAAATATATATTTTTTTTTAAATTAAAAATTGTATTTATTTGGGATTTGAATTAAGACTTAGGTTTGTAAGAATATTTAGTACCAAACATTTGCTTTTATATAAAATTTTTGTCAATCAAAGTATTAATTGCAGCAGCTACTTTACTAAATACATATGCTTGCTGATATTAGGCTCCAAGAAAACCATGCAGTTGAAATGAAAAAAGTGAAAGCAGAAGTAGAGGATTTAAATTGCCTTCTGGCCCAGTCCCAAAATGAGGCACAGAGTTTAAAATCTGAACTTCAGGCTCAAAAGGAAGCAAATTCAAGAGCTCCAACAAGGACAATGAAAAATCTAGTGGAAAGGTTAAAGAGCCAATTATCCCTTAAAGAGAAACAACAAAAAGTAAGTAACAATAGAACATTGTCAACATTCAGGAAATTCATGTGGTAGATTGCTTTTAGTGTAGATTTGTACAAGATGATGGTATTTCTCTGTTGTAGGAAAGAGTATCATTTTATGCTGTGAAGTAAGGGTTTTTAAGATAATTGTTTTAAACAGCCTGATTTCTGGGTTATCTGTAGAAAATAAAAGGAAATCTTATTCCATTATTTCCTTTTCTACTGGGATTTTATGCTACACACACACACTCTGAATGGCCAGATTATTATGCGTTCAGAGATCATAATAATCTGGCTAGTCAGTGTAAGTTACTATTGTTTTTCTGTGCTAGATCAAGAAATTTATTGGCAAATTGTAAGCCTTTTTTTTAATCTTGTAACTTTGCAAATTCTTAAATTTAATTAATTTCATCGGAAGTATATCTTGCGTAATTTGGATAAATGCCTAAATTTGGATATTTGAAACCAAAAGAGACCTGGTTTTTGTAATAAAAGTTTCCTGATTTAATGCTGTGTTCCCAAAAGTATTAATGTCAAGATTTTGAACTCTCATACTCAATTTTAAAATAATTTAATTCAGTTACTAATTTATTTGAAAAAGTTGGGTTATTAATTTGTAATTATGTTTGCTTAAATATATGGCATTTTAGGAAAATAGTTGAAAGTAATAAAGCCTACTATCTTTAGTATTATATATTGCTCATGTAAAATATCAGATTTTCAAAAAAAAGTGATATATCTGTTGTAATTTTTAGGCACTTAGCCGAGCACTTTTGGAACTCAGAGCAGAAATGACAGCAGCAGCTGAAGAACGTATTATTTCTGCAGCCTCTCAGAAAGAGGCAAATCTCAATGTTCAACAGATTGTTGATCGACATACTAAAGAGCTAAAGGTGAGCATCAGCACATTTATTAATATAAGAAAATTTTGATAATTCTATTGGAAGAGAATCCACCTTTTTAAAAAAAAATAATAAGTATCTTTATTATACTTATGTACTGATTATCATCTTGGAATTAGCAAAATATAGGCTATTATAAACTACTCTTCCTAATAGAATTAAATTTAAAAACATTTACATATGATTTTTAAAATGTGTAGATTTTTTTTTCTTTCTTTTGCCATATCAGAATTTTCTATCTGGTTTTTGCTAGTTTATGAGTTAATTAGCTTTGCTTTTTTATTCCCTGAAATAGTTTATGAAAATCATGTAGTTCTTGACATTTAATCTATAAAGCTATCTGGCTGAAGACTATTTTTGAAGTTATTATTTTTTGGCAATGTATTTTATTATTTTCTTACCTGATTGTTAGGTTTGGTAATTTAAATTTTTTTTCTCCAAAATATATATATTTCATAATAATATTTAAATTTATTTACACAAGTTTCATATACTATATTCTGAGTAAAATGAAAAATCTTTTTATACGTTGTTTTTGTTTGTAATTTTGACTTGCTCTTTGTTTATATGTATATGTATGTCACTACCATTAAACTGTACAATGATTAGATTTTACTCAGATTTTTAAAAATAAAATATCTAATTGATTTTTTTACAGAGAAGAAGGGAAAGGGAGAGATAGTTAGAAACATCAATGAGAGAGAAATATTGACCAGCTGCCTCCTGCACACTTCCTACTAGGGATGTGCCCACAACTAAGGTACATGCCCTTGACTGGAATTGAACCTGGGACCTTTCAGTTCACAGGCCAATGCTCTATCCACTGAGCCAAATCAGTTAGGGCAAATTTTACTCTGATTTTTTAAAAGTAAAATTTTAATGTATTATTATTGGCTAGGAGCCCAGTGCACGATTTCATGTACCTCAAAAGGAACTGTGGGCCGTGAGGCTATGGTGGGCACAGGACGGGTCTTGGCCCATCTTCTACGCCCTTGCCCAACCTCTCTTGCCATGGCCCTCAGTCCCTGTCTGCCAGCAGCACTGCTCCCACCGCTGCTGCTCCCGCATGCTGAGAGCGCTGGGCCCCATTTGCATTTTCACCTAATGACTGCACGGAGCAATTGGGGCCGGTGCCAGCAACAGATGCAAGCAGGACCAGTGCCATCAGCAGGTGTGAGCAGTGGCTGCTGTCCCGATCTCCCCTCAGGAGCAGGGGGAGGTGGGGAAGACCTCAGGGACAATCGGGGCCTACAACCACTGCTCCCACCTGCTGAGGGCACCAAGTGATGGGGGCTGGCGCCAGGCACCGGCAGCAGGTGCAAGTAGGGCCAGTGCCAGCAGCAGGTGTGAGTGCCCAGTTGGACCTTGGTGTACTGGAGAAAAGAATTTTCAGTAACGACCAGAGGCTTGCGCCAATGACAGCAACCATAGCCCTGCCTTGATCTGATGCCCCTGCTCACCTGCTCCATCATCCTTTTGTGGTCGATGCTCGCCATGTTCTGTGTGTGCCTCCTGGTGGTCAGCGCACGTCATAGCGACCAGTTCGGTTCTTTGGCTCTTTGGTCTATTTGCATATTAGCCTTTTATTATATAGGATTTCAGAGAGGAAGGGACAAAAAGAGAGATAGAAACGTCAATGATGAGAGAGAATCATTGGCTGCCTCCTGTACTCCCCTCATTGGGGATCAAGTTCACAACCCGGGCATGTTCCCTGACAGGGAATTGAATGTGCCCTCTTGGTTCATAGTTAAATGCTCAACTACTAAGCAAAACCTGCTGAGCTTACTCAGAATCTTTAAATCTTCCATTGCATCTATCAAGATTATGAGTATAATTGACAGTAAAAATCCATTTAATAATTATAAATCAGTAATAACCTTTATTAATGTCTTCTTTAATACCTTTCTCTTTTTCCTGTAATGGTTTCTCTGAATTCTTCACATTCTTCAACTTTTCCTCAAAGCCTTCTCTAATTTCTCTGGGAAAATTTTATTTTCTCCTAGCTGCTTTATAATACTACTAATTTCTGTTATTATTACTAGCAGTACTTTTTGCCTCCATTAATTTATTAACAAAACATTTAAAAAATATTTTTGTATTGATTTCAGAGAGGAAGGGAGAGGAGAGAGCGATAGAAACATCAACGATGAGATAGAATCATTGATTGGCTGCCTCCTGCACACCCCACACTGGGGATCGAGCCTGCAACCTGGGCATGTGCCCTGACTGGTAATCGAACCATGACTTTCTGGTTCATAGGTCAATGCTCAACCATTGGGCCATGCTGGCCAGGTTCAACAAACCATATTTTAAGTACCAATATTTCCATCACTGTTAATGTTTAGGGCAGCTAAAACTTCCTTCTTATGTATAATTTCTTAAGCATATTGTCTATAATTGCTAGCACCCTTTCATGTCTTGTCTTTATAAAGTAAATTAGAAATTAATTCAAATCGGAGATTTCTTTTATACTACTCAGAAGTTTCATAATGTTTTAAACACTGCTGTGTACATTGTACTTGTTTCTTTAATAAATTAGTTCAGCCACAATGAAACAATTACCAATCCTTATTTGATAAAATTTTTGCCCTAGGTATATTTTGAAGATGAATTGCTTTAGATTGTTTCTTCATGTTTTGTTTTATATTTTTTTCTCAGATAGATTTGATTAATTGGAATGAAGATGGAAGAATATATGTAGTTTGTTGTTGTTGTTTTTTTCCATGTATACTTAAACATTTAGATTAAAAACTTTCTTCTTAAGTCTTAATGCTATAATTTCATATTGTATTGATTTTATCATTGATATTTGGTGATTTGTGAATTAAATGTTTCTTTATTATTTTGCAATTATAATGCAATTTTTATTTTATTATTTTTATTTTTTTATTATTATTTTTTAATTAAATTACTATCTGTGTACATATTTTAACATTACCCCCCCCCCCCATACATATGCTCCCTCCCCAGAGTTTTGTGTCCATTGGTTGTACTTATATGCATGTATACAAGTCCTTCGGTTGATCTCTTATCTCCCCCAGAACTCCTTACCCTCCCTGCTGCGCTGTAATTTGACAGTCTGCTTGTTGCTTTATTGTCTTTATATCTGTCTTTTGGTTCATCAGTTTATAATGTTCTTTATCATCCATAAATGAGTGAGGTCATGTGGTATTTCTCTTTCCTTGACTGGCTTATTTCACTCAGCATGATGTTCTCTAATTCTATCCAGGTTGCTGCAAATGATGAGAATTCCTTCTTTTTTATGGCAGCATAGTATTCCATTGTATAGATGTACCATAGTTTTTTGATCCTATCATCTGCTGATGGGCACCTAGGCTGTTTCCAAATTCTAGCTATTGTAGCTTGTGCTGCTATGAACATAGGGGTGCATATATCCTTTCTGATTGGTGTTTCTAGTTTCTTGGGATATATTCCTAGGAGTGGGATTGCTGGGTCCAATGGGAGTTCCATTTTCAGTTTTTTGAGGAAACTCCACACTGTTCTCCACAGTGATTGCACCAGTCTGCATTCCCACTAGCAGTGCACGAGGGTTCCTTTTTCTCCACAACCTTGCCAACACTTGTTGTTTGTTGATTTGTTGATGTTGGCTATTCTGACAGGTGTGAGATGGTACTGCATTGTTGTTTTGATTTGCATCTCTCGGATAATTAGTGACTTTGAGCATGTTTTCATGTGCTTCTTAGCCTTCCTTCTGTCTTCTTTTGAAAATATTCTATTTAGGTTCATTGCTCATTTTTTAATTGGATCATTCATCTTCTTTTTATTTAGTTGTATAAGCTGTCTGTAGATGTTGGAGATTAAACCTTTATCAGTGGTAACATTTGCGAATATGTTCTCCCACACCGTGGGCTTTCTTGTTGTTTTGTTGATGGTTTCTTTTGCCTTGCAAAAACTTTTTATTTTGATGTAGTCTCATTTGTTTATTTTATCTTTAGCTTCCATTGCCCTAGGGACAGTATCAGTAAAAAAGTTCTTTTGGCATATGTCAGAGATTTTGCTGCCTGTGGATGTCTCTAGTATTTTTATGGTTTCCTGTCTTATGTTTAAGTCCTGTATCATTTTGAGTTTTTTTGTGTATGGTGTAAGTTGGTGATCTAGTTTCATTCTCTTGCATGTATTTGTCCAATTTTCCCAACACCATTTATTGAAGAGACTTTCCTGACTCCATTGTATGTCCGTGCCTCCTTTGTCAAATATTAATTGAGCATAGTGATTTGGGTTGATATCTGGGTTCTCGATTCGATTCCATTGATCTATAAGTCTGTTCTTGTGCCAGTGCCAGGCTGTTTTGAGAACAGTGGCTTTGTAATACAGCTTAAAGTCTGGTATTGAGATCCCTCCTACTTTACTCTTCTTTCTCAGTATTGCTATTGCTATTCGGGGTCTTTTATTGTTCCAAATTAACTTTTGGAGAGTTCTTTCTAGGTCAGTGAAATATGCCTTTGGTATTTTAATGGGGAGTGCATTGAACCTATAGATTGCTTTAGGAAGTATGGACATTTTGATAATATTGATTCTACCAATCCTAAATGTTTCTTTATTTTATTTATTAGTTACAAATTGAAGATTTAAGTGAAAATCTTTTAACATTAAAGGAAGCTCTTAAAACAAGTAAAAACAGAGAAAATTCACTAACTGATAATTTGAATGACTTAACTAATGAACTACAAAAAAAACAAAAAGCCTATAATAAAGTGCTTAGAGAGAAAGATGAAATTGAACAAGAGAATGATGAACTGAGAAGGCAAATAAAAAGACTAACCAGTGGATTACAGGTAATGTCATATTGTGATAATATCTTTGATTTATATGTAAGTAGCATTTCATTCCCAATTTTTAATTTCATATATAATATTTGCTGGAACTAGCTTGCATGTCCCCTTGATTAATTTAGCTAATTCCTTCAGTGATTGCCACTGTATTTATCATTTTAGAGAAGTATATCTTATTTAAATGCAGAAACAGTTACCATGTTATATATCAGTAGTGTCATTCAGAATGTTTGGTAAACTATTGTCTCAGAAATTTTCTGTAGTTGTAATATTTGGTGTGTATTTTATTTGATACTTTTTTATTTATAAAAGGTTAAAATGCATTATTATTTTTCAGGGCAAAACTCTGATAGATAATAAACAAAGTTTAATTGAAGAACTCCAAAAGAGAATTAAAACTCTAGAAAGCCAACTGGAAAGAAAAGTGGATGATGTAGAAATTAAGCCTATAAAAGAAAAGGTATGTGGATAAACATACTGATATATTTAAGGCGGTGCAAGACTAAGTTAAATATGTAATTGATGAATAGCTAATGTACTATATTAGTTTGAGGACCTAATACATATTTTAAGTGATATTGAATAATATAGAGAAATCTAAGACAAATGTACTTGAGGAGACTCCTATAAAGTAACTCTTACTTAAAAATTACTACATCATGTCCGTGTCATTTTCCTGGCATCCAAAAATATCTGCACATTTTGCTTATTTGTTTATCACTTCTCCCAATGTAATTGTTGACATATTGGTGATTTGACCTTTGGGATAGAAGCTGGGCATTTTTACTCTTCTACCTCGACCCAAATGTGTCCTTTTATCCTTCAACTAGTGGCCTGGTGCATGCAGTTCATGCACGGGGGGAAGGGTGTTCCTCAGCCCAGTTTGCACCCTTTTCAATCTGGTACCCCTCAAATATCCTACTGCCGGTTTACAGGGATCGGGCCTAAACTGGCAGTTGGACATCCCTTTCACAATCTGAACTGCTGGCTCCAGCCGCTCATCTTTCTGCCTACCTGCCTGATTGCCCCTAACCACTCTGCCTGCCGGCCTGTTAACCCTCACCTTCCCCCTGTTCCAGCCTGCTCACCCCCAACTGACCCCTGTGCCAGCCTGCTTACCCCCAACTGCACCCCTTACTGGCCTGTTCGCCCCCACCTCTCCTCCCCACTGGCCTGCTCACCCCCAACTGCACCCCTGCTGGCCTGCTCACTCCATCTTGCCCCCCCTGTTGTCCTGATCACCTCCAACTGAGCCCCACTGACTGTCTGCTTACCCCCAACTGGCCTCCCTGCTGGTCTGCTTACCCGAAATGGCCCCTACCGTCCCATCCTGGCCTGATCACCCCCCTGGTGACCCAAGGTCCCATCTCCTCCTTTTTTACTTTTTTTTCCCCCAGCACTTCCTTGAGTGGAGGCCAGGGCCAGCTGGAAACATGTATCTAGGATTTATTTAACTTCTATAATTGAAACTTTATAGCCTTGAGCGGAGACCAGGCCGGCCACAGCGGGCAGGAAACTTGGCTTTCTCCATCAATGGGGGCAACCCAAGCCTCTTGCTCAGCTCCAGCTCTGTGGCAGGCTGCCATCTTGGTTGGGTTAATTTGCATACTTGCTCCTGATTGACTGGTGGGCGTGGCTTGTGAGTGTTAATTTACATGTTCCTCTTTTATTAGTGTAAATAGGCAGGACTATTATTTCAAGGTCAACAATGTGACTTGGGATATGTCAGTATTTACAGCAATATTAAAGTAATCCACTCTTAAATTTATTTTATAAGCGAGAAAAATTGCTTTAAGTTTTTCATTCAATTTAATTAAGATATTTTATAATAAAAATTACTGATAGTGCCCTGGCCAGCTGACTCAGTTGGTTGGAGCATCATCCCTGTCTGGCACATTCCAAGGTTGCAGATTGATCCCTGATCAGGAAACAACCAATCAGTGTTTCTCTCTCACAGTGATATCTCTCTGTCTCTCTCTTTCTTTCTTCCCTTCTCCAAAATCAGTAAACATGCCCTTGGGTGAGGTTTAAAAATAGAATTAACCAACCTTAGCTAAAATACGGATATATAATTAATTTTGGATAAATTATAAACTGAAGACTTATCTTGTTGGTAGCATTGAAAATATCAAAAGTGACCTAGGAAATATTTATGGTAATGGTAATGTTTGCCCCTAAAGAAAATCACAGTGGAGGAACTATGGTTAGGAAAAATTTACCCAGAAAATATTCAATATCTATAAAATAAATTTTCATAACATGAAAACTACATATTTTAATGACTATAGAAAATGGCAATGCGACTAAATGTTTTAACAGAGTATATTACAGAAAGTATCAAAATTGACCAATGTCAGTATAAATTTGATAAAAATGCTTGCATTTATATACATGGAACCACAGCATACTTGCTGTCAGAAGCTTTATTGGTGAAAACTGGAAGATAAAAATGTCTTTACCCTTCTAGATTGGACTCTTTGCTCTCTGCTTCCTGGGGCAAAGGTCTAAATAATCCTTGGGTACCAGTTCCTAACCTGATTCCCATCAGATTACCTTGGTAGTTTTGTGGCTTTCCCTAGACTCTTAATCTCTATTTCAGCTTATTTCTCCTTAAATTAGATAATACTATTTCTATTACCAATTTCTTAAGATTATTTTGACAGGGAAATAATTTGTGAAAGTTTTTTGTAAGCCATCAAGTTAATCCCAGTGTATGATGTTATTACTAACTAGAAATAGAAAGAGAACAGAGAAAGTTACAGTAATAGTAAAATTTATAGCTATGAATCTAGTGAGAATGTTATTTCAGAGTATGCAGTGCTGGCCATTCCTAATTCATGAATGTTTTTATACTCATAGAATCCTTTCATTGATTATAAAAACAAATTTCAACACATTTTCCTCCATAAACAATGTTTGTAGCTGTCTGTATTTAAAAAAAAAACAAAAAACCACCCTATGCCTTGCAGTCCTGTTTTTCTTATGATAATTTATTTTTCTCCACAGCATTTATTACTATCTGACAGACTAGATTTTCTTAGCTTTGTATTCTTCTTTTGGTCTTCAAGCTTTGATGGCAGAAATGGTCTATTTGGTTCATTGTTGTCTCCTTAGCACCTAGAACAGTCCCTGACACATAGTAGATGCTCAGTATTTGTTGAATGAATGAAAAATTTTAAATGTAATATCATTATTCTGAAATCTACATGTAAGAAGCTGTTGGAACAGAAAATATCAAAAGATAACTTCTCTCTCCATCCTCTCTTCTTGCCTTCTCTTTCCCAGTCTAGAACAGACCTTGGTGACTTTGCCTGTGTTGTTTTTATTGTTGTTATTGTTCATTTTTTCATTATTTTCTTTCTTAAATCTTACTTAAGATGGTAATGTCAGATAGGATAGAATTACTCAATCCCTACAAAGCACTATACGATGCAGAAAAATTCACCTATATCACCTATATACATTATGCCCCCAACTAATATTTATATTTCTGGACGTGTATAAAATTCCAGGTTATATTTCAGAAAAAAAAGAAGTTAATGACTATCAAACACTTAGTGAAGTTTTTACATTTTTATATTTTATATTTTACATTTTTACAGAATTCTATTTGTCAACTTATAAAAACTATCAAACACTTAGTGAAGTTTTTACATTTTTTAAAGGATACTGTTTAGCTGAACTAAATAAAAGAGATTAAAAACTTAGCCAGTATAAGAAAAGTTAGTTTCGAGAGGGCAACTTTTTCAAAATGTTTTTTTATTAATTTTTAGACAGAAAGGAAGGGAGAGATAGAAACTTTGATGGGAGAGAAACATTATTGATTGACTGCCTCTACTGGGATCCAGCCCACAATCAGGCCATGTGCCCTGACTGGGAATTGAACCAGCAACCTCTTGATTCATGGCTCCACGCTAAACCACTGAACCACACCAGCTGGGCAAACTTATGTTAGTTGGGCATTTGACTTTCAACTATCTATCTGACTTAAAGTTATGGTTGTTAACCCTTCTAGCACTAACATTCTTTTTTTTATTTTTATAGTAAATACAGTGTTTCAAAATGTCTTCTTTACTATTCCAAATGAAATTCCTTATTAATATAAACTATTAGCTACATGCATAATTTCAAATTTATCATTATAAATGCCCTAAATAAAAGATCAATGAAAAACATAAAAGAAAAAATATTATGAAAATAGTATATTTTTATTTTTTTCATATTTCAGCAAATATAAATGCTCTAGCATGACTACCCTTAAAGTCATCATGAGGTAGTCTATCCTTGCACCTCTAGGTTGTGTTCATATGAATTCAGAGCTATGAATGCAGACTAATACTAGAACAATATATTCTATTGGCAGCTCATGTTGCTGTGGCATTTCCATTTATAATCTCATTTCTAAAATGACACACAATTGTTGGTACAGTTTTTAGCAAAATTATATGTACAGATTTTCCTTTTATAAGATTGTTGCATTCCTAGAAAGTTTATTACATAGTAAAATCGTTAAAAATTGCTTGGTGGCCTAATCGGTTTGGCCCAATGGATAGTGTCAGCCTGCAGACTGAAAGGTCCTAGGTTTGGTTCTGGTCAAGGGCATCTTGGTTGTGGGCACATCCCCAATAGGAGGTGTGCAGGAGGCAGCTGATTGATGTTTCTCTCTCATCGATGTTTCTAACTCTCTCTCCCTCTCTCTGTAAAATATAATATTATATATATATATATATATATATATATATATATATATATATATTTAAAAAAATTAATTGTATATAAGAATTGCTTGATAGAATGAAGATATAAGTTCTTAGCTCAGATAGTTGTGAATAGAATTTTTAACTATGTGAATGCCCAGAACTTGTGCAGTACATGGACTGTTTTGCTCTTTCCTTGGACACTTTATCTTAGTTATCACAAGCCATGACACCTATCCCTAAAGGCCCTAATTGCTTCCCTGTCCCCCATCCATTTTAGCACTTATCGCACTAACATGACTACAATTTTTCTTTTCTTGTTTTTTATTTTTATTTTTATTTTGTTCCATTTCCCTAGTGCATACACTCAACCAACATAAACTGGACTCTTATATTCATGAAAATAGATTTTTTGTTTGTTTGATTTATTCGTTGCTTCTATTCTTAGACAGTACCTGGTACATATCTAGCACTCAATAATTATTTGTTGAATCAGAAAGTAATGTTCATTGAAGATTTGAAGGGGCCCTGATGCTAGGATATTGCTATGGGATGACAGAATTGGTTTAGTCATTTATACATATAGATTCCTTGATACAAGCTTACTGTAGTCATGATTGTCTATTAAAAATATTCATGTAAAGACTCGGTAAGGGTGTTATCATGAGTTCAAACTGTTCTCCAGAATTCTATTTGTCAAGTTATAAAATACAGGATACTTAAACTGAGGGTCATTTTTACTACTACCTTGGCATGTCTAAAAAATGTAGAAGTTAAAATCTATTTATTTTTTAAGAAGGATTGTTTTACCATTCTAATAAGTTGTAACTGATAACTCTTAAAATAAAATTTAAAAAAATATTGGTAATTTTCTTCCTCCTTTATTATTGTTTATAGAGTGCTAGAGAAGAATTAATTAGATGGGAAGAAGGTAAAAAATGGCAAAGCAAAATAGAGGGAATTCGAAACAAGTTAAAAGAGAAAGAAGGGGAAATTTATATTCTAACAAAGCAGTTGAATACTGTGAAGGATCTTTTTGCCAAGTAAGTATAAAGTATTAGGTCTAGTAATAATTAATGTCGTTTTCTCATATTTTTTTTTTAATCGAATTTATTTAAACAATACAACAAAATTTAATCAACAATATAGTTTCCGTTGTTTTCTACTACTTGTGCCCAACGCTCAGGAAGCATTTTAATCCCTCTGTTGTAAAATTCTTGTGATTTTGATGCAAAAAATTCGGTCAATGCATTTTTGAGGCATTCTTCATTATTAAATTTTTTTCCAAGAAGAAAGTTTTGCAAAGAACGAAACAAATGGTAATCGGAAGGGGCAATATCAGGAGAATATGCAGGTTGAGGGAGAACTTCCCATTCCAACTGGCGCAGTTTTTCAGCAGTGATTCTTGCAGTTTACATGAATATTTTTAATAGACAATCATGACTACAGTAAGCTTGCGGTCGTGCGTTATCGTGGTGAAGAATTACGCCCTTCTGATTAATCAGCGCGGGTTCTTTTTCTCTTAAAGCTTGGGCTAACCTTTCCAATTGGGCACTATACACTGCACTTGTAATGGTTTGGTTAGATGGTAAAAGTTCATAATGAAGAATTCCTTTAAAATTCCACCAAACACACAACATCACTTTTTTCGCATGCAAGTCAGGTTTTGGCGTGGGCTGCGGAGCCTCATTTTTGTCCAACCATTGAGGCCACCTTTTCAAATTAACATACAGCACCCATTTTTCATCTCCGGTAACAATTTGCTCTAAAAACTGCAAACGGTTTTGACGAGAGAGGAGCGAACTGCAAATTGTGACTCTTTGATTATGGTTGTTGTTGGTCAACTCATGAGGAACCCATTTTCCAAACTTTTGGACTTTGCCAAGTGCACGCAATTGATTGGAAATTGTTTTCTGTGAACAATTTAAAGTTGTCGCAAGCTCTTGTTGGGTAATTTGAGGATTTTGCACCAAAAGAGCTTGAAGGGCTTCTTGATCAAAATTGGACACATGGCCTCGACCACTCTTGTCATCTAACGAAAAATTTCCCTCGCGAAATTTCTCAAACCAACGCTGGCATTTTCTGGCGCTAACTGCATCTTGACCAAGAGCACTACAGATGTTTTTTGCAGCCTCACTTGCTTTTCTTCCTAATTGGAACTTGTAAAGCATGCAGTGCCGAATATGCTCTTCATCCGCCATCTTCTTAGCCCTAGTTTTGCAACAAAAACCAAACCAAACACAAACTTTTTCAAGCAAAACTTGTTAATTGCACTTCACACGTTCTGTAGATACCACGTGTTTGAAGGTTATGTCAATACAAGTCAACGCCAAGCAAGATTTTAAACGAATGTTTAAAAACGACATTAATTATTACTAGACCCGATAAATCTAATTAATTATGTGTAAAGTCTTTAATTGACCTGGAAGTTATATAGTTTTATTGTCCTTGATAATATAAGAAGTTATCTAATTTTAATTATGAATTATTATCTATGATTTTTTATTTTCTTTCTTTGAAATGTGTTTTGAATTTATTTTAACAACTTATAAATGGGGTTTCCTATAATTTAAAAATAACTTAGCTCCTAGGAAATGCAGAACAATCTGATTTTTGTATATTGATCTTGTAATGAGTAAACTGCAGTTCAATAAATTGAACAAGCCACACAGTGGATAGTATATTTTCATGTTTCTTATTTAATCCCACAGAGCTGATAAAGAGAAACTAACTTTGCAGAGGAAACTAAAAACAACTGGCATGACTGTTAATCAAATTATGGGAGTGCAAGCTTTGGAGTCAGAAAAAGAATTGGAAGAATTAAAAAAGAGAAATCTTGACTTAGAAAATGAGATATCATATATGAGGTACACTAATACTTGGAAATGTGCTATCTATACTAATAAAAGGGTAATATGCTAATTAGACTGGATAGACTGGACGTCTTCCAGATGTCATTCTGGACATCCCCCCTGACAAAGCCAGCGGCATGGCCAGCCTGCAAACCACCTGCAACCCCTCACCTCGGCCGGCCCCGCCCCTAGCACGGACCCCCACCCTGATCTAGGGCCCCCTTCAGGGCAGGCCAGCCAGCCCCACCTGTGCACTAGGCCTCTATCCTCTTGTATTATAAAAGGGTAATATGCAAATTGACCCTAATGGCCGAACAGCCACTGGACCAGTCCCTAGGACCACCTCTTGGTTCCTTTCCCTGGCTGGCAGGATCCAATCACCTGATGGCCACCCACTGCAGGGGCGGGGCCAGTGAGTGGGCAGGAACAGCCGACTTCTCGGTCCCTTCCCCTGGCCATCAGGCACTGGTCACCGGATGGTGAATGGGGAACCACAGGTAGGTAGCGGCAGGGGTGGGGCTGATTGCGGGCAGCTGGGGAAGATGGCCCTGATCACAGGCCAGGTCTAAGGACTGTACCAGTGCATGAATTTCATGCACCGGGCCTCTAGTTCATTATAATGAAGGAAACCAGTTGACCCATTAATATATAATATAACTGATAATATACTAGTAAACATGTTACATATTTTAAAGTTGGGTTCTGTTGATGGCTTTTCTGGGTTGAGATATTCCTTTTTCTTCATATGCTACATAATTTTGAATTGTATTCTTGAAATTTTGCATATGATGTTTTAGGACACTGAATTTTGGCTAAGTTCTATGGAAAATTCTATTATTAATAAAAATAGCTACATAGCAGGAATTAGTCTGGATAGGTTCAGGCCCAAAATTCTCACTTTCTGTGGGCTCTGATTCCATTATCAGTGTTGTTGGCATCTGTCCTGCCTGTGTACCTCCCAGTTGACAGTCTGGTACGTGTCTTCTCTCTATTAGTTCATTCCTCAGAGTCTTTGGTGCTCACAATAGGATCAGATCCTTGCATGTACAGCTCACGGGTGAGCCCAGAAGTTCATAAACAACTTTGTAATTGTTGAAGCTCCTCCCTTTGTGTAACTTCCCTGACACTCTCTTTTTCCCTATGGCTCCTTTAGGTACTTTCAACCAAAACTGGCTCTTTAGTTACCCTGTTATCTTGTGCAGTTCAGCAATTGTGTACATTTGCAGCCACGCAAACAACAGAAGGGCAGGAAGGAGGTGAGGGGAGGTGGAGTAACTACTTTCTTCCTCACACCTTACCAATCCCAAGTCTCTACTAATTGGAGGAAATGATTTCCCTCCATAAAAATTTTGCCACCTATGGGTTCCCCTTGCTGTCTCTGCCACCACTGCCTATGGGATTGCTTGAGGGTTGAGACATGAAAAACCAGAGAGAAGAAAGAAATAATGAGGGATTCTTGTACACTTTGCGTATAACTTGAAGGCTTCCCCAGAATATTCTCCCTCAGTGTTAAACTCACTTTAATGTTTCAAGTAATGTTGTGTTCCCGCCAATACATATCAGAGGAAAAGAAAACATAAATTCATCACCTGTTTGCTGATACTTCAGAGTCTGGCATTTTGTCCCAATCTATAAACTATTTACCTTTTCAAGTTCTTAAGTAGATGCTCCATGCATTTGGGAGACAAGATTTATTAACATGTACCGTTAGGTCAGTATTAAGGCAGTGTGAGCATGTGAAGTTGAACTCCTTTATAGGAATACTCAGGAGCTTCTAATGCACATACTATCTACTTTCCTTCTAAGTCATTGTTTCCTTAATCCTTCAGAATTTCACTAGATGGAGAAGAAAAGTGTGATGGAAGAATTCTTCTTTCATTTGACATCCATTTATAGTTACTATTTGATCTTGGCAGTGGCTTCTTCCCTCTCTTTTTTTTTTCTTAGTCAACCTATATATTCAGAGCAAAACTAAATCCTTTTATTCTCCTTTACGGTTTTTTACAGGAATTAAAATATTTTAGATTTGAAACCTTCAAATACTTTAGAGGTTTAAGCGTTCTTTTTTCCTTAATGATGTGAATCTGTGTGGGCTGAAGTATTTGGAGAAGATTTTTGGTGTCCTAACACATGGTCTATCTTTGTGAATGACCCATGTGCATTTGAGAAGAATGTATATTCTGTTGCGTTGGGGTGAAATATTCTATAATTGTCTAATAAGTCCATCTGACCCAGTGTGTCCTTTGGAGTCTTTGTTTCATTGTTAAGTTTTGGTCTGGAAGATCTGTCCAGTAAAGTTAGAGGGATGTTAAAGTCCCGTACTATGACTGTATTGTTGTCAATATCTTTGCTAAAGTCCTCTAGAAGTTTTTTTTTTGGTTTTTTTTTTATATATCTAGGTGCACCTATATTGGATGCATATATGTTAACCAGGTTTATATCCTCTTGTTGGATCTATCCCTTTATGAATATGTAGTGACTTTTGTTGTCTCTTGTGATGGCCTTAATTTTAAAGTCTATTTTGTCAGATATGAGTATTGTTAATCCAGCTTTTTTTTCTTTTCAATTTTCATGGAAATTTTTTCTAGCCCTTCACTTTCTAGTTCCTGTGTGTGTGTCTTTTGTTTTGAGGTGGGTCTCGTAGACAGCATATAGTTGGGTCATGTTTTTTTATCCATTCAGTTACTCTATGCCTTTTTTTTTTTTTTTTTTTTCCTAAAGCATTAGCCATTTTAATTTTATTTTATTTTTATTTTTGTTTTGTTTTTTTAAAATATATTTTGGCCATTCCCAGCCTGGCAGCTGCTGCTCCAGGCCTGGCCGCACCTGACCCAGTACTCTATGCCTTTTGATTGGGACATTTAATCCATTTACATTTAGGGTTATTACTGAAAGGAACTTATTTATAGCCATTTTAATTCTGTATAGCTAGATTTTCTCTCTCTGTTTCTTATTTTCAGCAATCCCTTTAGCATTTCTTGTAATGCAGGCTTGCTGGTAATAAATTCCTTTAGGCTTTTTTTTTTTTTTTTTTTTTTTTTTTTGGTATTTGACCATCTATTTTGAATGAGAGGCTTTCTGGATATAGTAATCTTGGTCTCAAATCATTACTTTCCTTTACCTTGCCATTCCCTTCTGGCCTATAGAGTTTCTGATGAGAAATCAGGTGTCAGCCTTATGGGAACTCCTTTATAGATAATAGTTTTCTTTTCTCCTGCTGCCTTTAAGATTCTCTATTTGTCTTTAATTTTTGTCATTTTAATCATAATGTGTCTGGGCTTGGATCTGTTTGGGTTCTTCTTGTTTGAGGTTCTCTGTGCCTTCTTAACTTTAATGACTTTTTTCTTTATCAGGTTAGGGAAGTTTTCTACAATTATTTCTTCAAACACTTTCTCTATTCCTTTCACCCTTTCTGTCCCTTCTGGCACATGTGCTATTCAAATGTTGTTATGTTTCACATTGTCCCACAGCTCCCTTAAGCTGTCCTCCTGTTTCTATAATTGCTTTTTTCATTTTGGTTCTCTGATTGAGTCATATTTTCAATTCTGTCATCTAATTCACTGATTCTATCCTCAGCTTACCTCATTCTGCTGTGTATTCCTTCCAATGTGTTATTTGTGTTATGTCATTCTTTATCTCAGGCTGTTCTTTTTTCATAGTTATTATATCTTTTTTCATACTGTTGAGCATTTTTACCATCACTCTGAACTGTTTCAGATAAATTTTTTACCTCTGTTTTATTTACCTCTTCTTCTGAAGAATTCTCTAGTTCTTTCATTTGGGGGTTGTTTCTTTGTCTCCTCATTTTGGTTGTCTGTTTGGGTTTGTGACTATATGTTAGGTAGATCCTCTACACCTTTCAGTCTCTAGAGCAGGACAGTTTTAAAGGCTATTTCTAACTAATTGAGTCAGGCAAAGACTCAGCCTCCAGATACCACCTCTGTCTACAGACTAGTAGGATTCCCACTTGAATTGCCCCCAGGAAATCACCCATAGGTTTAGGGAGGAGTTTTTTCAATAGGGAGGAGAAGTTTGCTTCTGCCTGGAGGCTAATTATTACTTTTAATTTCTTAACCATTTAACCGGGGAGTTCCCTTTTTAATTACGCAACCTGTAATGGGCGCGTACTCTTTCACTAGGACGTGTCAGTACGTCACACCCAGAGGATGTAATTTCATATTATTTTTTTTTAATTTATACTTAATTAAAATAAATGATATATATTTTTTCATTTATTTATATATAAAGCACAAAGGAAAATACAAAATTACAAAAAAATAGAAAAAAATACCAATAAAAAAATGGAAACATCGAATTAAAAAATTATAAATTTTACAAACAATTATAAAGATTACAAAAAATATATACCGTCCCTCTCAGGGCGCAACATATATTTCCAGGACGTATTCATATGTCCTACCTGTTCCTGATATTGTTTACATTTGACGTATTTATATGTCCAGCTTGGTTAGCAGGTTAAGTGGCCTCAGGGTAAGGTGTTTTCCAATAGGGTGTGTTCACTCTCTTCCCCCCCAGGCAAGGCAAATGTCTATGTGGGAAAGTTGTCCTCTACTGAATGAGGGAATAACCCAGCCCAGGAAACTTGGGGTATCTGCCTTCTGAACACTATGCCCCAAGTCTTCAGTCCTGGGTTCCGCTCTCATAGCTCCAGACCACTTCCCCCTCTTTTGCCGGAGGACAAGTTGGGTGGCTTCACAGGGAATTTGCATGCATTGGCCCATCAAGAAGTTGCCCAAACATTCAGCTGTCACTCCCTAGCAGATAGCACCCCACTGTTTTTCACAGTTAGATGTTAAGTGGAAATCTTCCTCAGATTTGGTGCTCTCTGCTGGGGTGCTCAGCTTGGAGATTAGATCCCAGAGTTCTCAGCAGCACCCCTTCTTCCCCAGCTGAGATATCTCTCCTGGACTTCAATTCCTGTCTGTGGGTGCCCAGCCAGCCCTTTTGCGCTTTTGTCCCTCCTTACCAGTCTCTACTTTTTGGTTCTTGGGTATCAGGGTTCTCTCCTGTGAGTTTTCCGTTGATTATTCTAGAAGACTTTCCATATTTCAGTTGTAATTCCAGCTTGTTCTGGGGAACATGTCCGTGCAGCATCCTCCTACTATGCTGCATTCTTAATCTGAGGATCATTTTACAATGTAAATAGTCATGTCCTAATTTCATTTTATAAAGTTTTTAAGTTTTTTAATATTTAAAATAGGTACAGTGTAAATAAATGTTATATATTTTTATTCTCTCCTTTATAGTTTAATATAAAACACACAGTGAAAAGTTGAAGTTTGATAGTAAAGAGACTGTGGTGGTTGTTTTTAGGACCCATCAGGCTCTTCCTCGAGATTCTGTTATAGAAGATTTACGTTTACAAAACAGATACCTCCAAGAAAAACTTCACGCTTTGGAAAAACAGTCTTCAAAGGATGCTTCTTCTAGGCCTTCTGTAAGTGTATATATTTTCTTTTCATTTTTTTAATGGTAAAGTTTGGAAGTAAAATCAATTTTTACCTTTATCTGGCCAAAGCCAGTATATCTCTGTCCTTAATATGTATTAATACAATGAATTCAACTTTTATTCTTAGTAGCTACTGATAATATATTAACTTCTTTAATCCTTTTTATATAATAACTTTAAACTTAAGATTCTTATGTTTCTCATAGAACTTGATTACAAATGATTTCTAGATATTTTAAATGTAGTTGTTCTGAGTTTGCTGTGGCAAGACTATACAATTAAACTAAATAGGAAAATATGTTATCGAATTATTATGTGACAATGTTTTTACTGTTCTTTATAAAGACTCATTAATGAAGAATTATTAGAATCTTATTTTAAATCACTCAGTGTGTACTCTTTTATTATTGTTTTTCTTTTCATGTTTTTTCTCTTTCTGAATAAGCAGAATCTGTTACATAACACAAGTACTCTTTCTACCTATTCTAACAGTGTTAATGAATATAGGCACAATAGGCACAATATTTTTCACACAAAGAACACTTTATAAAGGAACAACTGAAAAAAAACTAAAAAAAAACCAAAAAACCCTAAGAGTGCTCAGAATTAAAAATGAGAAAGGAATAGATGCCAATGACAACTTACATCATCAGAAATTGAGAAATACTCTACAGTATCACAGTAAGAAGGAAAACACAAAGCAGGATATGTTATAGATTCTACTGAGTTAAATATATCTGAGGCAAGGCCAAACAATAAATCAAGTCTATTTAGGCTAAATGATGACACCTTGGCAGATTTTAAACCAGTTTAGAAAATAGTCCCGATCCTAAAATTGAGAAAATTAATCAAGGCTGTTGTGAAAATAATAAGCAGGAATATAAAGTCAAAGAAGAGAATGAACTAGTGAAGAATGGGAAGGGAAAGGAACACATAGCTGAAGACCTCAGTCACAGCAGCTGCACAGACCCAGAAGAATCTCCCGGGGAGGACCCGGCTCCTGCCACAGTTGCTGCTGCAGTGAATCCGTGTGCTGAGGAGGCTACTCAGGCAAACTCTGAGACTGACGTGCCAGTCCAGCCAGGAAATGGCGGGCCCCAGGTTTGAGTACATGGCAGTCCTTTATTTCTTTGTTAGCTGAGTTTCCTTATAGCAAGTAGTATAGATATGTGATACAAATGAAAAAAGAGTTGTGTAGGGTTTGTAAGAAATATTAATTATTGCTGAAACTGGTTTGGCTCAGTAGATAGAGCATCGGTTTGGGGACTGAGGGGTCCCAGGTTCGATTCCGGTCAAGGGCATGTACCTTGGTTGCCGGCACATCCCCAGTAGTGGGTGTGCAGGAGGCAGCTGATTGATGACTCTCTCTCATCGATGTTTCTAACTGGCTATCTCTCTCCCTTCCTCTCTGTACAAAATCAATAAAATATATTAAAAAAAAAAAAGAAATATTAATTATTAATAAACTTCTCCTTAAACCCAAACATTTGACTAGTTCTTACTAAAGTAGTGGTTATGCATTTCCTAAATCATTTTATTTTAACTTTTTAATTAATTTTTGTATTGATTAAGGCATCACATATTTGTCCTCAACCCCCCATTCCAATCCCCCACCTCCACCCCACTCATGTCCCCACCCCCCTATTGTCCTTGACCACTGGTTAGGCTCATATATGTGCACATAAGTCCTTTGGTTGATCTCTCCCTTTTAGTACTCCCTGTTTTACCAATGGTGCTCACTTGAAATGATTAGATTAGATAACAGAATAGCAAAAGTAAGGCACATTAGATGTGTTTATTTTGCCTCATAAATTTCTAATACAGCTTGCTATAAAATCTCAATACAAGTAAAACTTCACACAGTGAATAATATCAATAAAAATTTGTTGTGATGCTGTGTGACATTCTAACATACATAGCAAATTCCTTCAGTAGTTTTTTTTCCCAGGTATTATAAGATACTTTTTTATAATGAAAAAAGGAAAGTTACATGTATTGCTATTTATGTTGTGATAGACTCTCGGTCTACATGTAATAGCCACAATACTTTGCAGTGTATTACTGGTAATTCACATGAGAAGCTTAGAAAATAACATCTCTAGTGATTGATGCAGAATACTTTCTCTCTCTGTAATCAATAAAAATATGTTTTATTTTTAAAAAAAAGAATTACTTACAAAAGAAAATATGCAGAACAGAACTTAAATGCAATTCTAACAGCCTAAATCTATAGTTTATGAACTTTCTATGTATACACTTCTTTGTGGCAGTTTACACAATACAGAATAAGATAAGTTTGTTCCCAATTAAAGTCAAATAGAATTTCTTTTTTTTTTCTTTATCCTTTCCTCCTAAGATATTTCAGTCACCTAAGTTCTCAAAACATTGACTAAAATCACACCTTTAAATGTTCAGAGAAAAATGTTCAAAATGTTCATAATGGTTCTTTTCCCCCACTACATAAGTAATTGAGAATTTGAGACTTAACACTTTATAGAAAAAAAAGTAGTCAAGCACAGATTTCTCATTTAAATAACATATGGTATTTGAATATAAGTAAAACTCAAAATGGATTCATGTCAAGAGAAATGCAAATATAGTGATACTGATAAGAGAGTGATTACTTTAGCTCATGGAATGAGGAAAGCTTTCAGAAGCAGTAAGGAATTGAGGCACTTATTTTTGTAGGCTTGTGTGTATTGGTTTGCTATGGCTACCAATAACAAAGAACCACAGATATGATGTCTGAAATAACAAGAATGCATTCTCACAGTTCTGGAAGCCAGAAATCCAAAGTCAAGGTATTAGCAGGGTTTATCCCTTCTTCAGGCTGTGAGGGAGTATCTGTCCACACTTCTCTCATTATCTGTTACAAGGCAGTCTTCTCCCTGTGTCTTCACATGTCTTTCTTTGTTAAATGTCTGAGTGTAAATTTCCTTTTTGTATAAGAACACCAGTCATGAGATGTTACTTTAACTTGATTTTCTCTGCAAAGGCCCTATCTCCAAATAAGGTCCTGAGGTACTGGGAGTTAGGATTTCAACATATGAATTTGGGAGTGGGGTGCAGATGGGGTATAATACAATCAAACTTTATTATTAGACTGAAAATATAAATGCTATAGTTTAGTTGTTATGAAAGTATATATGGAGACTTTCATTATATGTGTAGACATTGTTAAGTCATACTTGACTTTGCTTTCAATATTAATTAAAATATATGACCTTTTCTTCTGCAAATTTTATATTCTTATTTATTTTTGGTTGTTTTCTCCAGATCTCTTCATATTCTTTTGAGGAAAATGTTCCATTTTAGCATTGTGTTTTCTGATTCAGAATGTCTTATGCATGTTTTATTTATTAAACCTTAAAAGTACATCTAACTTTTTTTTTTTTTCCTGAAGACTTCAGAAATAGAGTCAGATGATCATTGGCAAAGAGAACAAGAGTTTCAGAGGGAAAACTTGAAGTTGTCATCTGAAAATATTGAACTAAAATTTCAGCTTGAACAAGCAAATAAAGATTTGCCAAGATTGAAGGTAAATTTAGAATTATTTATTACAGTTAGGAAATCTAATGCCTGAAAACCTTTTTCTCCCCATTTAATTGTTATGCTTACCATATTAGTATATAAAGAAGTCAAAACTCATATTCATAAAAATGTTATACTTTTTACATTTATTCTTTTAGCAATTATTTGTTGAGTGACTAATTTGTGTCAAGCACTCTTCTAGATGCTGGGAAATAGCAATGGAAAAAATTCTTGCACTCATGGAACTTACCTTCTAATGGGGAAGGCTAATAAACAAGTAAACAAGTCAATATCTGCACTAATAAAAAGAGAAACATGCAAATTAACCATCACTCTGCAATGCCAGGCCATGCCCACCAGCCAATTAGGAGCGAGTATTCAAATTAACCCAACTAAGATGGTGACCAGCCACAAAGCTGAAGCAAGCAGGAGGCTTGGGTTGCCCCTGGTGATGGAGGAAAGGCAAGCTTTCTGCCTTCCCTGGCCAGCCCTGGTCTCTGATCAAGGCTAAAAAGTTTCAATTATAGAAGATAAATAAATCCTAGATACTTGCTTGCAGCCTGCCTTGGCCTCCACTAAAGGATGCACTGGGGGGAAAAAAAAAAGAAAAAGAAAAAAAGGAGGAGCTGGGCCTTTTGGTTGCGGGGGGTGATCAGGTCAGGATGGGATGGCAGGGGCTGTTGGGGTAAGCAGACAAGCAGGAGGGCCAGTTGAGGGTAAGCAGGCTATTAGTAGGAGTCAGTTGGAGGTGATCAGGACAGCAGGGGGAGGGGGGTAGGAGCAGTTTGGAGTGAGCAGGCCAGCATGCGGGCATTTGGGGGTGAGCAGGCCCGTGGGGAGGGAAGATGGGGGCAAGCAGGTCAGCGGGGAGGGGGGGGGGAGTTGGGGGCGAGCAGGCCAGCAGGGGTGACAGTTGGGGTTTGATCAGGCTGGCAGGGGTCATTTGGGGACAAGCAGGTTGACAGTTGGGGGCAGTTGGGGACGAGCAAGCCAGCAAGCAGAGTGGTTAAGGGCAATCAGGCAGGCAGGGAGGTGAGTGGCTGGAGCGAGTAGTCCCGGATTGTGAGAGGTATGTCTGCCTGCTTAGGCCCAATCCATCTAAATTGGCAGTAGGACATCCTTCAAGGGGTCCCAGATTGGAGAGGGTGCAGTCCGGGCTGAGGAACACCCCTTCCCATGCATGAATTCTTGTACCGGGCCACTAGTCTATAATAATAAACGTATAATATACAAATGGAATGATTGTCCGAACACCCTTCTGGATGAAGCCAGGGCTGCGAGCATGATGGCTGGGGCAGATGGGGCTGCAAAGGTCTACTCTTGCATGAATTTTGTGCATTGGGCCTCTTGTGGGATAATAAAAGGCTAATATGCAAGTAGACCAAAGAGCAGAATGACCGTTTGCTATGACTTGCACTGACCACCAGGGGTCAGGCACTTCAACACAGGAGCTTCCCCTTAGTGGCCCATGCAGAGCGCCACTCAGCCAGAAGCTCTGAGCTGAGCTCATGGCTGGCGAGCATAGTGGTGGTGGTGGGAGCCTCCACGGCAACACTAAGGATATCTGACTGATGGCTTAGGGTGTGGGCCTATGCCATCAGTCGGACATCCCCCGACGACTTCCAGATTGTGAGAGGGCGCCTCCAAATGCACGAATTTCATGCACTGGGTCTCTAGTGCTATATAATAAAAGACTAATATGCAATAGACTGAATGGAAGAACAACTGGCCACTATGACATGTACTGACCACGAGGGACCCCACACAGAACATGGTGAGTGTTGGCAGTATCAGGATGGTGGAGCAGGTGAGCAGGGGCACCAGAACAAAGTGGGGCACTGGTCACTATAATCGGGGCAAGGTTCTGGTGGTCACTGAAAATTCTTTGCTCCCATGTGCTTTGGTCCTGCCCGGCGCTCATACCTGCTGCCGGTGCCAGAGCTGCCTCTTGCACCCACTACGGGCATCGGATCTGCAGACCGCCACTTGCACCCACTGATAGCCTCCGGCTCCAGTCCCAATCACTTGGCACCATCAGTGGGTGCAAGCGGTGGCTGCCAGCCCCAAATGCACATGAGGGCTTCTCTACTCCCCTCCCCCCCACTTTTGAAGAGCAATTGGGGCAGCAGCCGCTGCTTGCACCTGCTGAGAGCACCCGCCCTTCTCACACCCATTGTTGGTGCCGGCCCCAATCACACCATGCTGTCAGCATTAGGAACAGTGGCCTTGGAAGTGGGGCTGTTGGCAGAGCAACAGGGGCCGCAGTGGGAGGGGCAGAGCGGGGGCACGGAGGATAGGCTGAGACCCGCTGCTATGGCCATCATAGCCTCACAGCCCACAGTTCCTTTCAAGGTGCACAAATTTGTGCACTGGCCCCTACTCTATAAAAGCGAAGCAACTGGTATGACCAGTTGCTATGACGGACACTGTGGCCGGCCAACCAGCCTGATAGGGCGGGGCCAGCTGGCCAACCTCTTACAACCGTTCCCCCAGGCCAGCAGGCCCTGATCTGCCTGAACAAAGTGGGCCAGCCAGACCCCACCCGTGCACAAATTCATGCACATGGCCTCTAGTATAGTATGTCAGCTTATATTAAGTGCTAAGGAGAAACAGCAAGGTTGGTGTAAATGTGGTGTGTGAGGGGTAGGTGGAGGTTTGAAGAATTGCTATTTAAAATACTGTTTTGTCCTGGCTAGTGTAACTCAGTTTCTTGGATATTGTCATGTGCACTGAAATGATTCCTGATCATGGTAGATGCCTGGGTTGTGGGCTTGATTCCAAGGAGGAGCATGTAGCAGATAGCCAGTTGACATTTTGCTCTCACATTGATGTTTCTCTTTGCCTCTCCCTCTCTCTTTAAAACAAGCATGTCAAACATTGGTCAAATAAGCAAGTTTTAAGTTTATGTGGGCCACAAAAAATCAAAAGCTTTAATTTTCAAAGAAACGTAGGTTTATTTCAATGGAGGCATGGTGAATACAAAGGGCTAAAATAAATGAGTAATCATTAACATAAAATAATAGAATATATTAATAAAAATTAATATTTTTTCTTGACATTAATTTACCAGACACTGAATAACTGCACAAATTAATAAATGTAACACAAATAAACCTATTTTTCTTGTTTTCTGAAAGCGAAATATTTCCTGTTGCACACACCAAACAAGTCAGTCTAAGGCTAATAACGTGGCCATCAGCTGCTAAAATATTTGCTGCTAGTATTAGTGGAGAGAAATGGTACATCTGTGTGTAAGGTGCATAAGGGAAATGAATGCAACATTATAGTAATCAGTCCTTAGTGAACATTGTAGTTCATTATTAATAACTAGAGGCCCAATGCACACATTTGTGCACTGGTGGATCCCTTGGCATGGCCTGCTGGGATCAGATCAAAACAAGCAGTCCAACACCACCTGCTGCTCCTTCTCATCCTGGACCCACTGTGCCTGCCACCACCGCCACTTGTTAGGCTTGCTGCTGCTCTGCTGTGGTGTCCGTGTACCCCTCTTAGGGTGATACCGGCGTGCTCATGACCAGGAAGTAGCCATGGACTTGCGCCCAGCCAGTCTGATCCTGGCTGTAGTCCAGATGGGGGAGGAGTGCTCAGGGGGAGTGTCCATGGGAGAGGCTCGCCAGCCGTGAGCCCTATCTCTGGTGTCCATCAGTCAGCTGAGCAGCACTCCTCCTGTGGGAGATCTCTGACAACCAGGGAGCAGCTCCTGTACTGAGAGTCTGCCCCCTGGTGGTCAGTGCACATCATAGTGACCAGTCGACCAGTTGCTTATATTATATATATATATATGTGTGTGTGTGTGTGTGTGTGTGTGTGTGTGTGTGTGTGTGTATATATATATATATATACACACACACACACACACACACACATACATACATACATACATACACACTCTAGAGGTCTGGTGCATGAAAAGTCATGCGCTGGAGGGGGGTCCCTCACCCCAACCTGCCCCCTCTCACAGTCTGGGAGCCCTCAGGGGTGGGAGGCAACCCAGCGATCAGGAAAGGCGACACACCCATCACACCTCTGCTGCTGCCACTACCAGCAGTGCAAACATTGGCTGGCCCTGGTTATCTGAGCCTCAGGTGGCCCTGGGGTGGCTGTGCAGCAAACATCCGAGGCTTGCCTGTGCCTCAGGTGTCATCTGGGCAGCCGCCATCCAAGGCTTGCCTGTGCCTTGGGCCAGCCCTGGGTGGCTGGGAAGCTGCTATCTGAGGCTTGCCTGCATCTTGGCCAGCCCGGGGTGGTTTGGGAGTTGAGAGGACTGGGGGACTCCGGAAGCAGGTGTGTAGAGTGGCCAGACCACCTTGGGATGGATCCGGCTGTTCCATGCACCTGCTGCCCCAGTGAGGCTGAGGGGACTGGACACCACCATCTTGTGGCTGTGGTTGCCGCCATCATTGAGAATGTTATAGTCAATTTTCATATTCCCTCTTTATTAGATAGGATTATGTATAAAAGGATATTGTAGAAATTAAGTTACAGAATTTTTGTTAATATATTTTATTGATATTTTTACAGAGAGGAAGAGAGAGGGACAGAGAGTTAGAAACATCGATGAGAGAGAATCATTGATCAGCTGCCTCTTGCACACCCCCTACTGGGATATGACTGCAACCAAGGTACATGCCCTTGACCGGAATCGAACCCGGGACCTTTCAGTCCGCAGGCTGACACTTTATCCACTGAGCCAAAACGGTTTTGGCCAGAATTTTTATTAAAATGTTTCTCACATACCATTATATTGGTTGGGCTGCAGAAATATTCATGTGGGCCACAAGGGGCCCATGGCTGCGAGTTTGAAATTCTTGCTCTAATAACAATAATAATAATAATAATAATAATAATAATAATAATAATAATAAATAAAAATCTTCAGAAATACCCTAGTAAGGAAGCTCTGCCCAGTAGTTTAGTTGTGTATAGCATTGCACCAATATGTGATGGTTGCAGGTTCGATCCCTATTCAGGGCACATACAAGAATCAACCAGTGAATGCATACATAGTGGAACAACAAAGCTTTGTTTTTCTCTTTCTCTCAAATCAATTAATTAAAAAAAATATATGGTAGTTTGGTTAATATATTTTAGTAGAGAGCTAGGGGACAAATAAAGAAGTGGGTCATGCAAATAATTGAAAAAGAGTTCCGGACAACAGAAATAGCAAATTCAAATGCCCAGCACTCAGAGGATTCCTGGTGCACTTCATTAACAGTTTTCAACTTTAAGATATTAGGATCTCTCTAAAAAAATTAAATCTTTATATTAAAATATATATTAGGTTAATTGTTTCTCTTAGAAATGTTATTTATTTTGATGTTTTTATGAAGATTACCTTTGGTTTTTCAGATCTGACGCTATTTATAGGAATCATCTTTTTCTCTTGGCTGGTTAATTGTTTCAGTTCTGTTTTTTAACCTAAAATGTTAACAATCTGTTAATTCCACTGATAATCATATAATTTAGCTATTTCTTTCTTCTCATTCTGATTTTTACACTGTTAGAGCCAGTGTTAGAAGGTCAGTTGTCTGTTTCTCCATACCAAATGGATTTACATATGTAATTTATGGGACAGTTAAAATCAGGGTCCTAAACTCAAATTTATATTGCATATTAAGGCAAAAATAGTTCTTAAAATTCATATACATAATATGCTTCTATTTATACACTTTAATTCAATATATGTATTAGTTCAAAATACTTCTTGTTGCTAAAGACCCACTTGTTGAGTTTGGTATTCAGTTAAAGCGATTGCTAGTTCAGATGCATAATTTGTCTTTTCTTTCCAATGGCTGTAGCTGTGTTAAATAGTTACATGTTTGCTTTAATCGTACAGAATCAAGTACGAGATTTGAAGGAAATGTGTGAATTTCTTAAAAAAGAAAAAGCAGAAGTTGATCGGAAACTTGGCCATGTTAGAGGGGTGAGTTTGGGAGAATATGCCATATATTGGTTTGGTTTCAGGGATAAGTTGCAACAGTAGTGATATGCCTTTACTAGTTTACAGTTTCAGTGTTTATTCTGCTGCATCTACAATATATAACATTATTAAGCTTTTCTGTGTTTCAAGTTAATGTTTTATCATCTGTCACACCTTACATGCATGTTATTTCACTTTTACCCCACTTCATCTCTCATTTTGCATATCTCTCCACATCTTGAAAACATTTAACTTTCAGGAATCATCCTTTTCTTCATTAAGGTAAACTACTAAGTACTCCTAGGTATAATTCTAACATTGTGTAATTATTTTATGATGTCCATGGCAACTTCTTAGTATAATGCTCTGTAAACATGTTTCCAAAATTTTATTGTATTATTGTTTTTTCTTTTCATGTATTTCATATTCACCTTTAACAATAAATAAATGTTGCCTACAAGGTCAAGACCAAATATTTAATTCCCTGTTGATATGTTGTTAACTAGTACAAGTGGAAACAATCATAAAAGACAAAAACTTTGTCAAGTAATAACATTAAATATATAATAGATTTGATAAAAATATTTAATGTCATTACAAAAGTATTCAGACATATATCTGATGGCAGTCAGCAACATTCATTTCATAAGTAAAGATCTATTTGTTAATTTAACCTTTTCTAAGTTAATAATAAAAGTGTATAGTATTGAAATTATGTAAAAGTTTATATTTTAGGGTTATTTACTGTGTGAATACTGAATAAAATGCCAAACAAGTAAGCAGATTATTTTACTTGACTATTAAAAACCTTTTTACTTTAAATTATAAGCAGTTAAACTTATTAATTGCTGACCCAGATCTCCTGATAACTTTACACCAGGTTTTTAATTTCAGCTATCTCTCCTATTTTATTGGTCAGAAACTTAATTTTTAATCAATGGTTATTCTTTTTTTCCTTTTCCCCCACTCTGTACCATTGAGTGACAGCTTCCACTAGCATAGTCCCAGGAAAGATGCACTCAAGGGTTTTCTTTCAGCACCAGCTACCAAATCCTGGCCCCACTGCCTGGGCATTAATGGTTATTCTTAAAGAACATCAACTTTGTTATACTGCAACTCAAATTCGATAACTTATGAGCTCTTTAAAGACAATATGTTGGGGGGGATGGGGGATTATCGCATATAAAGAAAACTGGTATATTGTAGTGAACATTAGTTAAATAGAATATTTAGATTCTTAAGTTTATTTATTTGGAACAGACATCAAGGATAAAGTCTTTAAGCTGTTACTTAACAGCTGCATGACTTTAGCAATATCAAATCTCAGACTCTTAATTTTCATGTATGTAAAATTAGAATTAGAATTCTTATCTTAGAGGGTTATTTATAATGATAAATTGAAATAATATTGAAATAAAATTTATAACATTTGAAGTTTTGGCTTCAAATGTTAGAAATTAATAATGTGAGTATAATAAAGAGCTTGGTATGTTATTGATACTTTACATTCTCTAAAATATTTAACTTAATTGAAAGTTATATTCTTTTGTAGTCCGGCAGAAGTGGAAAGACAATCCCAGAACTAGAGAAAACCATTGGTTTAATGAAAAAAGTAGTTGAAAAAGTCCAAAGGGAAAATGAACAGTTGAAAAGAGCATCAGGAATACTGACCAGTGAAAAAATGGCTAATATTGAGCAGGAAAATGAAAAATTGAAGGTAATATTTTAAATATGATTATTTGTATGGAATATTTTACTATTATAATTTTTATTAATTTTTAAAGGAAAATTTTAAATATATACCATCTATATAAAATGGCTTTAATGACTACAGGAGATATTTTGCATATACAGAAAAGCTTACTGGAAATAAAGACTAGGAGTAGTTAGAATAATTACTTGATCATTTTATTATTTTAAGACCAATGGTTCTTAGAGAATTCAGCATAAAAATAATTAATTACCTGTATCTATTTTCAAAAATACAGATGCCTAAGTCCCTATCCTGAGATTGATTATATTCCTCTGGGTAGAGTGCTACCATACGTAATGGTGATTTAAAATTTTTCAAGTCATCAGTTCATTCTAGTGTGTATAGGCAGGGTTGGGAACCTATGCTGTAGATGGACTAATATTAAATGTAATACTTTAATTATTATTATATCAACTATTATCTCTGCAACTACTTTGAATTAAGTTTGATAAGTTTGAAGATCATTTTTTACTATATTTCATTGTTTTAATAATGTACAGCTATTTTTTTTATTGCTAGACTGAATTAGAAAAACTTAAAGCTCATCTTGGACGACAGTTGAGTGTGCAATATGAATCCAAGACCAAAGGCACAGAGAAAATTGTTGCTGAAAATGAACGGCTTCGTAAAGAACTTAAGAAAGTATGACTTTTCATTAGGATTATAATTATTTTTATGTTAATTTACTGATATATCTTGGAAAAACTGAATGAAAAACGTTGAAATGTTTATTCAAAGTAGTTATTAAGATTTCTGTGAATTATGTTATTTTTGCCATCCTTTCACCATGAGGAATGTTGAAAATAAAAACATAATAAATTAAGAGGCAGTATAAAGTAGAAGCTGGGATTTAAATCTTAGCTCTGTCATTTATTAGCCATGGTAACTAGTAACCCAATATTCGGCAAACTCATTAGTCAATAGAGCCAAATGTCAACAGTACAACAATTGAAATTTCTTTTGAGAGCCGAAAACTGACTTCTGCGGATAGGCCATGAAGTTTCCATCGCACTGTTCATGTGTGCTCACACACATGTGGTATTCTGTGGAAGAGCCACACTCAAGGGGCCAAAGAGCCGCATGTGGCTTGCAAGCCGCGGTTTGCTGACCATTGTACTAACCTATATCCCTAGTTTCCTCAACTGTGAAGTTGGGAATAATAAGTATGTCTGTTTTACTTTACCTGTTGTAAGGCTTAAGTGAGTGACTTTTTGTACACATGACTTAGAACAATGCCTACTGTGCAATAAGATGTATATGAAACTGTTTTGTTAAATGAACAGTAAGATTCCTTCCGAAGTAGCAAAATATATTCCTTGCCCAGACAAGTAGGTATTATTATTTATATGGATGATCCAATGAATAAATTGAAATTAGTATTTTTAATTTTTCCCTTTTTATTAAATTTATTGGAGTGACATTGGTTAATATGATCATACAAGTTTCAAGTGTGGGTGTCTGTGCTACTAAGATCTGTGTATTGCACTGTATATCCACCACACAAAGTCGAAACTTCAGATTGATGCTGTTCTTTGAACATGGGTGTTTAGTAGTGGAAATAATCTGTGGTACTTATACATAACTTATGCATATTGGTAGGTCTCTCAAGTATTAGAGTCAAAACAAAAGATATTTTTAATCTGTAAAGACATATACTATCCATTATTCTGTAAGTACTATAGACAAAGATAAAAAAACTTAAAGTAACCAAACAAAATGACACATTTAGAGTAGCCACTAGAATTAAATACTTGTAAATATATTTCTCTAACCCCATTTAAATGACCTGTTGTTCTAATTATTCTGATTGTATTGCTGTTTTAGAGTAAAGAAACATGGGATTTTTATTGCAATTTTAATCAGCATTTAGAACTCCAGATTATTTTATTTTCTAATTTATAGTGATCATTTTGAGTGTATTGCATCTGTGACAACAGTGAGACATTATATCATAATATACTAATTAGCTCCTATTGACAGGAAACTGAAGCTGCAGAGAAATTGCGGATAGCCAAAAATAACTTAGAAATATTGAATGAGAAGATGACAGTTCAACTAGAAGAGATGGGAAAGAGGTTACAGTTGGCGGAAAGTAGAGGCCCACAGCTCGAGGGTGCTGACAGCAAGAGCTGGAAATCAATTGTTGTTACAAGGTACAGATAAGTAGCCTAAAACTAACACAATTGAATCAGCTCTAATTCTGCCATTTTAAAAGAATATGGCACTATTCTGATTCACTTAGTTCTTTCCTGATGAACTGTGCGGTTGTTTGTTTTAACCTGATACTTACTCTTTTATGATCCTAGCATTGCCAGAGAGTCTTTTTCTTTCTTCAAGTACTTACCGTATTTTTCCGACCATAAGACGCTCCGGACCATAAGACGCACCAGTTTTTAGAGAAGGGAAATGAAGAAAAAAAGATTCTGAAACAAATAGTGTCCTAAAATATTTTATGTGCATTAAAACCCAACATCACAGTCATAAACACATGTAATCAACCCTGTAAAGTAAACAGCAGCATTTAGAACCATTTTAGAGCCGGGCAAGCACACAGAGACCACACAGAGCCTGGCAAGTAAAAAAACTTTTTTTTAAAGTATATGTGTAGGCTATATTTGGACCATAAGACGCAGGGACTTTTTCCCCCCACTTCTGGGGGGAAAAAAGTGTGTCTTATGGTCCGAAAAATACGGTAACTGATTTGGGTGGCAGGGCCTGGGACAGAGCAGAGCGGAGCTGGGCAAGCTCCTGGAGCTGAGCTCCTGGAGCTGGGTGGGCATGCAGAAGCCGCTGTCAGCCGGGAGCCTGGACTGCTACGCCAGCTCGTCCCGGGCACTGCTTTGTCCAGCTCCAACTCAGCTTTATGTTGTGTTCGTTTTCTTCCTCAAGTATAAGCCAGGCATAGTTGAGCCATTTTGTCACAGCCTGTGGCATACTGGACCTGGGCTGGGCTGTGTTTTTGGCACTGTATTCTGCGCAACTTGTCCTTCAAATAACCCCAACAGATGAATTCAGCAACTGCTGTAGTGTCGCACTGGCTTCTGCTCCCTTTCACTTGCTTTTCTCCTTCTCTGTGAACCTTTTCTGCAAGTATGTGTGATCCCTGACAATAACCTTATGGCTATGAAAGAGATTGTGGGAATTCACAAGTAAACATTCTTGTGTGCATTCCCATCACCACAGTCGTTCATCATGACTGATGAGCCAATAAAAATCTTTGATGCCAATCTCATTTCCAATCACAAGCAGCTGCATATCCTACCTAATGAAAGTGTAGTATGCAAATTGTCCCCCCAACCTGGAGTTCCTCTGGGAGTTCAACCAGGCGGCAGGGTTAGCTGGGGGAAGAGAGGGATGCCCTGGTCGGCTGTGGCAGGTGGCTGGTGGAAGGGAAGGAGTACCCGGTCGGCCGCTGCTAGGGACCTTACCAGTGTACAAATTTCATGCACTGGACCTCTAGTAACAGTATAAAAGCCAGAGACCAATGAAATCTTGCCCATTCTTTTCCCATTAAAGCCATCCTGTATTACTTGTGTTCTGTATGTCCGCTGGCCCCATTTCAGAGGCAAACACATCTTTATCTTCCCGTATGCCTAGGGTTCTTATGTCCATGCATCCCTAGTTTCCCTTACATTGTTTACCTGCTGTTTAGGATGGACTTGATGAAGGGTGGGATAGCAATCACCATTCCTACAACTAGGATGGGAGCCTTAGCATTGTGAGGCTACACATCCCTTAGTGGATCTGCACTTGGCCCTTGTCAACCAAGTCCAAGGAGAAAAGCAGGTTATGTAGGTACTTAGAGGGCAGCCCAGATGGCCAGGCTGTCCTGGTGAGAGGTCCTTGGTTCCTGTCCTAATATACTGAGAAATCAAAGCCACTCTTCCCCATTCTAGCCCTCTCTTAATTCCATCAGAGGGCAAGTCTAGGGGCTAAATGAAATAATGTGTAACAGGAGAAAGGGGAGAAGGTGTTTCTTCTTAGATCTGCTTGGACCCCAGCAGAAGGTCTCAACCAGCAACACTATCAGTAGATTTTTTGGTCTTTTATTTTATTCTATAATAATAATACATGAGCTCAAGGGGTTTTGAGTTGCTTTAAGATGTATTTACTCAGCAAATATTTGCTCAGTACCTGCTGCATGCCATACTCTGTGCTTTTTGTTTTCCTAACAGGCCTACTTTGCTTAGCTTCCTTCAGAGCCAGATAGCTTCGTGGAGAAACACCTAATTTCACTGTGACCTTAACTACATTACATCTCTTCTCTGTGAGGTCACATTTTAGTATCTGTGGAAATGATAATCTCTGTCCTTCCTTATCTAAAAAGGGCTCTTTGAGCATTTAGGGAAGTTTATTAATGTGAAAAGAGTTTATGAAGTTCATAAATATTTGAGAGAGGTAGTCATATTTAACTGAAGATGACTTTGCCTTTTAGATTGTGTGTTTAATCAGAAATATACAGGTAACTGAGCATATACTAGGCATTCAGTTAACCCTCTTGAAACTGCATAAGTCTTAAGAGAATCCACTTGACAGAAGACTCATTTTGATTCTTAGCCTCCAGCTTCTCTAAATACACCAAAGAAATTGCTAAAGTCTGTAGGTGGGATCCATGTCAGGCCTCATACTGGTTGCTGAGACAGTCCGGGAGATGCAGCCCTGTTTTAGGTCGGGTGATCAGAGAAGGCTCCTTTGATTGGGTGGCATTTGAGCAAGGAAATTGAATGAAATGAAGTGAACTTCTAATATTTTACCATTTGGTTCATAGTCTTTGTGAGGGTAAGAACATTGCCTTCTAACCTGAGTTTCTAAGATTTATCAGAAGTGCTTGGGATGTATTGAGATAAGTTTTCTTGCTTGATTTTGTTACCATAGAATTCCTTCTTTTCTCTGGAAAAGTTTTAATATTATAAGCATTGTCTCCCTTTAAGGTGTTATGATGTGCTTGTACAACTATTTTGGCTCAATGTTTTAAAAAATTTTATTGGCATTTGTGTTTGTTGTTATGTTCTTTTCTGAACTATTTATAATTTCTCTAAAGGTTATATATCTGTTCAGATTTTGATAAGCTTCATCCCTCCCCATCATAGGCCATTTTGCTTATCCATGCTTTTTCTTATCCATTCTCTTTCTTCTCCCAGTAGTGTCCTGTGTCCTTTTGGTTTTGTTCTACCTGGATACCTTTATGGTGTGTGTGTGTGTGTGTGTGTGTGTGTGTGTGTGTGTGTATGTGCATGCGTGCGTGTATGAAATGCTTTAACTTGTGATCTTTAACTATATTCATAAGATCCAGCTGGTACAGCTCAGTGGATTGAGTGTAGTCCCATGCACCAGGAGGTTGCTGGTTCGATTCCTGACCGAGCACATGCCTGGGCTGCAGGCTGGATCCCCAGTAGGGAGTGTGAAGGAGGCAGCTAATCAATGTTTCTCCTTCATCCATGTGTATATCTTTCTCTCACTTTCCTTTCCTCTCTCCGAAATCAATAAAAAACATATTTATTTAAAAAGAATATCCAAGAATATAGAATTTGATATTCTAATGAATTTTACTTTTTTTTGTGTTTTTTTTGTTTTGTGACTGAAAAATATATTTAATATTTTATAGTCATCATATTCAAGCTCCATCCTTGTTTATAACCTTGGGAAACAGTTAACTTCTTTTTCTTTTCTTTTTTAAATTAGCCTGTTAGGAGTACTTACTGTCAGCTAACGCTAAATAAATATGTAGCAAAAGGTTTGACGTAAAGAAGCAGTATAATAAGGTATTCTTTGTTATTTTCAGTGCCATAATTTGAACTGTCTTAAATCAGTGAAATTATTTTCCATGTGTACACCTATTATTTTCTTTTATGCTTTTAGAATGTATGAAACCAAATTGAAAGAATTAGAAACTGATATTGCCAAAAAAGCCCAAAGCCTTACTGATCTTAAACAGCTTGTAAGACAAGCAACAAAGAGAGAACAAAAAGTTAAGAAATACACTGAAGACCTTGAGCAACAGGCAAGTAATGAAATTTTTATTTACATTATAAAATAATGCATTATATCTCAAGCCACTCCTTGATATTGTCTTATGTAGCTAAAAATGAATTCTTGACTAATTCCTACCCTTGGAAGGCCCATCTAAGTGAATGACACCATCATTCCCCCATTTGTTTAAGCCCAAAACCTTTTATCAGCTCCTTTTTTTCTCCCACACTTCACATCTTTTTCATAAATCATGTTAGCTCAGTTTTCAAAATCTATCCCACATCTGACAACATCTCAACACTTCTAACACTGCCAGTAGAGTCCAAACTGTTCTATCACACCTGAACTATTCTCATAACCTCCCAACTGGTCTCCCAGCTTCTTCTCTTCCCTTGTTTTGCCTTCTCCCTTCCCTGATCTATTTTCCACCTAGTTTCTAAGTAATTCTTTTGAAGCATAAAGCAAATATAGCAATCCCATCCGTAGAACCTTCCAATGGTTCCCTGTTATCCTGGAGTAAAACTGTAAAGTTCTTTTCATAACCTGTAAGGATCCCCATGGTCTGGCATTTGCTTTGCTCTTTAACCTCCTCTTTCCCTTCATCCACAGTGTTCTAGCTATACTGACCTTTCAGTCCTTTGAACAAACCAAATTCATTCAAGCTTTAGGGCCTTGCTCTTCTTTTAAATAATATTTACCCAAATATTCCCATAGCTCACTTCCTCACTTTACATCTATGATTAAATGGAGGGGGCTTAGACCTTCCCTAACCCTTTCCATCACTCTTTATCCTCTTACCCTGGGTTATTTTCCATCTGGTACTATTATCACCTCACATTACACACTCATTGTCTTTCCTCACTAAAAATATAAGGGCCATGGGAACATGGAGCAAGGGACTTTGCCTGCTTTTTTCACTCTGGGTCCTCTATGCCTTAGACAATGTTTGGCATATAGTAGTTAATAAATAATTGTTATAATAAATGAACACTGAGTAGAACATGATGGATGCATGCTCATGTGTGCTTTTAAAAACCCAACTTTTACTATTATGCTTTATTGAAAACTAGAGGCCCGGTGCACGAATTGGTACATGGGTAGGGGCCGGCCAGCCCACCCCTGATCAGGACAATTGGGCCGAGCTGGCTGGGGGTCAAGGGGCCAGCTGGGGGAGGGGCTGCAGACAGTTGCCAGTCTGGCCCCAGCCTCTGGTCGAAGTCCTGGTCAAGGGAACAATTTGCACATAGCCTTTTATTATATGTATGGGATATATCTTTATAATATCTCATTTCCATGTCTAATTTTGTTTTCTAATTTTTCATTGTGCCCGAAGATTGAGATTCTCAAACATATTCCTGAAGGTGCTGAAACAAAGCAAGGCCTTCAAAGGGAGCTTCAGGTTCTCAGGTACATTATCTCTTCATGTGACAACTCTTCCTTTTTATCTTTTTTTTTAACCAGGTTTACTATATCTAGAGAATAAGATTTTTCAACCATGCTACCTAAGAGGCTGACCAGCCTTATTTTATCTTCCTAATTTCAATCATTTTATCTTTTATATAATAGATGCTGGGAGGAAAATCATAGTAGACCAGGTCCTAATATAAGTATCAAGTTTGTAATGTAGTTTAAACTTTCTTAGTAGCACAGGGTGCATTAAACCTGAACTTTTCAGAGGCAAATACTAAAGAAAGAGGCAGGAAAGAAGCCTTTACTTACCAGGTTCTGAGTAGCATGCTCTCATGAGCTCTTCCAGTAGGAAAACTACTCTTGCAAATAACATCAGGTCAGATTTTAAGAAAAACATGAAGATTTTTGATTCTGTGATCTTTCTTTAAGAATGGTAATATTGCAGCAGGGAAAGTAAACGAATGCCTTTATAAATATCAGTGAATTCTAAGCACTATATATTACAGTTCATTGGAAATGCCATATATTTTGTGAAACAGTGGGGTTTTTTTTGTTTGTTTTGTTTTGTTTTGTCTTAATAACATTACCATTGTGCTCTAGATTAGCTAATAGTAAGCTGGAAAAAGAAAAAGAAGAATTAATCCATCAGGCAGAAGTACACAAAGACCAAGGCGGAGGTGAGGGCACCTTACATGGTAATGTATTTTATAGCAAACTTATAGCATGTTAGGTAACTGAGGTTTTGAATTAGGGTTTGCATTTTTTGTTTGTTCGCAGGTTTCTGATATCTTTCTTCCTATAAAGTCCAATCCCAATATAAGTTTTGTGGAGCTATCTCTTCCTCCATTAATATTATTTCCATCGAGCCCTTAGCAAGTACGTAAATGTTTTTTTCCTCCTTGTGTTCCATTTGGTGTTACAGATTTAATCAGGATACAGTGCTGAGTGATGATTGTTGCTTCCAGTTTTTAAATATAGGTCCTTTTAAACCCTCTGAACATGTTTTTCCTAAATGTTATTGTAATCTTGTTAAAAACTACATAAACTACATGTATAAGTATTCTTTTTTTTTCCTTTAACAAAGTAATGTCTATCCTTCTACCCCCTTTTCTCATTCAAAAGTGATTGCTAGTCATTCCCCTATTCTTATGTGCTTATGTATATACTAGAGGCGCAGTGCACGAAATTTGTGCATGGGTAGGGTCCCTAAGCCTGGCTGGCAATCAAGGCCAATCAGGTTTTCCATCTCTCTGCCTCCCCAACTCCTCCTTCCCTCGCTACCTCAGTGCCCTACCGCCAAGACCTCTACTGGTCAACCACCATGTTCCACGCTACCCCCTGGTGGTCAGCACACATCATAGTGAGCGCCAGAATTCCCAAACTCCTGAAGGGACAATTTGTATATTAGCCTTTTATTATATAGGATACACACACACACACACACACACACACACACACACTGAATATATTATACTATTTGCAGATTCTGTATTCCTGAGTTCACTTACTAAAATTTACTTGTAACCCCAAAATCAGTACTCAAGGTATGAAAATAGAGCAGTAAAAAATGTCAGACCCACACTTTCCCGATGAGATCCAACAAGGTGACCTCTGCATTCTTGTTCAGCTTTTATACAGAGATGACCAGAGGATGGAGACAGTAGGGGGCAGTGCAATTTAGGGCCAGAAGATAAGGTTCTAGGGCCAGCTGGACTAGGTTTGAATCCCAGTTCTCACACTGGGTAGTGAGACAGCCTCGGGAAAGCTATTTGGCACTTAGGATTATAATCTTGAGATATATGTATATGTTTAGATATAGGTGTAGATTATATATCTATTTCTATATCTATCTATATCTATATCTATCTATCTATATAAAATTTTCTCTTAAGAGCAATGGTTCAATATTCACTAATTCATTGTGTTGACTTTATAGACCATAACTATTATAAATAATGAGAATTGATTCTTTGAGCTGTATGTTTGACGCTTGATGGAAATGGCAAATTCTCTGTCAAAGAATTATGCCAATTAATATTAATTTTCTGCCAAAGAATTATGCCAATTAACATTACTTCATGTAGCTTACTCACGTAGTCATAATCTTGTTGCTACTTTGTATTAAAGCTGTCATGTGGTATGACTTGTACCAGACACTATGGTAAATCTTTTATGACCATTTATAATTTATAATCCTGTATGGTGGGTCCTATTGTCTCCCTTTTCCTAATAAACAAGTTTGAAGAGGTTAAGTTACCTGTCCCCAGGGTCAAAACAGGTAGAAAGTGGCAGAGGCAGGATGAAACTGAATCTAGGAAACTCCAAAGCTTCTCTCTATATCCTGCCATTGACCAGTATGCTGCATTGCCACTTGGTGATTAAAAGTACATATAACCTCTCTCTCAATGGTATCTCTCAAAGCAGCTAGCTTGGTGTAGGGGACTAGACACAGTAGATCAAAGACCTGGCATTGCTGTTAATAATAGGCAAGTTCTAAACCTATTTCCTGAAAGGGAATTTCTGAACCCCCATATTGTATTTCAAAGGTTAAGGCTCAAAATCAAGCCTTAACTGTTATGGAAATTCTATTTTAATATAAGTAGTCATTAAACTAACTTTTGAAAAATACTACACATTACCAATCACTGTAATATACAGCAGCCTACTGATTAGACAATCTTCTCAATACGGCATCCCAGTGATTAAGAATCAATTCTATAAAAAAAACATTAGCACTTTCTGCAAAGGTGAGGGAAGCTTTGAAAAGTACGATTTTGCTCTACCTTCCAAAGGAAGATGGGTTCTGCTATTTCCATAAAAAAGGGTGAGAAAAATATTTCCTGTCTCCAACTTATAATTAGAGGACCCTTTAATAGGCACCTTAATAGAATGTATGTCTGATCCCATTCATAACAATGTGCTTATTGCCCATTATTTTCCTAAACTTCATTATTGCTTTTTTAATTATGCCCTTCAATGACTGGGAAATGACCACATGACATAATATAGGAAGTGTTTAATTTAAAGAAAGTATGTTTCCAGAAGACGGCAATTACAGCAAAAATACCATTTGCCCATTGATTCTCATTATAAAATTAGATGTTAACTCTGGGGAGGAAATCCATAAATTAAAGCCCTTATGCTGTTTTTGTCCTTACCCTTTCCACCTAAGTATCAGGACTTAGTCATGTTTGTGTTATCCATCCTGCCTCCCACGTTTTCTATATGGCAGTTACCCGGTAATTGAGTAATGACCTACATGGACTATTCAATGCTGCTAGGTAACGGGCAATTTGAGCAGCTTATGGTTGTAGCCCCTTACCTTACCTAACAGTCTACTTATTCTCCTGTTGTACTTTTAGTACTAAATTTTCTTGGCTTAAGAATTTTTCTTTAGAAAATAAGTTTCTTCCATGTAAAAAGTTAGCCTCACTGTTTACATTGAATATCTGGCAAATGTTTTTTCTCTTTGCCATGAAATTACGTTATCCAATAGAGGTAACATATAGTATTCATAGCCTAATGTTTCATCCATAAAATGGCACATTTCCAGGCTCTAGTTTCATAAGTTTTCTCCTTAATCTCTAAAACATATCCCATTATCTTAAAATAAAAAGCTGGGGGGAGGGAGAGGGAGGGAGACCCAGTGCATGAAATTGTGCATGGGTAGAGTCCGTAGGCCTGGCTGGCGATCAGGGCCGATTGGGGCCTTATGGCTGCTGGCTGGGGCCTTCCTTTGTTTTGCGCCGCCCCCTGGTGGTCAGTGCATATCATAGCAATTAAACTCCCCGAGGGGACAGTTTGCATATTAGCGTTTTACATATATAGATTTTTTTTTTCTGGCAGATCATGATCAACTAAAGGAAAAGATAAAGGATCTAGAGACACAGCTGAAAACGTCAGATCTAGAAAAGCAGCATTTGAAGGTAAATAATATATTTAATTATAGTATTACTAAAGGCCCAATGCACAAATTCATGCAGAGGTGGGGTCCCTCTGGGTGGCCTGCAGGGATTGGGCTGAAACCCACAGTTCAACGCCGCCTGCATCTCCTACCTGCCGTTCTGCTCATCCCTGCCTCACAGTGTCTGCCACAGGCTCACACCCAATCAATCCCGATCAGGAGAGGCCCGTGTGCCACAGCAGCACTAGCCAGCCCTGAGCCCTGCATCGGGCACCCTCCCAAGGGGAGTGTCTGTGGGATTGGGCTGAAACTGGCCCACTGACATCCCCCAAGGGGTCCCGGATTGTTGAGAGGGCATAGGCCAGGCTGAGGAACCCCACCGGTGCACAATTGGGCTGGGGTGAGGACCATGGGAGGCCTCCAGGACATGTCCAGCCTATTTCATTCAGTCCTTATGGGCTAGACCCCAGCAGTAAGCTAGCCTATCAGTTGGAGCATCTGCTCCCTGGTGGTCAGTGCACATGATAGTGACTGGTTGACCAGTTGACCGACTTCCCCCTGGTGGTCAGTGCACAACATAGTGAGCAACTGAGCAGCCTTAGCATTTCATTAGCATATTACGCTTTGTTTGGTTGTTCTGCCATTCAGTCTATTTGCATATTACCCTTTAATTATATAGGATTATTACATAAGATAGTATTACTAGAGGTCCGGTGCATGAATTGTGTACCAGTGTGGTCCCTCAGCATGGCCTATAAGATTCAGCCAAAACCAACTCTGACATCCCCCAAGGGGTCCTGGATTGCAAGAGGGAGCAGGCCAGACCAACGGACCCCACCAGTGCACAATTGGGGCCAGGAAGGGACATGGGAGGTTGGCCAGCTGGGGAGGGACCGTGGGAGGGCTCCAGGGCATGTCCAGCCCTCCTCGGTCAGTCCTGATCAGCCAGACCCCAGCAGCAAGCTAACCTACCAGTTCGAGTCTGCCCCCTGGTGGTCAGTGCATGTCATAGTGAATGGTTGACTGTCTGCCCCCTGTTGGTCAGTGGCCATCATAGCGAGCAGTTGAGCAGCAATAACACATCATTTGCATATTACCCTTTGATTGGTTGAACAGATGATGACCACTTAGGTTATTAGGCTTTTATTATATAGGATAAATGTTTTATGAAAATAGCTTATGAAAGGTTTTATGGTCACCATGTTTGAATTTTAAGTCTGTATCATAAAAATTCCTGGGACTACATTTTATATTTGACCTTGACATTGCAAAGTCCATTATATTCATCTGTTAAGAAATATAAAAGAGCTACCAAAAAAACTGAGATAAAACAAATAGGATTAAAAAGTAAATTTATTTTTTAATTGTCACAAATATAGAACTCACTTTAATATTATCTTAAGTTTTTGGTCACATAGCGAACAGTGTCTTTTATTTTCTTTTGAAAGTCTTTTCAGGAATAGTTCCCCTCTCTTAAAAAGATATTTGCTATGCTATATGTCTTTCATGAACCTATAAGTAGAAAAGAACATGATACGAAAGTTAACTAGTGATTATTGGCTATTTTAAAGCTCAAATTGCCTCTTCACTAGATGCATAGCTCTTAGGCAAGAAGCCCTAGAATTGCCCTGATCATAAATATATTTATAAGAAATTGACCATTATTCATTACAAATAACATGTTTGTAAAGAAAATATAAATGAAGCTTAAGCTATAAAAAATCATAACTAAAGCAATCTTAATGCCACGTGAATAGCCATGTCTTTTTGCTTGCCTCACTGAGTATCTGAGAGTATGCTTTTGGAGAAAGATTAAAGCCCCCTCTAAGAACGAATAAATTTTAGTCAAAGACTAGGATATAACTTACAGAACAGATAATTTGATTTGGCAAGTCAAGTTAGTTACTTATACTGCACGATAAAACCTTATTAACAAAATCTTAATACTTCAGTCTTTATATTTGCTATTCAAGTTACTTCGGTGCTCATGTTTATAAGTTAATCTTTTAATTTAAACCTAAGAGCGTTATATACTCACTAGAGGCTTAGTGTACAAATTTGTGCATGGGTAGGGTCCCTCAGCCTGGCCAATGATTGGGGCTGATCACGCCAGGTGGCGGCCAGCTGGTGGGAAGGGCCATGGGAAGTTGGCCAGCCATGGGAGTTTGGGTGTGGGAGCCCACTGACCACCAGGGGGCAGCTCCTACATTGAGTGTCTGCCCTCTGGTAGTCAGTGCACATCATAGCTATTATCTGGTCGTAATGGTCCCTTAGGCTTTTATATATATAGTTTGATGTCTTTAAAAGACAATATGTTTCTCTTAGGAGGAAATAAAAAAGCTGAAGAAAGAACTGGAAAATTTTGATCCATCGTTTTTTGAAGAAATTGAAGATCTTAAGTATAACTACAAAGAAGAAGTGAAAAAAAATATTCTTTTAGAAGAGAAGTTAAAAAAACTTTCTGAACAATTTGGAGTTGAATTAACTAGTCCTGTTACTGTTTCTGAACAGTTTGAAGATGAAGAGGGAAGTCCTGTCAATTTCCCCACTTTCTAAGGGCCAGTTATAATTAGTTTTTATTTAACTATTTACAAGTCTCTGACCTACATGATATCCTTTCCAATACCCTGTACCTTTACCTGAATTTGATATTTTAGTAAATAAAGTTGTATAAATTTTTTAACACATTAGAAAAGTATATATTTGAAAAATTTTTAAAAGTTAAATTATGACTATCATGTAGGCAATGAGATATAGTGAACTTCTGTACATTCATAATGTTTTAAGCTTTAAATACGAGAGTAACAATTTTTAACATTTAAAATTGGGGTTTTATATTCTTACCTATTTATATATGTGTCATGGTTCTTAAATTTTATATGTATACACACAATAAGGCTGAGCCATATGTCTTGTTAAATGTCAAGCAAGGTTAGATTAAACTCAGCTTTAGGTATTTAACTTTGAAAGTAAATCATCCAAAATTGTTGGTTTCATTGTTATCTTTAAATTACTATTCAGTTATAGTGGACAGAATCCAACCCTTTGTACAAGCTGGAGAGCTTACTATTACTTACATTTTTAAATCCAGAGGTTAAAATTTGCTAATTGCAAATAAGACTTTGACTAGTTATTTCCAACTGGAAAATTCATTTCTTCAAATGCTGGAAGACTTATTTCTCCATTAGACACTGAACAATAAATAGGAACCTTGAGATATTTTCACCTTTTACACAGAGCAGAATATTCAAGATTCAAATATAACAACAATGAAGCTGGTTTTTAATGACATTTCCAGTCTATTCATCGAGTATTATATCTTTGAGCCTACTAAATTTCTGATGATCTATTTTTGAAAAATGATTAAATAGACACTTAGTATCAAAAGCATAGTCACGTTTGTTCAAGTTCATGTTAATAATAACCGGTTTTGAATTCATGTAAGTATCTGGAATTGGCCAGCATAAGCCAAGATGATGGCGATGGACCTGGAAAGAGAAAGGAAGGTATTAGCTCTAAACTGCATTTTCTTCATTGACTTAAAAATATTTATTTTGTGTGCCTACCATCTTCCAGGCACTATTTAAGGCTCCACTTTATCCTACCCTTTATTTTTTTTCATAGCTGCTTCTCCCCCTGACATACTACATATCTGTGTACTATCTATCTTCCCCATTAAAATGTGAGCTTCATGAGACAGACATTGTTCACCTGGTCTTTGTAATACCTGGAAACATGCCAGGAACACAAATTAGGGGCTCCAAAATATTTAATAATAGTCTGTTAATAAGTTCAGAAGCTAACCAACTATGGCTAGGGACACAGCCTAACCCAGTGGTCGGCAAACCTGTGCTCGCAAGCCACATGTGGCTCTTTGGCCCCTTGAGTGTGGCTCTTCCACAAAATACCACATGTGGGCACACATGTACAGTGTGATTGAAACTTCGTGGCCCATGCGCAAAAGTTAGTTTTCGGCTCTCAAAAGAAATTTCAATCGTTGTATTGTTGATATTTGGCTCTGTTGACTAATGAGTTTGCCGGCCACTGATCTAACAAAGGGAATATCATGTGACAGAAAGGTGTATATTTTCTCTGTAATTATTTAAGTATGGTTAGAATATATACAATATGGATATGTTTGGGATATGGGGGTGGAGGCAGTTCCAGAAAGTTGAGTAGGGGCCAGATCATGAAAAATCTTAATGTCATTAAACATTTTTATGAAGGAAGTAACATTCTCATTCATTTATAAAGAATGAACAGGACAAGAATAACACTGAAAGTTAATGTTTAAGAGGGTGATATAACAACTCAAGCTGTGAATCTGGGCTTAAATTCAAATTAACAACTAATTGGTTGGAGAAAGATACAGATTCAATAGACCAGAATCTTTAAGAACTGATAATTGTATGTATGAAGTAATGGAGAGTGGGGTTAAAAATGTATCTTAAGTTTTTGGCTTCAGTGAACTGTTGGGAGTCAGGGGGTTGATATAACTAGGTCCAGTTTTGAACATGAATTTTAAGAACCTATAAGAAACCAAATAGTCAAGTCCAGGAGACAAACGGAAAGGGCACAAAATATAATTCATTCTGTATATGTTAACTGACCCTTGGTTCTTTCTAAACAACCAAACTCTATAACCAAGTGAGTTTGGGAAATTCTGTATTAAACAGGATTAAAAGCTGTCATTATAGAATGTCTCAGAGCACTAATATGCAACATGAATTTCCAAGAAAGGAATATGTTGTATGCAGGGTTTTCCAGACATTTCTATAACTTTAGTTCTGAAACACATCTAGAACTGATGCCTCACAGAACACTGGAAAACACTATCATATAAGAATGGTGGCATGTGAGATAAATTAAATTTGAGTGCACCATCAGAATTACTGCAATTAGTAGAAAACATTTTAGTTGCACTTCTACTCTGAGGAATATAAGAGGACATAACTCCACCAGCTGTTTTCTGCCATTACCTTGATTAAACAGCCATCATTGCAATGCCATACTATTCCTTCAATTTTACCCTCTCTGCAACCTTCAAACCAGGACAACAGATCACTGTGCTTCAAGGAAGGTAGATTTCTTATTTGAAATGCTCCATGTGGTATAAGAAGATGTAATGGATGCTTCTTGCTTCCTAATCCTAAATGATAAAATCTTGCCATTAGCTATACAAAGGTTTCAAGAATAAGAACATTTACCTTTCCAAATAAAAAAGTCTTTTAAAATATTTAAGAATATATTTATCAAAAAGTTTAGTTGGTTTCCTTGCAGAGATATGCTATAAGCACTCTCCCTCAAAAGTGGCACCATATCCCATTAAGATTAAATTCTACCTTTGTGCACTCTATATCAGACTATGACCTGTGGGCAAAATCTAGCCAGATGCTTGCTTTCATAAATAATGATAATGGAACATAACCATTACTATTCATTTAAGTACTATCCATGGCCTGTTTCAGAGGTATGGCCCATAAAACCTAAATCTTTCCTATCTGGCCTTTTATAAAAAAAGTCCACCAACCCATGCTCTACGCCCTACATCATTAGCCACATTCAACTATTATTCAATGTTTGCCAAACAGCCATGCCACATTTTGACAATTTGTATTATTACTTCCTTAGCTTCTTTCTGCCAATCAGTCTGCTTCTGACCTTTAGATAGGATTTTGCCATTCAGGCTGCACTGTTCTTGGGTGTGTCTTCATCCATCCCCCCGTCAACAATGTACTCCATAGTGTCCCTGGGACTTGTACTCAATCCATTATTCACTGCCAATTCTTCACTCACTTTACACTCAGCTATTAATGCTACACTATTTACCTAGTCATGAAAAGCATACCATCATTTTCATTCATCTCAATTCACCTAAATTTTAAAAAGCAATGAAAAGTTACACTTGAGTAATTACCTTTTATACTTAACTGTAGTTTTATAATGTTACTAGAGGCCTGGTGCACAAAATTCATGCACATGGGGTGGGGGTGAGGGATGAGGTTGTCCCTCAGCCCAGCCTGAGTCCTCTTGCAGTTCTGCAGCCCTCAGGGAATGTCTGACTGCTGTGGAGGTGGGAGAGACTCTCACTACCACCACTGCACTCACCAACTGTGAGTCTGGCTTTTGGCTGAGATGCGCTCTCCCTGTGGGAGCGTGCTGACCACCAGGGGGCAGCTCCTATGTTGAGCATCTGCCCCCTGGTTTTTAGTGTGCGCCATGGCAACAGGTCTGTTCAGTCTATTTGCATATTAGCCTTTTATTATATAGATTATAAGAAAGAACAAGAGGCTAAACATCAACATTTTGTACTAATAAAACGATTAGGTAAATTTCTCCATAGACATAAAATTAAAAGAAATAGCTATTACCCTAGGCCCGTGGTCGGCAAACTGAGGCTCGCGACCCACATGCAGCTCTTTGGCCCCTTACGTGTGGCTCTTCCATGTGTGGGTGCACACGTACAGTGCGATTGAAACTTAGTGGCCCATGCACAGAAGTCAGTTTTCGGCTCTCAAGAGAAATTTCAATCGTTGTACTGTTGATTTGACTCTGTTGACTAATGAGTTTGTCGACCACTGCTCTAGGCTACTTAAGTTTATCAGTCACTTTTCTGTGTTTGTGTGTAAGCTGAACCTAGGTTGCCCTTATAAATGAATTATTATAACTACAACTGAACAGAAAAAGGCTTTACTCACCATATGGGTTTCCATTAATATTTGTCCCGATAAGCTCCAGCGTCTGTTCTAAGAGGTCTGACAGTGGCACTGCAGTAATTTCCAAAAGACCAGAATCATCAGGATGATGCTTCAGTACCAGGGCTATTTCGAATTCATAATTAACTACAGAGGAATGCCAGCAATACTGCTTGTTGTTTTTCTCCACTGGTACCCACCCTATCATTTAAAGAAAAAAAGTGGGGGTTTTTTTTGGCATTGTCTTTCTCTGCATTGACACAAGGTAATTTTTATTTTTGTTATAAATTTTCCATATTTCTGGATATTGTATTACAGAGTCATTTTTAAATTCAGTAGAAATAACAGTTTTACTACTTTTTAAATCATAATAATTTTTTAAATTATAACGTTTCATTTTTATCTTGTTGAGAAATTAACTTGATTATTCACTATAGAGCACTCAGCATTTTTACTAGAAAATTTTTAACTTTTCAGTAAGAATTGAGCACCATTTTAAGATACAGAATTAAAATCCTTTTTTAAAATTAAGTTTTCTCTCTCCTTCTCTTATTTCCAGGACAACAGACATAACTGTTCTACAATTTATTGTACTGTCTCCATATTTACTGAAAAGTGTTTGATTCGTACTTATTGAATGTTACTACTATTCCCATCCTACTTCAGTTGCTAGAATAAAGTTCCTCATTGTGCTTGCTATGACATACAACATTGTGGCCATCATATCTGTGGCTGTCATTACCCAAGGTTACTATAATGACCTTTTTCTTGGTATACTAGTCTCCGGAAGCCCCCCCCTCCCCCCTCCATTTTTATCTTAGTTCCACTTTTAAAAATGTAAATTTATAATCTTCATGACAAACTTCAAATTCCTTTAGATGGAACACAAACCTTTTAAAATCTGAGCCCATTTCAGATCTCCAGCCTCAAATTTTAAAATCGCCTCAAATGTCATTCACTCAAACATTCCAGCCAAAATAAAGTGTTAAATAAGGACTCCACCGGGGTGTGCCTAAGTAGATCCTCTCCCTTCCTTTCAGCTAATTTCCTGGTTCTTAAGCTTCAGTACAGATGTCACTCCCCTTACTAGTAAACCTTCTCTAGCCACCAGATTGGAGTATGAATTCTTCCTCTTTCCTCTAACTGTAATCTGTGTATCTCTTCCTTTTGATTCTTAAATCATACTGTTATTGATGGATTTTCCCATCATGTCTACAAGATCTTTGAGAATCAGATCTTTGAGGTTCTGATCTTCATTTTGTATTACCAGAACCTAAGAGTACTTTGCACCTTACAGGTAATCGAGATATGCCTGTTAACCTGAACCTTAATTTGGGTATCTTTCTACTCAGCACACTTCTGCAAAAATTTTCTCTTCTCTAGTAAAACTCTGTGAAATATTTATTTTCACCTCCCTTAATTAAAACAGTCTTCCAGGACCTTTGCAAAAAAATATACACATTATTATCCTCAATTAAAAAAGTAAAGGCTGCTTAATATCTCATTTCAGAAAAGATCAATTATATCGTCTATCCTGACAACTTCAAGGCTGTTTCCACTCAACACTTTATTTCCACAGACTACAGGTAGTAAACTGTCCATTCTTAGGATTCTAAACAGATAGGACATTCTCTATATGAAACAAACATCTTTGGTATAACTGTTACTTAACATAAATTAGACTCAAATTTTGTGCTAAACAGATAAATACCATGAAAAACTAAAAGTGAGATTCCATAATTTTTGATCAAATGGATCTTTTGTTCTTTATATTAGTAAACACAAAACTGCATTTTAGTAGAGATTTCATAATACCAGGAATGTGTCCATTTTCATCAGGCATCGGATTTCCATTTAATTGTTCAATTTCCTTCGCTGGAATCCAGCACTCTGGAACAGGTTTGAAGTCCTCCTCAACATTCCAAAAAAATTCTAAAAGAATCAGATAATCTTATTAGTAGTAGTACTTTAAAAAATATAAAATGCTGAAAAGTTTGAAGTGGGAATAGCTAATAAACCCCATAATATCAGGTATCATATAATTATTCTCCATTCATTATCACCACAATGTGACTATACTTCTCAGGGTTAGGGTACTACCGTGTTTCCCCGAAAATAAAACATCCTCCGAAAATAAGATCTACTTACAGGTTTCCTTCTGAGTGAAATATAAGGCATCCCCCCAAAAATAAGGCCCCCCCTAGGCTCTGTCTCAGAATGAAAATTTATCGTAAACTGGTCGCTAGGGCTGCACCGACTGAAGTCTAGCAACCAGTGACATTACGCGGAGTCCTGTCCTTACTACTGCGTGGAGGCGGAGCAGAGGTCTGAGTGAGCTGTGAGCTCGGGGTGGGAGAGAGGAGGAGACTTTCGCAGATGCATGTAGAAAAACAGGAGGATTAGAGCTCACGGGACCTGGCGAAGGTGGTGAGTGCTGGTCTGTCTCTGGTGACACTTCCTGCTGCTCTCAGCTGCCCTTATGATGACTGAAGGTTCTCAGTCAGTGGCAGACCCTGCTCCAGCCCAGATCCAGGCCCCAGCAAGCCCAGTGACAGTCCCCAGGCAGGCCCCAGGGGGTAAATGTCTGATAAAGGGGTAGGGGAGATGTCTGGTGAAGGTGTTCAGTGGCACAGGGGTGGAGGGAGGGGGATCACTTAAAATGACACAGGAGGATCAGAGGGTGCAATCAAAATGACACAGGAGGATCAAAAGGGGTTACTAAAATGGTAATCCCCCCTCTGATTCTCCTGTGCCATTTTGATTCCCCACTCTGATTCCCCCTGTGCCATTTTAAGTGATCCCCCTCCCCCCACCTTGATACCCCAATTCCTTTTTTTTACCCCTAGAAATGAGCGCAAAAAGAAAAAGCTACTCTGTGGGGTACAAGAAAGGAATCGTGGAAGACTCTTGGGGCCAAAATCTTACTGCTTTCTGCAAAGAGAAGATATTGAGTATCCGATTGGTCCCAAAATGGCGAGCAGAGTATGGTAACCTCATTGAACAAGTGGACAAGGGAAATGCTAAAAAGCGCAAGTATGGATCAGGTCGGCAACCATTATTTTCTGAGCTGGAAGACCTGATCTGTGAATGGGTTGTTGACAGGAGAGCAAAGGCTTTGGTTGTGAATAGGGCTCAGGTTCAAGAATTTGCCCTTGTAATGGCACCACAGTTTGACATAGCCCCCAAAGACTTCAAAGCATCATAACACTGGCTGGATAATTTCCTTCAGCGAAGTGAACTGTCTTTAAGAAGATCTACAACATTGTTTAGGTTGGAAGATACTCAAGTTATTAAGCACTTGCATTTGCATTCAAGTCCTTTATTGATGATGCTGACTTCTCTAAATGCAATCTTTCCAACATGATTGCTATGGATGAAACTGCAGTGTTTATGGGCCAATCATCTCAAACAACAATTGAACAGCGGGGTGCCTCCTTAGTGTACATTCCCTCCACTGCTTAGGAAAGTGCATGTGTTTCCTGTATTTTGGCAATTCGTCTGGATGGCACTAAAAATCCCATCTTTAATCATTTCTAAGGGCAAGAAGGAAAAGATTGAACATGTTTTGGGCATTTTATTCTTGAAACTGAAAAGGCCTGGGCCACACAAGCAGTTATAAGGAAGTGGGTCGACTTAATGCTGTCGCTTGTTATGCGAGGGAGCCAAAGAGGTCTGCTAGTCTGGGATGCAGCCAGCACTCACGGCGCTAAAAACATGAAGACATTTCTTCACAAAAGAAAAATAGATCACATAATGATTCCCGCAGGAATGACGGCCTATCTCCAGACTCTTGATATTGCAATAAACAAGCCATTCAAAGACAATTTGTGCATGGAAATTAATGACTACATTGAAAATAGAATGGAGAGAAATCAGCGTGGAAACTTTGTGAAACCTAAACTGCAAGAAGTTGTGACTTGGGTGAAGAATTCATGGGAGAAAATCACTGACAGTTGCATTGCAAATGCACTGAGAGCAGGCTACCTTAAGAAGTACTCATTTAAAGACAGTGCTATTGCTAAACATGAGAGATTTGGTCCACTGATTCTGAAAGAAATGGAGTCACAAGAAATTCACCAGGAAATTCAGGAATTGGATTGTTATGATGATGTTCCAGAAGATGATGACATGATTGTCATTGAATAAATGAGTAAATTCTTGATACTGTAGGATTCACAGTTTGTCCGGTTTGTGTTGACAACTACCGTACTATTGTACCATATACAGTAATACATTTCCTTTATTTTCATTTAACAATTAATGTGTACCATATTATTCTTCATGGAAAAATAAGACATCCCCTGAAAATAAGACCTAGCGCATCTTTGGGAGCAAAAATTAATATAAGACACTGTCTTATTTTCGGGGAAACAGGGTAACACTTTAGCTATTCAATTTTGGACACACCACCATTTTCAGATATAGGATAACAATCTTAATTCTTTTACATAGAACAATGTTCAATTCTAATTTCCCCCCCGAAAGTACGTAAATTATAATATAAGGCTACAATGTATAGAAACACAGCAAAAAATAACTCGCAAATTTCAGCAAATTAAATCATGAAAAGCTGAAGAAAAAAAAGACCTACTAACCTTTTGAGTTTTGTTTTGAATGTAGAAAATTTTTAAATCTTTTTTCAGCTAGTTTGTTAGGTTTTCTATCTAATCGGGCCCACAGATACGGTTTACCTAAATCAATAATAAAAGAAAAATATTAGGAGACAAACTTACCTTAAAATAAATTTCAGAATAAAATTTTCAATAAATAGTAGTGTCACCTTCTGTAAGAGAAGCAACCCTAGAAGACAAACTGAAATAAGCAGACCAACAGACACATCCTAGCTAGCGATACGTGATATTGTAAGACTTAAGTTTTGGTTAAAGAATGATGGGAAAGCCCAGCAGGCCTGGCTCTGTGGTTGGATGTCCACCTATGAACCAGGAGGTCATGATGGATTTCCCATCAGGGCACATGCCCTGGTAGTGGGCTAGATCTCCAGGATGTGATATGCAAGAGGTAGCTAATCAGTGATTCTCTCTCATCATTGATGTTTCCATCTCTCTCCCCCTCTCCCTTCCTCTCTGAAATCAATAAAGTATATTAAAAAAAAAAAAAAAATATATATATATATATATATAGATGGGAATGAGATAAAAAGAAGTATGTGACCCTTTATAAGGCAATGTTTTATTATAACTAGCATTTTTGAGAAACTGAATCTACCTCTATACGAACAGAAACATGACAGGGAGACTAATGAGCTGCATCTGGTCTCAGTGAGACTCCGGGAGGGTTCTACTGCTGAGCCTGCTTAGTTAGTAGGAAGATGCTTTTGTGACCAGCAAAATACAACAATTCCCAGCTGAGACTCTGATTTGGATTCCCCGTTTTGAAGTCGTTCTTTGTACACATCGGGGTTCCTGATTTGAGAGAGTGTGTCCTGCTAGAGCCTGGTGGGGTGGGGTGGAGCGGGCAGCAGTTTTCACCTGGCCTCTCCTGACCCTTTGCTGTGAGACAGCTTGGGTTGTGATGCACATCCTTACTTTTAACACCCTTGCTATATTATGTATCCTCCACCTGTAATAAACTGTGAGCTGGAAGCTCTGTCATTACTAAGTTTTCTTTAGCAAACCTTATTCAACTGCTACCATTATACATAATCCCACATAATGATGCACAGTGAAGTTTCTTCATATTAATAGAGAAAAACCTGATTAAAATTATATTGTCATTTCTGTTTGAATGGACCTTTGTTCCTTTTACTAGTAAACACACGTAGAAAAACAATGACAATTCTTTAAGATCATTACTATAAAAAAAAAAAAAAAAAAAAACCCACAGAAAATAACAAGTATTGGTGAGGATGTGGAAAAATTGGAAGTGTGCAGTTGGTAGGAATATAACTGGTGCAATTTCTATGGAAAACTATTAAAGTTCCTCAAAAAAATAAAAATAGAATTATACGATTCAATAATTCCACTTCTGGATATATACGCAAAAGAACTGGAAGCAGGTCTGAAAGAGATAATTTTTACACGTCATAGCAGCATTGTTTATAATAGCCAAAAGGTGGAAGCTGCCCAAGTGTACATGGGTGGATGAGTGGATGGATGCGGTATATACATACAAAGGGATACTATCCAGTCTTGAAAAAGGAAATTCTGACACATACTATAAAACATAGGTGAAGTTTAAGGATTTTATGCTAAGTGAAATAAGTCAGTCACAAAAAAGATAAAAACTGTACAATTCCAGTATTTGTAATGAGGTACCCACAGCAGTCAAAATATAGAAAATAATATGTTGGTTGGCAAGGACTAGAGGGAGAGGAAATGGTGAGATGTTTAATGGGCACAAAGTTTCAGTACTGGAAGAGGAAGAGTTCTGGTGAAAACAGTAGCACAACAAGGCAAACTACAAACCACTGAAGTGTACACTTGAAAATGGTTAAGGTGGTAAAATTTTATGTTATGTGTATTTTACAATTAAAAATGGAAAAAAATACATTTCAGGAGGGTTTTCCTGATACCAGAAATATATTCAGTTTTCATTTAACTGTCCTATCTCTCTTGCTTGAACTGAGGTAATTTCACTAGCCAAAAGAAACTAAAAAGATTATTTCTCTTTCTATTTGAATTTCTACTTTTCTCCAAGTACATTAAAATAAAATAAATCAGAGACATTGTCAATAATAATGAAAACAATGAATCAGCAATGAGATCAGCTTTAAGGTCAGACAAACCTAGGTTCTATTACCAGTTCTTCCATTCATTAATTATTTGGTACTAGAAGCCCAGTGCACAAAATTCATGTGGGGCAGGGGGAAGTCCCTCAGACATCCTGCACCCTCTGTCAATCCAGGACCCCTCAGGGGATGTAGTCGGACATCCCTCTCGCAATCTGGGACTCCTCACTCCTAACTGCCCTCTTACTCAATCCTTGCCACTTAGCACTGCCATAGAGGTGGGAGAGGTTCCCGCCACCACTGCTCGCTAGCCCTGAGCCTGGCTTCTGGCTGAATGGCACTCCAACTGTGGAAGCACACGGACCACCAGGGGGAGGCTCTCTCGTTGAGCATCTGCCCCCTGATGGTCAGTGTGCATCATAGCAACCAGTCATTCTGGTCATTCCACTGGAAGGGACACTGGGTGTTTTATATATAGAATAGATATAAATAGATTGAATAAATTACTTAAGTTCTCTGAGCCTCTGTTTCCATACCTGTGAAATGGAGAGCTTACTGTATAAAATTAGAGATAACATGTATAAAGCAATTACCAAATTGGATGGCCCTAATGAGTACTAAGTACTAAATAATATTTGTATAAGTTTTATTTTACCTTTGTAGGTAGTAACATAACAACATGTTCCATCCACTTTTTCTGTTGGAATGGCACTGTATATATCTGCATCTAATGCCTTGTGACTTACAGTTTCAGTGGCCAAAACTTTAAATGTCTTAAAAAAGAGAGAGAGAAAACTGGTTTAACAGACAGCATCTATACCCTCATACATACTCTCACCTGGAATGTTTGTATAATTTCACTAGTTTTAAGGAACAGTCTGGTTATCCTTAAGATGACTTAAAAATATTTTGTCCATGAAGTTCTCAGGGATCATTCCCTCCCGTATGATATCACAGCAATACCTGTTTCTCTTTTGTTGTTGTTAATAAAACCAAAGGATATTTTTTCCAGTGCTTTCTAGAGCAAGTGAAAGGGAGGGAGCAAGGAAAGGGGAGAACGAGAGAAGCATCAATTGGTTGTGTCCCATACCCAGCTGACCCCGGCTGGGATGGAACCTGCGAGCCAGGTAAGTGCCCTTGACTGTGAATCGAACACAAGACCCTTCGGTGTCAACACTAACCAAGGAGTCAACCAGCTTGGGCAATACCTGGCTTCCCACACAGATTATTAAATTGTTCACATTTTTTTTCTTTCATTTTTTTATTAAGGTATTATATGTGTACATAACTTACCAATCCCCCCCCGACCCTACTCCCATACATGCCCTCACCCCCCAGAGTTTTGTGTCCATTGGTTATGCTTATATGCATGCACACAAGTTCTTCAGATGATCTCTTATCTCCCCCACCTCTCCCTAACCGTCCCGCTGAAGTCTGACAGTCAGTTTGATGCTTCACTGTCTCTGTATGTTCATGTTTCTTTATCCACCATAATGAGCTTTCCACCAGGAACTATGTCCCATGTCGTGCTGCATCCCTAGCAAAGGTGTTCAGCATGTTCAATCACTTGTTTGGCAGCTATTTGCTAAATACTTCCCGAGGGTTAAGCATTGTTTTTGGCTTTTGGAAATAGAGAGGTAAACAAAAAAGTACCTGTCTTTGGTGGAACTTCCATTTCAAGGAGGGAGGAGACAACAGTAATAAAATGCAAAACAATGTTAGGCCTGATTAAGTGCTAAAAAGAAAAACAAGTAGGGGAACTTTCAGAGTTATGAGGAGTAAACTGCACATTTATGATTTTCCTATCAGAAGACAAGCCCAGAGCATCAAGAATGGAGGAAAGAACTGTTCCTAGGGTTCCTACCAACGCCTCTTGTGTCAGTTTTCATTTCCAAGAAAGGCTTATGCCACTGTTTCGGTGTAAACGATTTGATGCAGCATTCATCTTACATCATGTGAAAAAACACAGTACAACATAAACATTACATTCACGTGTGACAGACATCGATTTGTTGTTCCGCCCATCTATGCTTTCATTGGTTGGTTGGCTCTTATATGTGCACATGTGCTCTGACCGGGGATCAAACCTGCATCCCTGGTGTAAGACACTCTAACCAACTAAGAAGCTGCCTGGCCAGGGCCTGATCCAGTTCTTTTAAGATAAAAGTAAACGGGGAGTTTATTACTCATTTATGACGTATCAGAAGATATCAATCTAACCTGTGGTGGTAGAAGCAAGGTCTGGCCCCTTAGTGAGTGTGTATTTATGTTTACATTTATCAAAGATCCTGGAGAAGAGATCACTGTGCCGGTGGAGCACTTTCTACAAACATGCTTCCATAATCCAGTATCTACCTCTACAGACATCTCCAAAGGACAACATAAGATAAAAAGTGGTACACAAAGCCCTCCTTTACTGCCATTAAAGACTTTAACTAGAAAAATAAGGCTTGTGTGTATAAGAACTAAGACAGCAGAGTGATCCTCTACAATTTTGGGTTAGGGTTAATGTCACAGAGAAGATCTGATTCAAAAAATTAAAAATTCTGGAGGTGATCCTGGGAGAGTACACAGCAAAAATAAAGACAGAATGCATTGCCTGGTGTGCGCACAGGATAAAATACTGACTTCGCTAGAACAGAGATTTCTCTTCATGTGAGTTTAGAGAATAGATTGGGCCTGATGAACAGGAAGCCTTGAATTATAGTTAAGGATGTGTAGACTATGCTGTAATTAATACTGTGAGCAATGCTATAGACTACTCTTAATAGCAGAGGGAAAGAGAAGGGGCTTATTTTTCCTGATGGAGGAAACTTTCACAAACTACACTCCCTGCCCAACCTACAAAGTTGAGACTCACAGCTAGAGTGACAATGTCTCACATATAGATCAGATTTGTTAGGAGTTAAAAAATAAAAGCTGGACAACTACTGCTACAGACATTTAGTAGTAAATGTGAGGTTTCAACTAGAAAAAAAAAAGCGTCATAATGATCATTCTGGGGGCAAGAACAATTAGGCAGTAATTAGGGTGTAAACATATTGAGACTGTAACACAGTGATGACAGTAGAAAGGAGACTAGAAAGAGAGGGTGTAAAAAGCATCAAGGTGAGTTGAAAACGGGCACGAAATGACTCCAGGGCTCATGCTTTAATTCAACAGATATTCATCCAGTGCCCACCACGGGACCAGAAATAGCATGGCCTTCAAGGCCCTTTGGTCCGGGACACAGAAGGCCAAGGCCGTGGGAATAGCGTCCGGGGCTGGCGGTCCAGGAGGAGGCAGCACCCAACTGATGCCTGGGAATTCTGCTACCAAGGCTCTGCTAGAGACTGAGGCATGGCCCTAACCTTATACATCAGTGTTTCCTAGGAACTCTGGGTGCACAACCCGGTGCTGAGAGAATAGGAAACCCTGAGATGGGGACCCCAAAACCAGAATTAAGTAGGTAATTGCTGGTGTGAGAGTCTGATCGCGAGTGGCCGAACCAGGCTGGTGAGATCGGGAGCCCCTGTCACCATCCTCTTGAAAAAAGGAGGTAACACTTGCACTGCGGTGATTACGTAAACACTTAAGGAGTTTTCCCCCAAAGCAGCAGTGACCTGCGAAGAAAGGAGATGGTTGAAGACGTGGGTTTTCCGTTTCCACGCGAGGGCAATGTGACTCGCCCGACCAGAAACATGCCCTCGCAGATCTCCTCCTCCCTTGCAACACAGAAGTTACAAAGACCTGGGGCTCCGGTCGGAAAACCCCCACACCCCGACCCCACACCTCCCCGGCGAAACGTGCAGGCAGACGCCAGCCCACCGGCGGCTCCAACGCGCCCGCCCGCCCGCCCGCCAGCCCCCGGGGCAGACGGGCGGCCGGCGCGGCGGGGAGGAGCGCGCGGCCGCGCAGCTACCTGATGCTCCCTCTTGGCGGAGGGCTCCTCCTTCACCTCCGTCACAAACACGCAGGGCATTTTCCGCTGCACGGAGCCCAGGCGCCTCATGGTGGGCACGACATGCAATGCGAGCGGGAAGCGTGCCTCGGAGCGGCGACGGGTCCCTGAGGGGAGAGGAGGCTGCAGCCGCGCTCACGCCACACCCTCCTCACGCCCCGCGCCGCAGCGGCGGCGGCCGCCCACACTGAGCGCCGGGCGGGGACGTAGCCGGAAGCGTACCTGGCCGCGGTGCCTTCTGGGAGTTGTAGTGCTGGAGCCGAGACCCCGCCCCCTGCTCTCTCCCACGTGTTTCTCCCCGGGTTCTTGGGGGGGAAAAACAAAAACACAACAGAGAGCCGTTTGTGGGATGCGGGTACTTAACTACACGTAGTAACCGTCGATATTGATGATAATTAAATAATATCAAGTTATAAGTAACGAACCATTTCAATGGCGATTGAACACCGTTCTGATGAAACCTGTTCTCTTTAATAAGTTCCTGGGGGAAGCCCTGTAGAAGATTAGAAATATCCAGAGACATCCCAAAGCCGAACGAAAACTGGTTTCCCAGTAAGAACGTTTAAAAAAAAAAATGCTGTAATTAAAACACCCGGGGCAAAACAAATAATTGCCATTTATATTACCCCTCGCTTTCAACCGTAATATGGTCAGAATTGGTTCAGATGTTCTTTACCGAGTGCAAACACAAACCACAAGAATGCCTGCAAGCAGATTTCAACCTCAATTTTTTTTTTTTTAATTTAATGGGAATCTTACTATGAGCTCCAACACAGTCCAAATGGCTTGAGTCGTTGTATACAATCAACTGCAGAACTAAAACAGCTTGGACTGTTTCTCAAAAGAAAAGTGAGGATTGGGGTGGGTGCTTCACCTGATGCAGGCTGCAAGAACTTGGGACCAGGACCTTCTTAGCATTTTATAATTAACAATTAGTGACTTTTTTTCCCCTCCAAAGGAATCCTGGAAAGCAGCTTCCTTCATAAGTCTCAAGGGCACAACAAATAACCCTCACAACTATCAACTGTCATTTCCCAAACTGCCACAGAATCTTCTAGGTCCGACATTCTATCATTTTTTGAAAAAGGATTATCTTAAAAAATATCCCACTTGCTTTTTTTAATAATACCAATAAAGCTAACCAATTTTAGTCAAGAAAGCACTCTTTCACTTCCAGTACTTTGTTTTGTTAGTGCCTGGGGCAAAGCCAGCTGTAGGAAGGGGAGTCCAAGTCAGGAGAGTGCCACAGGACCAGTCCAGGCTTAGAAACTGGACTCCTACTCTAGCTGGCAGCTTTGCCTGATTCTCACAAGCCTGAGGAGCCACCATGGAGTTACTACCTGTCCCCACACTTAAAGTGGTATTACTGGATTACAAACTGGAAGAAATACTTTCTTCTGTGACTGATGTGCTAGTGTTTTAACATGCATCTGTCATGAAAGACACAATGTGAGTCTACCTTGACCAACACAAAATATTTACAGAATTTTGGGGCCTACCCCCAGCTGCAGAGGCAAATTTGTCATCACTTCAATACTAAGAGTAAAAATCCTCATTGATATGGTCATAGCTTCCCCTTGAAGATGAGAATGACTTTAATAATAGGAAAGAAATCAATAAGGAAAACAGAAAGAGAGAAAGAAAGAAAGAAAGAAAGAAAGAAAGAAAGAAAGAAAGAAAGAAAGAAAGAAGAGAAGAAAAGAGAAAAGAAAAGAAAAGAAAAGAAAAGAAAAGAAAAGAAAAGAGAAAAGAAAGGAAAAAAAGTTTAAATAAAAGATAGAGATTAGAATTCCGGGCATTTTAAAGATTACCAAAATGTATGGATCTATTTGCTGTTCTTTGCAATGACAAAAAAGCTCATCACAATTTAAATACCACATTTTGGTTTTTGCTGTGTTTAATGGAATATAGTTGTTCACAACAAATTTCAAGAGGTAAAACAATATTTTAGCCTTCCCCAGGTGTACTGTAAAACATATTTTTCACAATGGCTTTAATCAGGGCGTTACATGTAATCATGCAATAATGGTGTTTGGTAACAGTATTTGCAAATAGTCCAATGCAGCTAAAACTTGGTAAGTGGAGAAGGAGTTTATCTGGAGGTAAAGACCACTTAAATATATTTATTAGGGGTGTTTTCCCCAGTAAATTATGTGCCTAAAATGGTTACTTTATTATAACATTAGTAGGGCAAAGTAAAAGACAAGATATTAGATTTTTCCTTAAATCTTTGCTAATGTATTTAAGGGTTCAGCCAAATATTTATTCTCTACTTCATAACTTACTTTAAATACTGCCCCGTTCTTTTCATTATATTCTCTCATTTAAAGTTATAGGCAAACAATTCTCTTCTAAATATTAGTTTCTTGTTTTATTTTCTAGATTTTTACTCCAAAGCATTATATTCAACAAGTTCATACTAAGTTAATGTTTTACTTAGCCCACAATGGGAATCCATATGTTGATCTTTTAAGTTTCCAAATGAGTGCATTTTAATTTAAAAGTACATTTTAATCTAGTGTAATCTGTCATTCCTATAGCATCTTCTAAGTCACCTACGATGGATATTTTTGTTAATTTCTGCTAGGTTCTAATATTTTTAGTAAAGATAATAAGATGAAGAAACACTCAACTGCTGATTGAAATGTCTTATTCTACAATCAAAGTATATCACTTGGCTTTCAACACAGTCTCAAAATTTGCAAGTGCTCTGGATCCTGTCTACTTTAGGAAGAAGCTCTTTCTCCTTTTATGATGGATGAGTAATGAATGGAATACAGCTACAAGATGAATAAGTAATCCAATTTATTTTCAGGTACCTACTAAAATATTGCATTCTGAATGAATTTTTTTTTTCAAAATCAGTGGATAGTAGTGAGTATGTATTTTAATAATTTATTACCTTAAAATATAGATAAATTTATCTATTTAAAAGTTTAGTTTTGTTTTCAAACCGTATGTAGAAAAATAGCCATTTACTTTGAAATACTTAATACTTTTGAGTTATACAATTATGAGCAAGTTTATGTTTATATTCAATCAGAACATTGAAAGAAAATATACTATTTTATTTTTACTAGCTGTTTTTAGTCACTATACTAGAATTGAGTAAGAGAAATACTGCACAGTATTCACTAAGGCAAACTAACCTACAGTTATAAGTGAGGTCATTTATGATGAGCAAACAATGGATATGATAACAGTGAGGAAAATTCTGGAAGTTTGAGTTTGTGTGCTTAGTAGCAACCACTTTCAACATTTCTGCAAAGCTAGAGAAGGTATCTTCTAATTTAAATTTCTTTAAGAAGTATCTATTATGTAATATACTGTCAACAGGAGGTCAGTTTTAAAGGAATAATACTGATAGCCTGAAAGACTCTGGAAAAGAAATTATTTTTCCCCTTACACACTGATAGTTCTTATATTTGTATTTCTGCAATTTTTATATTAAAAAAACATTGGATTAGCAGCAAGAAAGTTGCAAATGGCAGAAGTTGGGAATGACTGCTATTTCTTTTTTAATTCCACATGCATAAAGGTAAATATACAATTTATAGTACTTCACATGTTAAAGATTTCTAGAATGAAGGGAAATATAGCAATAATTTGTATTGCTGAATCAAAATTTACTATTTAATGTAAAATATTTTATGTATCTAAAATCTGAAGTAAAATATTAGCATGTATTATTGATATACTGAATTTTTCTGAGAAAATCATTAAAAATATTTGTGATAACTTAAAATATTTGTTTGAAACTACCTTTATATGTACCAGTTACATGCCAATGGCTCTTTTTATCTTGATGTGGCACTTTGTCTATTTTATGGTTCTTTGGGACATCAAATTTCTAATATGGAAACATAATATGACACATCGTACTGTTTTGGTTAGTGTGGTTTCAGTCATATAAATTCAGGTCATTATCAAATTTAATTTAATCAAATTGAGTCCTTATTTGAAATTCATTAACCCAAGTAATGAAATTTCACCTGTCAAAAGTCTAAGTAACAACATTTTATATTATGGAAAAAGGAAAAAAAGTAATATAAACAAATTAGCCAGATATTAATTAGATTTATAAAGTTAATTGGGAAAAATAGTTAAGAGATTAGGATTAATTGAGAGATTTGCAATGAAACCAAATAAATGTAGAAATTCAATGTTTGGAATTTTATGTTCAAGCCAGAATGAACCCAGAGAAAGGCATGATGTATCTAGTTTAAGGTATTTCATCTCTGCTAGAAAACCTGAAAATAACCTCTTTGACTGTTAGAATTAGATTCACTTCTAGTGCCTGTTATCTTATGGTTAAAAATCTATACTAATAAAAGGGTAATGTGCTAATTAGACTGGATGTCTTCCAGATGTCCTTCCTGATGAAGCCGGGGTTAGAGGGAAGCCCAGCTCAGGTCCCGGGTGCCTGCGTGTGGCCTGTGGGAAGGCACCCCTGATCTCGGGTGCCTGCAGGCCACCAGAGGACAAAAGCCCGGGTCCCAGATGCTGGAGAAGCCAATGCCAGCAGCCAAGGGAAGGAAGGCCTACTCTTGCATGAATTTTCATGCATCAGGCCTCTAGTAATAACATAATTTATGTTCTGTATGGACAGAGAGTTTTGTCTGTTTCATAATATGTTTCCAAGTAATTAGCACAGTAATTGATGTGGTAGTAAGTTCTCAGTCAATTAATACAATGATAGCAAC